GGCGGATCAAACACACTTAGCTCGATGCAATCATTGACCATTGTCATACCGGCAACATGTTCTGTGATAGTCCTTACTGTGATCATTTTAGTCGCTTGTTTTGTTACTGGAACAAAGCATCAACGTTCATCTTTTCAGCATCAATTAGAACAACAGCAGCAGCAACAATATGATGATACACTAATCACCGCTCATTCTAATATAAGCAATAATGGATTCACATCAACCCACCCAAGTATTACCGCAACACCTTTGCATCAGCATTTTGATCATTATCATTCGGATCAATATTGTACTCCTTATAGCACGACAAATCTTTCACAAAGTGAACCACGATATTGCCTAACAAATGTACAACAACAACAACAGCAATTGCCATCATATGGGTTCTCTGCTTCCAATGAAAGTCTATATGAACTACCGAATGCTGCACAATCGACCAAATTCGCAATGGTGTCAAAAACAAAAGCAGCAGCATCATCGGACAATGAAATCGAATTGTTGAATCAGAATTCACCCCAAACAATGACATATGCTACTCTCAAAAAACGGAACATTATTCAAAATGAACAACAAGTTATGTGTGATGTTGACGATAGAAATAATAGGCCATCATTCAATGGACAATCAACGAATACTACGATAATGACCACATGTTTGGATTCCAAATTGATCTGTGATAATGATAATAATAATGAGGAAAGCATCAATCAAATTGCAAAACAGAATCTAACGCAACCGTATAATCATCATCATCATGGTATACTTCAAGCAAACAGTACTACCACGAAAAATATTTTATCACCAATGATCTGGCTTTTGGTTGGTTGGTGGAAATTGAATCTGTTGATTTTCTAATCATTTATAATTCTTTAATGCAATCGAACAAGTTACATGATGTCCATATAATTTATCACTGCCAAATAAAAGTGTATATTGAATATTTCCATTGTTGGTTGTAATTTTTTTATACACTAAAAATAAAACAGCATTTTGGATGCATTTAAAATCATAACACGCAGAACTGTGACTTATTTTTAATGGAAATCAGGAATCATATAAATTTTCGCAAATTAAAATAAATCAATTTTAAGTTTTAAGAGAGTGAAAAAAGGTATTTGTTTAAGAGATGTAAAAATGATTTCAACTAAAAATATAATAGTCATCACTAGCCAGTGGTGCATTTGGTATGGTGGCTGGTGATGATGATCCATTGGCTGAACGATCTAATGGCAGACGAAGATCTTGTAATAGATCGAATTCTTCATCTCCATTGGCTGGCGATGATTGATCACGATTACTAATGTTTGATGAATGTGATTCTTCAACATTGCGATTTCTTGTTTGATTATCACCAACAATTGATGATTGCGCTTGAGAGGATGAAGCATATAGCAATTTTTCATTGTCATCGAATATGAGCCATGACCAAATGTTGGCCGCATGTATCAGTATATTTTTCAAATTTGTGGTCAATTGAAGCGTATTAAAATGCTGCAGTTTTAATTTAAAAGTGAACAAATTATTAGAATTTTTATGTTTTATCAAAATTACTAACCTTCAATATTTCTGTGGCATCGAAGCGTTGAACCATGATTAAGTCACGTTCGCGACGAATAATAGCTAAACATATGCACAATACATATAATTCAGTGTCTGAAAGTCGTCGGGATCCACCGCTATAAGTTGTCGTCATTGATTCTTGCGAATCGGTGCTATCGATTGACTCGGAATTTTCCTCAACAATTTTGCACTGTTCGTCAATTTTGTTAGCCAAATCTGATGCTATTTCTGCTGTATTATCTCCATCAATGTTATCTAATTGTGGATTAACAACATTTGATTCCGTTGTTGTTGGAGTTTGATCGTTTGATTTTGACGTCTTTTCAACTACCAATTGTTGTCGAAGTAAATTTTTATAATATTTTTTCATTGATGAACAAGTCCATATTGATTCCCATAATAATAGAACTTCTTGATAATCATCAGAATTTGATTTCATAAATTCTCGTTTGAATTGACAAACAATCCAACGGAATGCAAAATAACAATTGACCGATTCATTATTGGCTGAAAATAATAATTATATGAAAATTATATACCACTTATTCAAACTAAGATCATACCAAGATATTGGGCAAATATTGGATCAGTCAATTCAATCAATTTCCATAGCATTTCCAATTGATGTTTTATTGTCAACTGTGACATTTCAAAATTATTGTTCTATAGATTATACCAACATCAATTATCATGAAATAAAGACAGATTTTTTTTATAACTCACAGTAAATTCCATGGTCTGAACAAAAAACCAGAAAGCTTTACAGGTATCACCTTCAGCCACATAAAGTAATGGTGAAACAAGATCTGACATTCCTTGCACGTATCCAGTATCAAAATCATACATCATATAAGTTAATAAAATTTCTTTCAATTTGTCCAGGTTTTCATTGCGATCACCATTATAGAATGGGTGGGCTCGATCACAACGAATCACATCACGCTCTGTCACGATAAAAACAATTTACTATCATTATGACAAAACTATATGTAAAATTTAACTATTACCTATCAATGATTTACGCTCTCGAAACAACATAAAACGTTTTTCTTGTTCGGGTAATATTGATTGCCACTGTGATCGATAATGTTCAAATAGTTTTTGCTTTGATGACCAATCAAATTGCTTACGGCAATCTTCATTATCATTATCACCGTCATAAAGTCCCAATATATATGGCCATAGTCGAAGGCGAAGTTTTTCAGAAATTCCCTAATAAAAATACTATTATTTTAGCCTATTTTTATGGAAAAATACATACACCTAGAAAAACCCGTTGTCGAAGTAATTCGATTGTCCAAGTTTTTTCCTCAAATTCTTCCAAATCAAGGGGCTCATGACGAGTTTGAGGATGTGTACATTGAATCAATGGTAAAACTGGTGGCGGTGCCGGTATTCCTTCATCGTCTCTGCGAACAATTCGTTCGGCAGTTCCTGGTGGACGTGAAACAGTAGGCAAAGTCGATGGGTGATTATTAACTGGACTGGCTAAATTGTTGAGAATATTATAGCCATGTGAATAGATTTGAGATGTAGGTACTCGGACCAAATTAGTTACACGATTCAAAGTATTTAACGATGCGTTTAACGGATCATGAAGAAAATCTCTAATGGGCAGAATACCTGGTTTATGCATCGGTGGTGCATACGGATTGTGCATGGTATAATAGCTATGTTGAGATCTCAATGAATGTACATTGGATGTTGCTTGTTCTTGTTGACCGAGATTAGATGATGATGATGGTCTATTGCTACTGGCTTCAACATCAGCAGCAACTGATGAAGCAGTTATAAATTCATGCATTTCATTCATCATTTGTCTACCACTTGCTGGATTCAAGTTAGGATTTGAAACATTATCACCATCGTGGTCAATATCTAACAATAATGTGTCATGTACTTTTTGATAATATAAGGACATTTCTGTTGGTAATGTTGCAATTATATGATCATGCATATGACCTAAAGAGTTTTTAATGGCTGAACCAAGATAGTGGCGAAGTTCGCCACTTAGATTATCCTGATTTATTGATGTTCTATCCTTTTGTTTTTCTTGTTTACGTCGTTCTCGACGTTCTTTTTTAGATGGTCGATTGATTTGTGAATTCGATGATGAAGAAACGGCACTAGTGCTAGCTTCGGTCAAATGAACATTGCTATTTGTTGGTTCTTGATACTGTTGTTCACGATTGATTTCATCAAAGGACTTGGGATCATATTTTTTCAATGAATTTTTTATACGACGCAAATCACGACGTTGTTGACGATCCAAATGCGAACGGGAATCTGATGATGACTTCTTGAGCTGATGTTTTCGTTTATTTTCTATTTAACAAGAAAAAAATCCCATAGTACAATAAAAAATTAGAAAAAACAACCAGAATTAATCTTTACGGGCAGATGATGATGAAGCCGTACTGGATGATCGAGATGGTTCCATCAAAAAATCGTTTGCATTCGGGGGGTGGTTATGCAAAAAATGTGACAAAAAAATTCAACAATCAAAATCAAAAAACAATACGTATTCACGTTTTTTTAGTTAAATTTTTTTTCAACTGACAACGAACAAAAATGAATGGATTAGTTGACAATTAAAAGAAAAAACTATAAACTCATACTTTTAATCGAATCGATGTGTGAATTAAAACAAAAAAAAATTTCATCAGTTTTCGATCATTCAATATTAGCAAATAAAATGAAATGAAAAAGAACCTAAAAAGCAAAAAATAACAAAAACAATGAATGAGATTATTGCTATGGAGCAAATATAAAATATGATTGCAGGTTTTAATCAGATAGAAGCAAATTTAATTTTTGGATTTTCGTTTGGTTTTTCAAAGTTTTAGTTTAAAAAACAAATAAACAACCAAAATAATTGAAGCTACTTTTCTCTTCTTCATCATCATCCGTGATAATTAACGGGTTCATGCTTACCAGGGATCTTTTTTCATCAACGATTACACTCGTTGAATTATCTTAAATTTTTGATTTATTATGAATGACAGTTGAAAGCGATTCATCGATAGATTACTTAATTGTTAAAAAATTGGAAAAATCAACTGCGGCGTAGTTTGTCGTCATTAAAATCGATCCAATGATGATGATGAGTAATTATACTTTGGAATATTTTGATTCGTTTATGGGATGATCTCCTAAATTGCAATTTCAGCGTGTTTCCACATTGTATCACGTGACACAAATTCGCTCCAAAGATCCCACCTTTGGAATAAAGTTGAAATTTTCGATACAGTGTATCCTTGACTAAATGCAATGATGTATTTATGAATAATTGATTCGATCGAAACCTATAGTTATCTGTATTTTGACATCTCGATCATGTTGTGTTTGTAATGGTTCAATGATGAGAAATCACACCGGCTTGTAAAATGTTAGGTATCGATTGGTTAATTTATAAAAAATTACTGGTCATTCATTATAATTTATTTGCTAATAAACTCATCCAATTTTAAATTTAATCGAAAAAATCCAATAAATAATCGGTATGTTATTATTTGATTCTAATTTCGAATGATAAAATGACTGAATTCTTGTCATGAATTTTTGCCCTTTATTATCAACTGTTCCGAAATTATTTTTTTAAAATCTTGTTTATGGGAGGGTGTATTTGATATCCAATTTTGATACTCAATTTCGGAATCAATTTTACACTATTCAATTCATATTCATAAACATACCTCTACCAATATAAGTGAGTTCTGGTTTTTTACTTAGATGAACATAGTGTATAGAATTTGTATCATAATAAATATGGATTCTATATATCACTACAAATAGGAGTAGTATTTTTTTTCTCTGGTCTAGCAATTCTGACATGTTTATGTATGCATGGCCTTATTTTTCTACAGATCTATTTGATCACCGGAAAATAATGAGAAAGAGATACAAATTCACTTTTTGACATCTACATATACTGACAAACACGAACTAGGAAATATTAATGATATAATCATTTACATCTAAACGAATTCTATAAGTGTTCAACGAATCAATTATCCAATATTATTTTATAAAATTTGATAAATTTGGCTATAAAAATTACCATTTGGTTTTTATTCTGACCACAGATAAAAATATTGCCTAAAAAATTTAAAATTTTGTTTATAACAATAATTAACTGGTAAGTCGAATCTTGTCTATACTGTGTTATTCAATTATTTATCAAAAAACAGACACATTGCAAATTCACTTTTTTATTTAATTCGTTGATAATTTTGATTCATCTTTTTTTTTATTTTTTTTTAATTTAATTTGGTATTTGGATTTAGATATCATATCAATAATGGACGCCAATAGTCAAGATGCCAATAATAATCAACAAGATCAACCACAACAATCACAGGATGTCGAACATGATCAAGATGAGCCATTGCCTAAAGGATGGGAAAAACGAGTATCACGATCCACTGGACAGGCATATTATTTGAATATTTACACTAAAGAATCACAATGGGATCGACCTACACAGGAGGCTAGTACAAAGGATAATGAAAAAATAAGATGTTCACATCTATTGGTTAAACATAATCAATCACGACGACCTAGTTCTTGGCGTGAAGAACATATTACACGAACCAAAGAAGAAGCACTTGCTTTGATTGAAGATTATCATGAAAAAATTTCAAACGGTATGGCCACATTAGATGAACTTGCATCCGAACTATCCGATTGTTCTTCGGCTAAACGTGGTGGTGATCTTGGATTTTTCGCTCGTGGTGCTATGCAAAAACCGTTCGAAGAGGCTGCATTTGCATTAAAAGTTGGTGAATTATCGCAAGTTGTTGAAACGGATTCTGGTGTCCATCTTATACTTCGTACTGCTTAGAATTTTTTTTTAAATTTTATTATTCATAATCATATTTGTGTGCTTGAGTGAATGTGTGTCACCTGAGTTTGCTTTGTAAAAAATAGTACGTTTAATGCAGTTAGTGGTTCTATTCTGTACTATAGATATATTATTCATGTCGATTGTCAAATATGTCATTTTATATCCTGTAGAAATGATTTTAGGTTCAATGTCCGTAAATGTTTGTGCGTGTGTGTGTGTGTATTCCGGGCTAAATTGTTTTATTTTTCACATTCTCCAAATTATTAAACTTTTTGCGAAATTCAAATTTCGTTTTATCGAAGTAATAATTATTATAACATCGATTTTTTCTAGAAAAGATACATTTTGCCCAAAGAATCTGACACACCTGTTGAAGAAAGCACACTTCATATTCTGAATGCAACTTCCATCACTTTATTTAATAATTATATCAAAAAGTGTATTTATTATTATATCACATATTTAAAATGTTTTAGGACACATACATTTACATATAAAGCATTTGATAATAATTCCATCTCACATTTGATTCATATCTATTGATTATCCTAAATTTTTTTTTCATTCACAGCAATGGTCCAGTAAAAAAATAAATATTTATATGAATTTCAAATTATTTTTGACGATCATTCATTCGATTATCTTTGGCCAAACTATGTGCACACCAATTAAAACTGGTTTTCCAGGAATTTTTCAACGCTTCCATGAATTTCGTATTAAAATGGCCGCGTGCCTCTTCTTCACTTTTATCCAATACTAATGTTTCACGTAAATATTGAAGATCATTTACCGATGATATTTCGGGTATACCCGACGATAACATCATGGCGAACAACGATATAAAAAATGAACCGCGTCTTCGAATGATAATGAATGCCTCTTCACAATACCTTTGAAAACGTCGAAAATATTCCGATTTTTTTGATGATTGTTCCCCATGTGTAATCACATAGACAAAATCATGAGTCAAAACAAATGGCACACGCTCACGGCGAATGCCAAATTTTTCTTTAAACTTTCCAAGAATATGACCAAAATCAATATGAAATAATTGACCATTCTTTTTGACCATAATATTATCATTATGACGGTCGGCCACACCTAATATGTATGTGGCAACACAATACCCGGCGCAGCTAAGTGTAAATTCTTCAATCGCACGATTAAGATCTGATTCCTGAGGATTATGGTCACGTATCCATGCGAGTAGGCTGCCTTTTTTGAAAGCAGCTATCGCTGCATTACCTTTATTTTTCTGTATATTAGCAATGGTATCGGCATTTAGAACTACTTCGATAAGACCGACACAATGCTCAACCGAAATACAACGATAAGGTGTCATGCGGAAATCATAACCGGCCTCTTTCCATAGACGATCCATTATTCGAATCATTTGTAGCGTAAGCATATCTTGACGAAGATCTAAAAATGTAATTGAACCATTAAAACCAATCTATCCTATATGAATCTAAACTTACCGTCACCATTCTTGAATATCAAATAAATATCACCGGCATCTGAATCATAATTTTCAAATACTAACCAAAGAGGTTTCATTTTTGAATCCATGAATTTACATTTTTTAATTTTTAATCGGCCAAATTTAAAAATCGGATTTAATGGATTAATCACATTTGTAAAGGTTTCCTGATAGAATTTCTGCTCTAATATTTCTTGCATCCAGCCAATCTTTTTTTCACGATTTTCACGACTACGATCATCACGGATGATGATGTTGACACGTTTTAATTTGTTAAGACATTCCATTTGACGGCTAAGAATCTGTGTAATTGTTTATAATTAAAAATATAATCAATGATTTTTAAACAAATTAAACATAATAAATCATTACATAGATATGATCAATGGCTCCACGACAATAAGCTTCAAGTATTAGCCCAAACGTTACGGAAACAGCCGGGTTATGCATTTCTGACCTCAATAGCCAAAACAAATGGTGTCCAATACGTTGACTTTCAAATGCACGTTCCAATAGGAATTGAACTAAATCATTATAAATGTATGATTCATATTTCAATGCTTGCACTAATTGCAGCAGATATTGTGATAGATCTTCATTCGATAAAGATTTTAAACATTCGATGGCATATTTTCGAACTAAATTATCCGCATAAGCATAATCAAGTAATTCTAAAGCTTTACCGGGAGAAAGTTTTGGCCATGATTGCAGCAATGAAATAGCATCGCCAATCATACGCTGATTATTCCATTTGAAACTGATCAATAATTTACACAAAGATTCAGGACATTGTTGACAACACTCGAATCGAAGACGCCATAAAAGTTCACGATGTTTTTCTTCCATCCGATGTAAAAGATCTTCTTCGCTAATCTTTTTAATCAATGCTAGATTCTGTTCACGTTCTTCTTGTGATTCTTCATGAGACAATTGAGAAGTTGTAGAAAGAAGTGGAGATTCTTCTATTAATGATTGTTCGGAAATTTTTCGTTCTCTTGGATCATATGTTGATTCATATTCATTCTCTTCATATAATATCTGTGCTGAATTTTGCTGATGATTGCACGATGATGATACGATGTCATTGCTTTGTTGTTGACGGTTTTGCTGCTGAATTGGATATTCTCGTAGAATTTCTTTAAGTGTTGGAAATCTTATGACTGTATTGTCACCTTCCGAATATTTCGTGAATGAAATAGTGAGAAATATTGTTTGATCAATGTTTGGATTCGGTACGACAGTTTCCAAAGGTTTAAACACCGATTGTGCATCATCAACGCATTCATTTTCATTATCATGGAGCCACATTGATAATGTAGTCGAGGATTCCCAGAGTTGACCACGATAATCAAAAAAATTAATGTTAGCCCATGCAATTGGTATTGGCTTCTGACGTAATTGTGCTATCTTTCGAGTTGATTGAGATCCAGTAAAACCAACAACTGTGAATGCGATACGAGCCATTCGGGGCAGATCGGAAACTTTTAAATTAAATACGATATCCTCTTCCCAAGGTATGGTATCAAAAATTTCCATGTTTGGATTTTGTGGTGAACTTTTGACCAGATCGGCTAATGTTACCGGTGTAGTTATATGTGAATCACAGAGCATTTCACCACCATGAAAAATGCCGACCATGACGGCCACACGTGTTATATCACTATTAAATTGAAGTTGATTAATATGGGCGGAATGAATTTTTATCAATAGTTTTCGATCCATTGACCACGATGAAACGACCACTTGTTGTGTTCGACGGCGACTGGCAGTTGCCGTTGTTGACATTATCACGTTACCTAATGAACCCAAAGAAATGATCGAATGTGAACGTGGACGAAACTCTTCAGAAATCGCAGTATGAATGGCATATATAGGTTCATCTTCAAATTCTATTGATTGGCGAGGAATGGCCGACAATTGTAGAACGGAATTGTTTGATAATAAAATCTCTTGAATCATTCGATATTGAATGAGGCGATGATTATCAAGCAGATACTCTAAAGTTCCATTAATTTTCAAAAGATATTGGCTTGAATCCATGAAGAGATTGGACAAATCGCTTTGCCATTGATAATTACTAGGGCTTTTAGGAGGATTGTTAGATGGAAAACTGGCTTCATAATAGGACTCTTCTTCTTCATCGGTCGATTGATGATTATGATTCGAATCCAGAAGGAATGAGTCGAAAGAATGAAGCTCGTTCTTAAGTAATTCTTTTGACTGTATTGGATTGTTCAAAACTAACTCGATCGATTGCCGCAGTAATTCTTCGGGCGTAATCTGACAACTGACAGAGACGACAATCGAAAACTTTGGTTTATCAAACAAGATCTGTACATTGATCATATTATCGGATGGTAATCGATCATGGAAATAATTAGGCAGAACTGTCAAATCCAATGGATCTACACTTGTAGGATAAGCATAACGCATTTTATCCAACCATGAATTATTTTGACGAGTTTTAACAATCTCTTCACACAATGAACGCATTCGATAACGAAATTCATTCACTTCGGGATTCAAAAGAGCATCAAAATCTTTCAATGCTATTTAAAAAAATGGAATAATGAATAAAACATAATTCATGTTATTTTTTCTAAAAACTTACATTTACCAATAAGTTGACCAATTTGCTCATCAAGCTCAAGATCATCGATATTTTCCTGGTGTTCAACTAATTTCAGGATATTCCCCACCGGACATGCATCACACAAGCGAATCTCTTCATCAACACATTCTTTCTGCGCGCCAAATTCATCCACATAATAGAATGAATAAAGTTTACGATCCTTTAGGGCGCCATACATTGGACCACGTTGAGATAATTCGAACACTTCTTCTTTGATTTCATAGAATGTCGCATTTTGAGCTACATTGATGGGAATTATTGTACCATTCGGCATCAGTACGTCCAAATCGATTGGTTGATCTGAATCTTCGAGAAAAGAAATAAGTTGCTGTAAGCGAGCTGCACTATCATCTCGAAGTCGGGTATTTAGTCGATCAAAACCCAACGAATCTGTTGAATTATTCGACATGATAGATAAACACGATTGATTTCTTTGTGAATAACAATGTGCAAAAAATATGACGGATTAAAACAAAAAGTGACAATATTTCGCTCAAATTATAGCGACAGAAAAAAACCCAAACTTACGGACATGATGTCAGCCAGGGATTTCCTGCCTGATGATTGCATAGCTGTTGAGCACATTGAAATCCTGTCGTTGTCGATGATGATGAACCTCCGGCCATAGCTGGCATCGAAAGATAAGACCAATATTGGCAGAATGGTGATTGAGAATATGGATCCATTCCATAAAAAGGAATGGCAGCATTGTGTGATGATGGATATTGATGGTAGATACATGTCATATGTTGCGGCTGTTGAAGTGGTCCCAATGAAGAATGATGACCGAAAGAGGATTGACAAAATTGTTGCGATTCTAGTTGCCATTGTAATCGTTGTTGCTGTTCGTTTAAAAACATTGTCATCAACGATGTTAATGGTTCTTGATCGGATGTTGGTTGAATTAATGGATTTAATTCCATTTGGTATTATTTTAGTCAACGATTATCGCAACATTAGAAAAAAGGGATTAAAAAATAATCGATTGGCAAGATTAGACTTCAAATGAATAAATCTTAGGCTATTTTATCATTGTTTAAGTCGAACCAGGCTTTTAAATAAATAAGATTTCATAAATCAGTTTTCAGCTGATTGTCAGGACACTTGTTTCGCAATGGAACACACGAATCACACAATATTACGGTATCGCCATCTTTTATAATAGTATGTAATTCTTTGCAAAGTTTTTTTTCGAAAATTAAAGCCGAATATTGATATTTGTTTTTTCGAATTGATTGTTGATTCTCATCATTTCCTTCATTGCAGGAAATAATGTTTCAATTTAAAAAGAACATGCTATTGCAAAATTATTAATTATTTTCGGTCGATCGATTTTCCTTATACCAACAGTAATAATTCAGGAATAACATGAAATGGGCGAGTACTTGAAATTCATTCATTATGCTTGATCGAAGATGTGGGCTTATCATATTGACTGTTCGAGAATGAAACGTACAATTCAATTAAAATACAACCAAATCAGAACTGTCTATCGCATTAATATTCGATACTTATACATAAAGATCAAAATCTAAAGATACTTGGTCGATCGATCCATTCATGTACCTACTACTAACAAATCGAGTGAATTACATTTTCAATAACAAAATCGGTAATGATATCCATTTTATATACGGGTATGAACATGGTTGAATGAATGATGATCATTTGTTTTCAATTAATGGTGGAAAACAAACACGTCAATAAACTTTGAATGGAATGAATAAAAATGGAATCCATTCAATCAGATGCAATGTATTATATATTAGACATGTTTTGTGGTGAATGATTTTAAATCTAGTTCAACGCCCATCATTGATTCATTCAATTACGTTCAACCTATCAAATATGTTTCAACATTTTATTCAAAAAAAATGACCGGAACAAAAATAAAAATTTTGTTTTTACAGTCATCGATTATCCTTGAGATGAATTTTTTCAAAAAATGATTTCCTAATATTTGTTTTTGTTTTGTCATTAAAATAAAGAAAAAATGGCGTTAAGATCGTATCCTTCCTAAGGAAGCAAACAATTTTAATGATATTGATGATCATTAATAACAATTGCAAAACAAAGATTTCGATGGCGATAATTCATCAACGTAAATATATACTTTTTACAAACTTTACAAACAATAAAAATTTCATCATCATCATCAAACATAAATGTCTCCAATGTCATCGTCGTATGAATGATATTCTAATATAATAACTTTAAAAACGGAAACTTTCTAAACATCGTATATGAGAAAGTGAGGAATTCATCTGGCCTTGTCTTTTTCGTATTCGGTATTATTTGATGTCCAAAAATAGAACATGCAACGAATAAAATGATGAAACCTTTGACATTTTTTTTCTCTGATTTGTTTGATCATCTTTACAGCAGTGCGAAAAATTTTTTCTTTTTCAGTTTGTCATATTTTTTTCGATAACATGAATATTTTAATCATATCTGAATGTAAGTTGGTTTATTTTCAAGATCCAAGATCACCTGAAGAATAACTCTTTAAATTCATTTATTGTGATTATTTATCATGAAATCTAATTTCGAATTGTGATAATTTCAATCATTAGTTCTACAAACAAAACTGATTTTTCATTTTTGTAATTCGATACGCACGCAGAAACATAGATGTTGATGATGACACCCGTTGTTATTATTAATGTTAAAAACCATGACGAATGAGCCGTGATGATATGATAACAACACCAATCATCTTCATCATTCTGGACTTGAAATGTTTCTACGATTATCATTATTTCACAAGTTTGACAAGTTTGTCGCACAACAAGTTCTTCAACGTTAATCCAATCGTAGTCTTTTGCGCTTGTTATAATCAATAATCACATCTTACCATGTGCTCGGTCTCAGTATGTTTTTTATATATTGTGGTTTTGTGTGAATTATCAATTGATAAAATTATCAATAAACTTGAAATTTCGTCTAAATTTTTTTTTATTTCATCTTCCGTTTCATTTTATTAAAACAAACGAGAAATAGATTTTCATGCAATTTTTTCAAAGTTAATTCTATTTTTTTATTATCTCATATTTGTCAACTGTTTATATAATCAACATAATCAAATATCCAAAAATAACATTAATGAAAATTGTCATTTGAATAATATTGATTGCCTATTTGTTTGAACAACAAAGTTATCCAGGCCCATATTTAGTCAATATATTTTTTAAAAATTAACTGAAATAATCCTTTGTGTTCATTTTTTTTCGCGGTTGTTATATTTGATTTCAGAGATAAATTATCAACTGATAAGTTTATGTTTTTCTTTCACATTTGTCGCCGTTGATAGCAATCAATCATCAATAAATCATTTTTCAAAAATCAATGTTGAATGGAATCATTATCATCATTGATTTTTTCAAACAATCATTTCATGCAACTGAATAAACATAGAAAAATAATCAACATCCATAATTTGATTCATACGACTTTGTCTATTATTGTAATAAATACCAAGTACAATTTGGTTTACAATTAACAAAGAATTATTACCATATTGGTAATAATATACGTCATAGCTTCATAGACTTGAAAATTGTAATAATTTTCATTATTGAATTTTAACAATTGTAGTTATTCAAAAAAATGAAATACATTCCATTTTGATTTATTTGAACAGGATTTTTTCCTAAATCATATAGCACAATCAAACTCTTTGAATTTTTTTTCAGCCATTCTACTTTTGACAAACAACATATCCATTCAGCACATTCATAAGATCTAATTCAATTTTCCCGATATGATCATGAATATCTATTTCTTCAGATCAGGTTTCAATTGGAATGAAAAAATTTTTCGACAAAAATTTGTAATTTTCCACAGTATTATTGTCATTGTACATGTTTTGTCTATAGTTTCAGCATTAACTATCAGCATTAATAATGATAATTCCAATCAAACGAACTTTTCAATACCGGAACAACAAGATGATCAGCCGTTTCCTGCCGAATCTTCACAACATAGTTTTTATGGTATATGTTGTAAGATTTTAATGTGATAAAAAGACTTAAAAGCAGCTATTTCCGACTTCACACCATACTAGACTATACACGATTTAGTGAGACTGATCCTCGCCATTGGTATTGGATGGCACGTGCCGACATTCGTGAACGTTTACAGATATTACGTCCAATGCATTATCGAGCGCAGAATGTGATTATTTTTCTTGGTGACGGTATGGGCATTTCCACTATCACAGCTTCACGTATTCTAAAAGGGCAAATTCATGGCCATCATGGTGAGGAAGGATTTCTCGAGTTCGATAGATTTCCGTATTCAGCTTTGATCAAGGTTTCTATTATTTAAATAATAATCTTAATTAGATCTTTTTGAATTCTCTCTTTATTGCTAATAGACGTACAATCTGGATAAACAAGTTCCGGATTCAGCCGGTACTGCAACCGCTTATTTAACTGGTGTGAAAGCAAATTTTTATACATTAGGTGTAGCAGCCAAAGTTAACAAAGATCATCCTGATTGCAATCTTGTACAAAAAAGTTCCGTTGATTCAATTCTTAAATGGGCATTAGATTCTGGTAAGGCAGCTGGTTTTGTCACCACAACTCGAGTGACGCATGCCACTCCAGGAGCATCATATGCTCATACACAGAATCGTGATTGGGAATATGATATCGATGAATCAGTGGTTAACCCCACTACGCGTCATAATTGTAAAGATATCGCTCGACAATTGATCGAAGATGAACCTGGAAAATCATTGAATGTGATATTAGGCGGTGGACGTCAATCATTCATGTCAGATCAAGAATTGGATCCTAAAGGAATGTTATCCGAAGGTCATATACATTCAGTTTCTGGAAAACGACGTGATGGTCGAAATCTGATTGAAGAATGGAAACTGAAACGTTCGAAACAAGATAAAGATCATAGTAATTTTGCCTACGTGAATGATACGCAAAGTTTACATGGTGTAAATTACCAAAAGATACATTATCTTTTCGGCTTATTCAATTATACGAATATGGAGTATGAAAAACTTCGTGATCGAAGTCCAAATGGTGAACCATCCTTGACCGAAATGACCGAAGCGGCTATCAAAGTTTTAAGCAACAATCCGAATGGATTCGTTTTGCTGGTTGAAGGTGGTCGCATCGATCATGCTCATCATGATGGCTTCGCAACACTTGCCTTACATGAGACATTGGAAATGGACCGAGCTATTCGTCGTTCAAGAGAAATGTTACCGATGGAAGACACATTGATCGTAGTCACAGCTGATCATTCACATTCATTAGTTATAAATGGATATCCAAATCGAGGTAATCCGATTCAAGGAGAAAGCCATTCGCGTGATTCGTTTCTGATTCCTTATACTACATTAATGTATACTAATGGTCCGGGATTTAGGACAATAAAACAACGAACCAGCCAAATTCATGATAATCTATGTAAGTTGAAAAATGGATGTTTGTTTATCTCTCTAAAATATTCGGTATAGACCAGTTAAAATATCGTGTTCATTCGGCAGTATACACCAAAGAAGCCAATCATGCTGGTGAAGATGTCGGCAAGTATCAGTTTTTTCATTGTTATTTAATGTAATAATGATTCATCATTTTGAATTTTATAGCTGTCTTTGCAATCGGACCAATGGCCCATCTTTTTGGTGGTACACATGAACAATCACACATTGCACATGTTATGGGATTTGCTGCCTGTATTGGTCCATATCAACAAGAATCACATTGTCAAGAAGGAGTTGATGATAAAATCCGACATAAAAAAATAGAATCTGGATTTCGTCCTTTCAATCCTTTCAACAGTGAATTCGAGAAGCGTAAAACTTTAAACAATGGAAATCATAGTGTTAGCCAGCAATTGAGCTTAATAGTCTTTCTTTCTATTATTATTATTTGGTTTCATAAAATTGCAATTTGATTCATTTTGAATAATTTTCAGAATTATTCCCTTTAATTCAATAAATTATGAATTTTTTGTTTTTTAAATTTCGAATTTTATTTTGAATGAATAAATGGATCGAAAAAGTTTGAATTGATCACATATTGATGACAATGGCGGTTACGGAAATATCGTGGGGTTCAAAACCGATAAAAATTACTACAGGTGCATTGCGTGAGTAATATCCTCAATCTTTTATACGATTAACTAAAATCGAGTTAATATAAAGTGATTTTAATTTTTGGAACAGCTGCCAGTTTTATTATACCGATAGTTTATTTTGCCTTATTTTACAAGAGAAAAACTCGCCGACAATATCCACAATTGGTACGAACATTATTAGATATTTACTATCAAATGCAGCTCGAGCAATTGGAATTTATCAATCTAAATCCGCCACCACCCCCACCATCACAATCACCATCACCATCACCAACAATGAACATAGTATAACATAAAATCATTTGATCAAATAATTGTTATAAATTTTAATTCGAATGTTTGAAAATTAAATTATTCTGTACATTTAATCTCGAAAATAATTTTTTCCATTTGGCTGATTAAAACGATGCCGAGAACTAACGGTACGTTGCAGGCAAGAACATTGTCTTGGATAGCTAGATCAAATGGTTATGGCTATGCAGCTTATTGTAAGAATAATATCTATTTCTAATTGTTTGATAGCTTATTTAATTGATCTATTCATGTAGTTACGTTATTGACTGGAACTGTCGGTATGTTCATAATTATAGCCATTGGTGTCGCCTATTGTCTATTGAAAGCGGAAAGTAACGATGAAAATCCGGATAATCGAGTGCTTATACAAGAGACGTTCGAACAAATTTATGATTTCTTTCGCCGTCGAGCCTATCAGCAGGCATTACTTGAATATCAATACAGATATGAATTACAACAACAAAAAGAACAACAAAAAGAACAATTAAAAGATGATCGACGATTAGACAAACGAAAAAAACGAGCTAAAAATGCGGAAATAGATCGATGGGTACGGAAACAAATGGTTGAGGCTAAAATGGAATTGACAATTGATGATAAAAAACAGCCAAACATTCAAATTCGAAAGCCTCAATTAGGTAGATATGTCCAAAGTTTTATTGGTGATGTTGCCTCTACAGCTATGCGAAGACCACCAAAACGACCTCCCCGTCGAAAGGAATTACCTGTCAGACCAATCGAGCAGGTATCATCAGTAGAAAGCGATGATCAACTATCGGATCAAGTATCGGATCAAGTATCTGATCAATTATCTGATCAAGTATCGAATATGTCATCTTGTGATGACATCGAACAAGGAACGAAGCCTAAAACTGTGGTTCATTATTTTTAAAATAATTAACAATTGAAAAATAAATTTATAATTCATTTATTAACACATAAAGCACATTTATTAGCTATTTTCTTGTTCCGAAGTAGTAAAATCTTCGATATTACGAAAATTTTTTATTGATAATTTTAATGGAAGTTGTGATGAAATTGTCAATTTCTTCAATTGGCCATCACTTGACTTTATTTTCGATACAAAATCTTTATCAACTATGCCATCGGGAAAATTTTCCAGATTTTGTTTGGGAAGTAAACGACCAACTGATGATATAAATCGATCATCTAATATAGATGATAGTTTCATCATTTTTTTATCATTCATAAAAATATCCTCGATTTTGCCGGATTTTTTCGATTTCGAATCACAAAAATTCGAACCCTTCAACCAAAAAACGATCAATAGAAAACATACGAAAGTAGTCAAAATAAAGAATAAAATAAGTTCCACTGAAAATAATTGATTAATAATTTATCTTCATTTAAAGTAAACAAAAACTTACATCTAATACGCCTGGAATTGTCAAACTTGTTTGAAGATGTCCACCCATCAGTATCGTTAGCAATAGTTTCAGAAAAATTCATTTTGAATTTTTTTGCAAAAGAATGAAACACAAAATTTCCTATTTATTCAATTTTCCGTTTCATTGTTGCAAGTGGGCCAAGTAAAATTTTTAACAAATAGTTACAAACCAATACATTGACAGAATTGCCAAGCAAACGATAACGTTGTTTGGTAGTAAAATCTTCAGGAAATTCTAGAAATAAAAATTAGATAATTGAAAAAATTTTAATTAAAAAAATTGCTCTATTTCCTTACATACCTAAACAACAAGGAAAACACATAAGATTAGCAATTTCTTTTGGAGTAAAAAGTCTAAGTTTTAATTTGTGTAATAATTTGATGATTGTGGCTGAATCGGAAGTTTTTTGTATAGCAGAAAAAATTTCGTCAATAGAAAATTGTTCCGAAGTTTTTAAAATTGATCCACAACCTTCAAGACGATGTCCATAAGATTTTGTGAAACAATTTGTTTTGGCCATAGAATTTTCGGGATCGACAATATCGATTATCATATGATAACGTAGAAGCTGTTCATCGGTCAATTGAAATTTTCGAATATCAAAATTCTCATCTTTTTCCAGATAATTTTTGAGAGAGAATTCTTTTAGTCGAATATTTTTCTTATATTCAACATTTTCGTGAGAGAAAATCGAACTATTTCCATGTGGCAAGGGCACCAGAGTCGAAATTTCCTCATTTTCTTCATCTTGAAATTCACCAGATTCATGTTTGGCCAACAAGTAATATCGAAGGCGAGAATTCGGTATGCCAAATTGATCGGGTGAAAGAAGAAATTCTCGCATACGATATTTACAATCTCGTAATGTAGAAATAAACAATTGATGAGCATTCGAAATTTCGAAACCTTTCACATTTTCCAACATTATAAATCGAGGTTTATTTCTTATACTTGATGATTAGAGAATATTTAGGTTTTATGATGAAAGATTACTTTAAGACAAACCTTGGAAACAGCTGCATTAGGTGTTTAAATGAAGAACTACGAGAATCCTTAAGATCCAATTGATTGCCTAACCTCGAAAATGGTTGACAGGGTGGACTCATTGTCAACAAATCAAGATTCATACGATCGAAATCATCGCTGGTAAGCGATTCAATATTATGTTCCAAAAGTTTGCATTCGTTGTTGGAATTATGATTCAATCTATAAACTATGTTAGCTGAAGTATTAATATCTATGGCGGTTATATAATATTCGATGGATTTTTCCTCTTCAAAAAGTTCTGATTGATGAATGAAAATGTTCTAAAAGTCTATAAAAACAATTTCTTTTTCTTAACAAACCTTTAATGGCAAAATTAAATCCACCTATACCACTATACAGTTCCAAAACTTTGAAACATGATCTATCCATCTTGTATTCAATAAAAGATCCACGTGTGTGAAAATTCTCAAATTGTTATGCCGTTGATTAACTTATCGCGTACAAACAATCGAAATGGCGCAACAATTTGTTTAGAACGGAATTTCCTCATATAAAAATCGATTGATTTCATTATTATTTGTTGTTTGACTTGAAAGTTTCAGGAAAAGAAACTCCCAAAGAAATATTTAAAATCGAAAAACAATATGAGTAGAAAGATTCAAGAATTTAAATCAATTAAAACAATGCCTTCACCGATTTCGTTACATGAACCTTGCACGCGAAAAAATCATTTGTTGCAAGAATTTTATGACGAAATAGATTCGACACCCGAAAAAGGTGAGGTTGGTTCGGAATTCATTCTATATTACATGATAGGCGCTACTATTGTGAGACCGATGGGAATATTTTCCGGTAAATTATAATTCGCCTGCTGATCATAAGTTTTTCAATCATGAGCATTTTTTCAAATAGGTCAAATTAATCGAAAATATTCTGAAATAAATCAATATGTTCTTCGTCGAAGTAATGGACAGCTTGCATGGCTTCCATATCAATCATCCAATCCTGCACTCAAAGCTGATTACCTATACATCACGGAACATGCAACTGCAAGATCACGGCTGTTCAATTTATTAGTAATACCAGAAAATGGACCAAAAAATCCAGAAGTTTTTGTTTATGGTGAGATGTTTGCCGGTTTTTCATTTGAAGCTCCTGGTAGCTTAGAACTAAAAGGTCATATATTTATGACTCATATGTATCCGGAACCTAATGTTTGTGCGGTTGAAGATCAATTAGAATCGGACATTATCATTGAAATTACGGCTGGAACAATTATCGTATTTATTTGTGATGATAAAGATATTGTCATTTTACCTGGAGATGATTGTAAAATGAGATTTTCGGCTGAAAATGAGCAAGTTTTGGACCAATTCCAAAAAACTCAAAAACCTTTCTCGAGAGTACTATCACCACCTGTAATTTATGGCCAAAATGAGTCTAACAAAATAGCAGAACAAAAAAAATCACCAAAAGAGGACGATAATAGTACAAAAACAAAACACGATTCACTCTCTGAATTGTTGAAGTTAATTGATCAACAAAAAACTGAAAAAACAAGTCCTGCAGAAATTCGATTGAAAGGTGAAATGGGAAAAAAGCCTGATGATTGTGTCGCATCGAAAAAACAATCAATTTTATCGCCACAAATTCCAGAAGATTTTCAGCGACCCTTAGAAAGTCCACCCCAAGTGATAGTTGAAGAAACGGGAGAGTTAAACCCAAGTAACGAAAGCAGTAAGAAAAAGCGTAAACGTAAGAAATCATTAAAATTGAATCAAATTCCTATCAAAGATATTGATATTTCGACAAAACCGAATCGTAAAACATATATGGATTCATCTCCATCGGATAATAAGGCTGAAGATAAAATTCCTAAACAACACATATCACCATTGGAACATTTAAAATCTAAATCGTTGATCCAACAAACGGAAGAGCCTAGTATATTGTCTTCAAATAAATCTGGATCGTTAATACAAATCAGAGATGATAACCAAAAAAATAAATCATTAACATTTAAAGAAACTGAATCTGTTGGAAGTTTCTCACCACTATTATCATCGCCAAGCAAATCTAAAAAATCTAAAGATAAAAGTGAACGAAGAAATGGTGATGATAAAAAAAAATCACGATCCAAAGATAAATTGTCCTCGTCGAAATCGAATTTAAGAAAACGTAGCAAAGTATCAGCACGAAGGCGAAGGCGTCATCGTTCTCGTGATTCAGTGGTAAAAATGACAAGATCGAAATTGGCCGATTCGATGCTACAATCACGATCATTGGCAACTAATTCTTCATCATTTTCTCCGATCAATTCGGATCTATTGAAACGTGTGGCAAAAAATGTATCGATTGGAAGAAAAGGAAGTAAATTACGTCAATCACCATTAGAAAAAGTTAACAGTGAAAGTCGAAAGAAAAAATCACCCGATTCATCATCAATCGGACAGAAATGTAAATCTATAAGAACAATGAAAAATTCATTCGAATCTAGGCTATCTGCTGTCCGTAAAGCACTTGATTTTTTTCAAAGTGATAGTATATCCATAAGAAAATTGCGACGAACAATTCAAAAAACAGTCGATTTGGGTATGAAATTATCCGAACGAACATTGCAAGAAAATTGTTTAGATCCAAACATCAATCTTAAATTAGACTCTTATCTACGATTATTACGAGAAAAAGTTAATCATCTGGAAAATGTAGATGATGAATCCAATACAAAACAACAACAAATCGAAATTTTATCATCAATTTTTGATTGTGTACATAACATTCAGGACATAGTTCAAAAGATAGAACCAAGAAGTTCTAATTCACTATCACCATCAACTACATCGTAAAGAAATTATTTTTTTAAATAAAAATTTTTCAATTAACCATTTCAAAAATATTAGTTAGTCTAGGTCAGATTATGCTTGCCTGTTGTGATTAGTGATAATTATGATTATGATGATTAACGAATAAAACGGGAATAGTGTTCTCTCAAGTCAGGTATGAAATGTGGTAGTGGCGCGCTCTTCTCGCATATCATCATCAAATCCATTCATTCTGAACAAAATCTCCCTTGACATTCCAGATTTTTGAAAGAGTGCGCAGTATATACAATAGCATTTGCTTTCATAAAATTGTTTTGTTTGAATTTCATGATTTGTGTTTGGATTTAGCAGTAGCACATATATGCTACAGCTGTATTTGTGTATACGAATTATTAATAGTAATACAGTGAGCTCACTCCCATATATAAATAATTCGAACAGACTCTGTTTTTGTTTAGTTTCTTTCTCATTTTTATTAAAATTATAATCCATTCATGGATAGCAGATAAATAAATAAATAACAAATTGATGTTGGTGTTTACAAACATCGGATCTAATCTCACACATAACTACAATAACTCTACAACAAGATTTTTATTCTTGTCTAAATGTGATAAAAAAAATAAATAGAGATGATAAATGATATCATCCGCAACAACAACAACTTTAATGACTTTTCTTATCGATCCAACATCAAAACCAGATGATAATAATAATAATACCAGCATTTCTCTCACACATCATTTCCATTTAGTGTTAAAAGAGTTTTTATTATTTATTAAGGCAAAACATTGGATCAGCGATATATAACAATAAGAAAAAAATTCTCATTTTCAAGCAGCTTGATATTGTTACATTCAAAGAAAATTCGAACAATTTTTTCAAATACTTAACTTCTCCATCATCAGCAAATCGAATCGAATCGTTGAAAAAAATCAAACCTATTTCCTCATATTATATGTATTTATGTGAAACGTAAAATATCCTGCAACAACAAAACAACAAATGATAAAGCAATCATTCAATTATGTATCTCATTCAACTGTAGTTTATTATATCCGATCATTTTTTGTTGTTGTTTTTGTTGATTGCATGTCTTAGAAGTTGTAAAAATATCTAATATCATCAGTGTATAAAGAAACGACGACAACGAAAAAACGGCACGACTATATCCTTATGATCCGTATGAAACTTACAATCATGATTAAAAATATAAATTGCCAGGATGATAGTTACTAAATAAAGAGTTTATCGCCACAAATATTTGTGAATATTTATTCACTCTTATGATATGAATCGAATTTTGTTTACAAAATTTGAATTTGTTCTATAATACTCGTTTTTGCAAACAACAACAGAAATATATTCTTATTCAAATTGTTATCAAAATATTTACCTTCATCGAATTGTGTTACGAATGTAGATCACTTTTGTTTAAAAAAACTACGATGGCCGATCATCAAGAAAATAAGATTGTTAATGATTCTGAAAAATCTTCTATCAAATCGATGGAAAAAATGGATAGAATAGATTTCGAACAAATATCATCAGATATTCAAATGATAACCCAACAAGGAGAAGAAATCAATAATAATGAAGACAAAGAACGAAAATCAAAATCCGAATCTCGAACAAGATTTCCATCATTTTTAAATGAAAATGCATTAGATATTCATGTTAGTGAAAATCATTTATTAATCAATCATCAACGACCATCCACTAGTCGTATTTATCATCCCCAACATGATCATCATATTATGGACATATCATCATCATCATCATCATTACCAAATGCTGCTCCTGTGAATGCTGTTGTGGACATATCTTTGTCATCAACACCATTTGAATCTCAGCCAACATCGCTGTCGAAAATTATCTCAAATCGCCTTGACAACCATAATGATGATAATGTTGATACTCAGAAAATCGACACAGTGGTTGTTTTCAACAGTGATAATCATGCTCAACAAACACAACAGCCGCATAATCCTTATCAACAGCAACAAATGATCCGAACAATATCGATTGACCAACAACCAACCAATATTCTTGAAATTGAACGAATCAATTTGGACGATGATGATGATGATAATGACATTGACAAAGTTAACAAGAGACAAACTAACAGTTATCGACATCGACATAGACATCGAACGAATAATATTGATACGGACGATACAGATGATGATGGTGATGGTGATCGTGATATACGTGGTGCTCGTGATAATTTTCGTCGATTAAATAATCCTATAAGTGGTGATGCTGACGGCATTAGGTCATTTATTGTCAATGATTCCAGACGACAGTCACAACACTCATCATCATCAAATCAGAATATTGATTATCTATTTTCATTATTACCACCAAATGAATTAAATATGGAAATGCCATTTGAAGATCCTATTCAAATTCGTGGGAATGGTAATATTACATTGTTTGGTCTTTCCAATTGCTATGAATCATCATTTCCATCAGCATTATTGGGTCGTGTATCCAAGGAAGAATTCGAATATACTATCGGTCGTATCAATCATTTGTTACAACAACAACATTCCACTAATATTAAATTCTTATTACTTGGGTGTCTTTGTTGTTGTTTTTCATTGGGATGTTCACTACTATGGCCTGGATTTGCCTTATCACGACGAACTAAAAATTCATTAGAAAAGGTTAGTAAATAATGATCTTTTTTATTCATTCGTTTTTAATCATGTTTCAAATCAAATTTTTAGCTTTTGGCCATGGAAAATTCCCGTTTGTATAACAAGCTTGGATTAAATTGGCGGCTTTCAAAACAACCATCCCATACAAATCATTCATTTATGGAATATATTTTGATCATAGATTTCTTGCCTAAAATGCACATCTATCAACCAGATTGATTTCCATCGAATCGTAACAATCACAGTACATGATTACAATGTTGATTCAAAAAGTCAAACTTTTTATATCTCCTACCTCTATTATATTTTTTTTTCTTCTACCTTATTTGTTACTAAATGTTTTAAAAAATATGAAAATCATTTTACAAAATATTATATGACAAATTTGAATGGGTTTAATATTCTTTGAAAATTTGAAGAAGACTGAAAAAAATTTGATACAATTCCATACACAACCATGTTCTCACACTTACTCATAAACACAAAACAAAGTTAATGTTCAAAAAAAAAACAAAAGGTTTTCATAATCATCATTGTCATTATTTCATAACAATCACATAATGTTATCATTGGATTTTTTTTGTGGTCTGTTTTAGCTGTTATCATTTTAATTTATCTATTTAAGAAAAATTGTTTAATAAAAAAAATCTGATTATATTGTTAATTTTATCTGAAATTTGAAGTTTAAATCGGCGAAAAATATTTATTATGATAAGTTAGTTAGTTTTAAAATGGTAACCTTGGTGACCGAATTTGTTCACTTTAGTCAATCATAACAAATGAGTTCCTAGAGATTCTGAGTCATTGAACGCACACAATAGACACCGAAAGATTTCGAACCATCATGATGTTTGACATATCAAGAATATCGGCAATCGATATTAAATCATTAAGTGAAGAAGAAACTGATTCTTGGTGCAAAAAATTAATCAAGGTATGTTATAAAAACTAAGATTTTTTTTTGAATATTCATTTTAATAAAGTTATTGATATTAGTATCCAATCAATAATGTGGAACAGGATTTGGATAAGAATGAACTCATACAATTGTTTCAATTTACAAGATCCTTGTTGAATGTTAAACATATACAAACAAATGTTCTTCTGGAAGAATTGCAAAACATTGAACAAAAATATGAAGATATTGAAAATGAATTGGATACATTAAGAAATAATCAAACAGATACCGAACTAAAACAATTGCAGAAAAAATATGATGATCAAGAACATCAGCTTCAGAAAGCTATCAAACAACGACAGGAACTAATCAATGAACTTGAACAAAAAGATAAAGAATTGATGCAAATTCAAACATCCATTTCACATAGCACCGATTCAACAATGACTAGTGATAACTTATCTGATTCACGATTTTCAACTGATGAAATGAAACTTCGATTGAAAGAAAAAAATGATCAAATCGAACAACTGTTAGATAAATTATACGATTCGGATCGTATTAATCTTGATCTAGCCGAACAAGTGGCTAAACTTCGTGTCGATTTGGCCAAATCGGACAATGACTGCCAATTATTGACCGCTAGACGACAAATGCTTGAACAACAAATCCTTGAATTAGAAAAGCTTAATGAAAGCTTATTAATAGATCGGCAACGTCGCGACCAAGAACTTGATCGCCTTCGTAAGGAAATGATTGGAGAGCAAAAGAACTTGGCTGATTACCAGGGACATTTATCAGACTTGGACACTTCATTCCATCAAAGAATGACAAAAGAATTAGATAAGCTAAAAACTTTAATCAAAGTTAAAGATTCTGAAATACATGAACTTCGTGAAATGATCAAAATGTTGCCAAACGAATCAAATCAAAACGTTAAACAGTTAGAAGAACGAAGAGATCAAATCGAACGCCTTGAAGAAGAACTTAGTATTCTAACTGAAGGTTTGCGGCAAAAATTTCAAGAAGATGGAGAACAAAGTAATCAAGACGAAATAAATGATCCAATCAAACTACGTAAACAAAATCGAAAGATGCGAAATTTAAAAACACAAATTAAATCCCTTGAAATGAGAATAGATGAACTTGAACATGAAGCTCGTAATAAGGACGAAGCATTAACACGTCAGCGTAAACGAATGTCGATGCTGATAGGTGGAGATGAACGCATAAGAAAGTTGTTCGAAGAAAATACCGTCCTTACACGAATGTTAAGGTCACGTGAAAATCGTATAGAATTTCTTATCAATCAACTCAATAAACATAATTTAGTTCCTGAAAGTCCAATCGAATCTGAAGCATCCAATGATTCAAGTATAAAATCTATACAACAAGAAATAGAACTCCGTGACCAATTGATAGCCGTAACTGTTGAACGTGATGTTTTACAACGTCATCTTGAAGCCGTTCAAACCCACATGGAATCTATTCATAATGAAAATTTAGAGCTTCAAATGGGAATGAAAGAAATTCTTGATGGCTTACGACAAACAGATGTCACAACTGATCTGGTACTCGAATGTCCAAGTTTAGAAAAAGTTTGCAGAATGCTTGAAAATCGATCAATTTATTATGGATTAAATGGAAATCAAAATGGTGAAAATCTCACACAGATGATTCTACTAAAATCTGAATTAGATCACATTCGAGGACAAAATGATCAGCTTCGAATCGAACTAAAAAACTTGAGAGCAGATTTTCTATCAGTAATTGATGAATACACTACTGATATACTGAATAATTGGACGATGAGTGGTGATGAACAGGCTCCAAATTCTAACGACAATAATTCTATGCCGAATTCGTCTTACATTGACCAAAATGAAAACGATGATGTTATTGTTACAGATGATTACGAAAATGATGATGATACGCTTTCTCAGTCAAAAGATGAAGAAGAATCAATTGCAGAATCAAAATCGACTGAAGGATCGACTTTAAGGCCAAGATCGAGAATTCAAAGAAGACTAAGTTCGCAGGAAGGTAAAGTAGAAGCTTTGACTGATACAAAGCAAGCTCCGGAAAGGATCTCAATTGGCACTATGACTTGTTCATCAGAATCTGTTAAAACTCTGGATGTTGGATTAGATCCAATTTTTTCCAAAGAATCTGAGCAAGTACAGATTTCAGAAGCTCAAATAGAAAACAAATCTACACAAAAGTTCATAGTAGAAAAAGTTGATGAAAAATCAATTGGAAATGAAATCGTGAAATCTTATGAAAATCATTTGTCTGAAAAGACTAATTTAAATATTAGCGACGAGGATCAATACGTATTAATGACCGATGTTCAGGTGCAAACTTTTTCGCCAAATTTTCATTCTCAATCTACACAAACAACCGAATGGAAAGAAGTCGTACAAGAAACGGTTCACTGTGAACAATGTCAAAAGCATTTGAACATGTTGAATTCGGTTCGCCGGCTATTCGAACAAGAACGGCAACAATTTCGACTTCAGGAAACAAAAAACTTTGAAATGATTGAATCTTTACGTCAAAATCTTACTGTAAGTACCATTATCGATTCTAACATAGTTCTATATTTTTTCATTTTAGTTGGTTAAAAAAGAATACAAGTTGGATGTTGATGCCAGAAATGAAGAAATTCAAGATTTGCGAGACAAAATGGTAAAAATGACTAACTCAATACAAACGATCCAAATGGAAAAAGAACAGAAACAAACTTCTTTAATTGAGATTAAATCCAACAGCAAAGATGAAGAAGAAATTGTTGCGAAAATAGCACAAATTCAGCCTCAACAACAACCACTAGAAAGACAATCAATCGATTCGAATCAAATGAAACAAAACAAAGCGATTCTTGAAACAATGATCGAATGTTTGCAAAATTGTCTTAAACAAAAAGACGAAGCGTTATGTGAATATCGTGCGATGCTAGAACAAATGCGGCAGACGTATGCGACTGCAGACAAATCTCGCCATCATATTCAACAGCAAGCTAATTCGTTGAGCATAATTGAACAGAATCGACAAAGTTTATCCAATCAAAAGGAAGAGAGAAAATTCGTTCAGTCGAGCGTTGAAGATGAACAAATCAACATTTTGGAAATGGAAAAAATTTATGAAAATTTATTCGTCAAACCAAAAATGCAAGAGAATGATCAATTGATGGAGCTGTTGCGGTCGACTTTACATCAGCTAGAATCGTAAGTTTAATTTCGTTAAATCATAGTTATATTCAGGATAAAAATTAATGCCTTTTTCTAAGTGTCCGAACAAAATCACGGGAACGTATCAAACAATTGGAAATGGAACTTCAAACAAAATCCAATCTTATAGTCGAACTCGAATCAAATCTAAATCATGCGACTAAACAATTAGAGTCTAACAAAGCTAAAATTCAAGTTTTCGAATCCGAATCACGATCTAAAGAAGAAAAAATTCAAACATTGAATACTAAATTAAATGATATGATCCGAAGAAATCAACAATCAATTCAAACAGCAACAGCTTTAAAGAAAAAGGTTGAAAACTCAATTTTTCAAGAAAGTGCTGATCTTCGATCAAAAATTACCGAACTTAATGCGGAGGTACGACGAGTTGAATTGGAAAAATGGAATATTGAAAAACGTTTATCACAAGAACGTCAATCGGCACGTGAGCGCCTTAGCGAACGTGATCAACAAGTTACACAACTTAACGAACAATTGTCGAAACTCCAATCATTAATGGCGAAAATGGAGCGCAAATTGATTGCTAAAAAAGATAAACCAACGCCAAAAATCGAAACCGAAAATCGATCCGTACAGACTGTGAACGAAGATCAACAAGAATATTCAAATCGCTCTGTTCGATTCAGCCAAATTCAAGTGCAACGAGAGGAACTTCCACTTCAACATTCGTTCGGTAAAAAGAAAATAATCAAACCAGATATTCATGTCAACATGCTTATGACAGACGAATTGGAAAAACCCAAAAAGACCAAAAAACCGATTCGTACAAAAAAACTTTTAAGACCCGATATTCAGAGCATTCACAGTTCGAATGACGAACAATTGAAACAAGTTGATGAACAATTTCATTATTTAAAAGAATTCTCAATACAGAATAACCTGGATCAAATTGAATCAAGTTCTGAAACTGCAGATGAAATATTATCGATTGAAGACGATTCTAGTCGACAAATCGTCATCCATCCGAGAGACCGTGATCATATGTCATCAATTATCAATGAAATTGCTATTGTTGATCGTAAGACACCAACAACTGATTCAAATCAAGATATCACGTTAATGAATCAAATCAAAAGACTCAGTCAACGAATGAAAAAATCGTCTTCAACTAGTTCGTCTATGGGAACAGCTACCTCTTCTTCTTCGTCCTCTTTATCAATAAAATCGAATGGCTATTGTTTCGATAAAGTTGTACAGAAAAATGAAAAAAAGTTACAAACATCTGATTGCTGCCGTGATTGCAAATCAAAATTGCAAACACACCGTATTGAACAACATTTAATTGATTTAAGCTTAGAACGTTTATTGGATCAAAATGTAGGCCATTTGAAATCATCACTAAACATTTGTGAAGCATCAATTTCGAATTATTCAGCAAAAAAGAAATCAATAGAAAAAAATGATCATGGCCATTATGATCATACAGAATTAGATTGTGATCAAATATATGAATAAGATTATTAATAAAAAATATATACATGATATGGCATCAAACATAAAAGAATTTGTTTTTAAAAATCAATAATTTGTATAACTAAGATATTGTGTTGTTATTGTTACTGGTATTTGTTCCTGCTGCTGAATGGATGTTGTTAAACTAGAATCCTGACCACCGTTATCTTGAGAAGAATTCGTTGATTGTTGATGATGAACATGATTGTTATTTGATGCCTGTTCTTCAACACTAATCAATGTTGCATGATGATTTAATAATTGATTAAGATTTGCATCGGAAGGAACGGACAAAAGGGTTGCCGTCTGCGGCTGTTGAACATGAAGTTGGTGTTGATGTTGTTCATGACCATGTTGTTGTGGCACGATCGTAACCGAAGACAATGGTATTGATTTAATCGCATTCGATAATCGTTGATTTCCATCACCAACACCACTGCCTGACGTAAACAATAATGGCACATTTGTAGAAGAGACGGCTGCTGCGGTTGTTAATTCCAGATTATAAAAGGTTTGGCTAGTTTGTCCAGCATTTCTATCACTTGCTATTTGAATGTTCAGAGATTGATTCGTAATATCATTATTAGCAGTTACCAGACATTGTTGATGATCTTTTATTCCGGCAAATTTTTTGACAAGTGGAGGAGTTACTTCATTTGTCGATGTTTGCTGACCACTATTATTGTTGTTAGTGTTCATAGTTATCGAATTGATGGCTATAACCGTTTCAGTCGTATCATTGCTGTTAATCGCTCTGTTAATATTTTCACGGTCATCATTACAGGTACGTTGTTTGTTTTTATTCGAGAACATTTCTTCGATAAAATAATCTATGACAGCATCATTAGCTTCAAAGCCAAAATGATATGCACGCAAGTGTTCCTTGAATTGTCGATCACAATCAGCTGCAAATGAACATTTTTGACATGAATACATTTTCATTCCTTCGTGTTTTTTGTTTTTTTGTATGTGTCGTTTAATATCGACGATCGCGTTCGCTACGTATGGACAATACGGACATTTGTACTAAAAACAAAATTAATCAGCTGAATTTTAGAGAAAAGTATGTGATTACCTTTGTCGTGAGATGTGCTTGTAAATGAAAGTCTAATGTACTGGGAAATATGGTAACAAAATTACAATCAGGAAATGTACATTTCAAATCGGTTTGTGAAATATTTTTCGATGTTGTTTGACGTCTATTTTTGTTTCGATTTGATGATTCTGTAATTAAAAAAAAAAATTAAATTAAACCAAAAATTGAATCATAAAAAACCATACGTAATTCATATGTGGGTGATGAAGTTGAAGGATCCACTTCGGTGATTGTTGTTGTTAACGAATGACTGCTATTATTACTGCCTGAGTGTGAATTGGAATTAGTATGAATAGGGCCATCATTATGGTAATATAGTTGAGCTGGTTTTGACGACGATAATGACGCGAATGTTGCTTTTCCGTGTTTTATCGGAATATGCTGTTCGAGGTAGTCATTATGAGTAAAAGTAAATTCGCAATACGGACAGCTCAAAGGTTTTTCCGTAGTGTGTAAATCGCTAAATTGTTTATCAAATGGTATTATTTTAGATGTTCAAAGTATAACAAACTTACTAGATGTGACGATAAACTTGATGACGAGTCAACTTGTCGGTATCACAGGCCGAACATTTATAAATGGACTTTGAATTAGAGTTTCTGGTAGTAAAAGATGTTGTGGATAACATATAATGATGATCAGTAATTTGATGATTCATTTTATGCAGAATTAGTGAAACATTCGACTTAGTTTTGAATTGACATTCATCACATTCATGTATGTATTCGATTAGACGTTGTAACTTTGGCGGATCGGTTGTAAGCTCATGACTTTGATTGTTGCTGTCGATGGCCATGTTCAACGTATTAATCAATCGTTTTTTTATTGATTCAAGATGAGTTCGTTGCATTGATAAGCTATTCTCCTGTAAGGCTTTTGTCTCGGTGACTTCTCGTTGTAATTCCATATATTTTTGTTTCAAAGAAATCAACTCTTTCTCAATTTCTATTCGTCGAGCCTGTTCCTGTTGTAATGATTGCTGAAGATGATCAATTAACGCAACAGAACTTATTGTCGTTGTCTGTGTTTGAGAATTTAGATGTATTTGTTGATCTGTTACGGCATTATTATTATTATTGTTTTGTTGAATCAAAGATGGATTTGTTAACGAAAAAAATGTGCCGACATCCATAACGTTAGTTTCATTCCCTCCGTTACCTATACGATTCACAAACCAAGAAGATGATGATGATGATGACGGATGTTCCATGTGTCTACAAATAATGTTTTATAAATTATATAAATTAGTTTTGTCAAGCACTTACTAGAATTTTTCTAAATTGAATATCATGAAATTTGAATCATTTGAATGAGCTATAAGCATAAAGGATTAGAAAATGTGAATATATTTTCGATTGGAAACAATCCTAATTATTTAAAATTAAAATTTTACAAAATGATTTAAAAAACTAAATATCATTTGATCAAAAGAAAGTGGAAAATGACTGTATTTCATGAGCAACTATTCAAATTGCAATGGAACACAATCGACTCGAGAATCCATCGTACATTTGTTAATATCGATGGTTTACAATCGATATTCTTGCAAGCAAGTAACATTTTTTTATGGATTTAAATTTTTAATTATAATAAAATAATAATGATAATTCTTTTAATATCCGGTACTGATTTTTGATATAAACATTTAAATTTGCCCAATTTAATTAAATGTAATGTATATAAATAAGTATTAATAATTAATAAAAATAGGAAGATACAAAGGGGCAAGAAAATGATGTGTAAATCATAACATTTTATCAATTGGCCTATAAGTAGAATCGGGCCAATTTTTTTTGTTGTTGTTGATTGCTGCTTGTTGGCTGATCGACAAATAGAACAAGAGGTGATGGTGGTGAGAAAAATCGATTACAACATCATTGATTCTTCATAGAAAAATATTTCAATTAACCGGAAAAGAATGAAGATCACTTGAGTTTTTTTTAAATCTAGATTTCTTGCATCGCATTTTTTAAATCTAGATATCGACATTATTATTCGTAAATTCTTGCAATGTATGAGCGAATCGTGTCCATTCATCACTTTTGGGAAATGCCAATTGCTGAAATATTCGAAGACGAATAATGAATTTTAGAATCATTAAGTTCAAGAGAATTTTACTTACCTCGCTCACATCATAGACCCAAATTTTTCCATTATCATCGCCCACAACAATTTGTTGTCCATTTGGAGACCATATTAATCTATTCAGAGCAGGATTACCTTCGACAATTGTTGATAATGTAGGTAATTCTGTATCCTGATTCAAGTTCCAAAGATCGAGTTTACCAAGGCCATCGGCTGTCGCAAACAATGCTGGATGAATAGGCGACCATCTAACATCATACAAGTAATCGCTACCATCTTCGAATGAATACAACAATTTTGAGGATGTGGAATTATCACGCATACTCCACAGTTTGAAAGTCCAATCGAAAGATGCCGTAAGAAAAAGATGCGATAGCTGTTGATCTACTTGATGATGTACCAGCGAGGTAGCGCTGTGAAAATCAACAGCAGTTACCGGACCTTGGTGTCCTTCGAACACATCTAATATACCAGCTTTAGCACCATGTCTGCAGGCCGAATAAACAGCACCGTCCTGGCTACCCAGTATAAAATTATTGTAATCAGCATGTGGAAATGACATTGATGTGACGGCAATCAAACGGGATTGCTTTTGCTGACAAAGTTCCATTGTTTCTTGTGGTTGCGATAACATGTCCAAACTCCACGAACAAAGTTTGCCATCGTTTGATATTGAAATTAAATTATGAGAATTAGGCGTACCAACAACTTTCAAACAATAAACAGGATGAGTGTGTACGGAAGCCGATAAAGGGCTACGTTGAACAGGAACACGTTTCCCGGAACGATTATCCCAGAGTACGATTTGGCCTGAAACAATTTTTCATCAAATCATCAAATGGAATAATTAAAGGTTGTAATATAATCGAAATTGAAATACATACCGGAATATGTACCACCAAGAATTAAATTGGGATGAAACTTAGCAAAACATGCTGACATGACGGCCGATTGACAATGAAATACATATTCGGGTGTATTTTTCTTGAATTTCATGTTCCAAACCAAACATATCCCATCAGGTTCGTTTGGAGCATGCTCATTTTGATTATATGAAGCGACTAGCAATTCTGGAAATTGCGAACACCAATCAAAACTTGTTACAGTACGTCCACGGCTCCATCGATCATCCGAAAAGGTTGTGTTCAAACTTAAACGTAAGCCACTTTTGTCTTCATTATCGTGGCCACATTCCACTTGACCAGTGTAATCAACGAATATATCCATCGAATCGGTACAGGAAAGTGCACGTTCTGTAATGCGAACAGCTCGATCAAGAAATTTTCGAAATGCTTCAGTTTGCATTAAATGACGCCGCTCTTCTTCTTTGTATTCTACACGCTTCTTTTTCTTTTGTTGTTGCTGTTCTTCCTGTTGCATATCAACAAGATCGGCTAATGGCTGTGTTGAATGATGATGGTGAAGATGATGATGATGCAAATGATGATGTAAGTCTTGAGGTGTTGTTGCTGGTCGAACCATTTCAACGGTAGGCAGAGACGATTTTGCTTGTTTCGATTGCTGTTGTGGATGTTGATGATGACCATGCTGATTTTGATGTGCCGGCGCTCCATTCTTTAAACAACCAATAATTAGTAAATCGATTCAAAAATAAAATAATACCAACCGTAAAAATTCCGGAACCAGTATCACCATCATCTTCATTGCCAATATCATCATATGTCAGAACTAGGGAGAAAAAACAATCAAAATATAAGGAATTCGGTTTTTTCGCAATTTAAAAAAAAAACAGATTGAAAGCTTATAATGACAACATAAAAAATAAAAAGCAAAAAAAAATCAATAGGGACAACAAAAGAAAACTCAAATTACACACAAATATTAATCTGTAAATTATAAGCAATACGCGTTTAAATGTTTGTGTGAATGTCTTTTTCTGTATGTGGGTGGCCAAAATGATTGGCAAAAACAAAAACAAAATGAATGAATTAAACGAACAGCGAACTTGACAAAAACAACTCACCATGAAATTCGTCGTCCCATTCTAAGATTATCAAGACCATAAAATTTTTACATCATTAAAATCATCATTAACAGATGGACAAACGGAAAAGGCATATGTCAACAATATTTAATTAAAATTAAAATGAGAATTAAAAACGAAATATTGGCATGCAATTGTTTGCTATTCAGAATTTAGATTTCAAGATAAACAATCAATATAATGTATCGTTAAAAAAAGACAAAAATAGATTACCTTCATCCCAATGAATTACTGTATTTAGCGAAAAAGCAATGTGAATATTTTCAAGAAAAGTAAAGATAAAAGACACAGAAATACTGGTTAGATAGGGTTAATTCATCGGTCTGATATTGAAAATTGCCAATGTATGTGTGGATGTAAGCAATGAAATTATTGAGTTTTCTTTTGTCAATCAGGAAGGCAATTACATTATGAATGGGCTAAAACTATGTCTATTCTATGAATAAGCTCACTGCACTAACACTCTAAATCGATTCTAAATCTAAAACTTACCATAGTAATCAACAGGACCACCGCGACCATCATTGCCGGTCGATCCAGTCGAACCATTATTACTGGTAGTAGATGTTGCAGTCGTTTGCGTCTGTTTTTCATAGGTTACCTGCTCTTTGGGAGCGATCAAAACCGGTGGGAATGATGCTAGGCCAAGTTTCACAGATGAATTTGAGCCCAACGTTTTCGTTTGGTTCGATGCGACAGATGACGAAAGTGATGAAGCATCTTCCGATATAGTCATATCGTTAGGCGTCGATTGTTGTTGTTGTTGATTTTGATTATGGTTGGATAATGATACCGCGCTACCTGAAATTATAAATCAAACACCAAATGATCATAAACAGGAAGATTTTTATTTGAAATGACTTACCTTTATTCGTCATAATACCGACCGATTCGAGCAGTTCATCAACGTCTCGAGTGGTTGAATCTCCGGGAATGGATGTTAATGATGATGACATTGAATTGTTATTATTATTATTCAAACTATTATTATTTACATTTGTAGGATTATTATTGATAATATTGGTCATCATAGTTGATGATGCTGACATTATCGTTCTATTTGTCTGATGTTGACCAAGTCCAAGATCGGACATGAAATCACGATCACGATATTTATCATTGCGTCGTTGTTCTTTTAATTCACGAAGCTGTTGAAGTTTAAGCTTCTTTTTTTCAAGTTCAGCTCGACGGTCAGTCATTTTGCCGTTTTTATTGTTTGGTTTCGAAATTGAAACTTACAAAAAGTTGCATCCAAATAAAATTGGAATAGAACCAGCGGCAAAAAAAAGATAAAAAAGATACGAAGTACAGACGAACTTAGATATAGGCGTTAACCATCAGATTGGATAAATGGAGCATCAAGATGAAAAATTTGTTCCAAAAATTATTGCGGAATATTATCGAAGGATAATTATGATCGCTTTTTATCAGAATGATATTGATGAATCATCTGTGTTTGGCCAACAACGCGTAACTATAACATCAACGTATACGGCTTACAGCTATGACAGAGGATTTGACTGGCAAGCCTACCCGCTTGCATAAATATTCTCATCCGAAGATCTGCTATAACCTAAACACACAAGCAAGAGATCATAAATTTCAGGAACATTTCCACTATTTTTACTCAATTTTACTTTCGGGAAATTTTTTTACAATTTATTGGATTATTTTTGATGAAAACAAATTAAGATTTAATTTCACAATATTTGGGCTACTCACTAATCACTCATAGCCAATATCGAATAATCTTTTCTTAAACTTGTTTGGTCAATCAATATCATTATCACCATCTTTCCGTATCCTGTTGTATTTGAACAGTCGATTGTTTTTTATTGAGTGTGTTAGAATAACAAAAATAAAATAAGTGGACAGTTCTATGTTGATGAATCATTGAATTTTGTCCACTTATATCATTCGATTATTTTATTGTGCGTAGGTGTTTTTCTCCACTCGCTCAGGCAATGAGTTTTCATACCAAACTGGTATGTATTTATTTCCATATCTTTTTAGCATAGTCGTTTATAATTTTCAAAGATTCAGTAAAACCATGACATTAGAAGACGAACAACGATTATCATCTTCATCACAATCATCAACACCATCGAATACAGTCGACGTAGAAAACGTAAGAAATACACAAAGTAATCCCGAAGAATCGAATCAGTCAAATTCCGAGCAATCAACATTGACAACACAAAACCAAACGGAATTAACAACTACTGAAGAAATCAGACCAAATAATCAAACAGAATCGCAATCCGATCAACAAGACGATTCGAACATTGATCAATTGCAACATTATATCAGTCAAATCCATTTTGATTCGACCACTGGTCGTCATCAGATTCCACCTGAATTATTGGCTGAAGATCAAGATCTTTTGGAATCAGAATTTCAAACGCTTGATAATGATATTGACGTTATTGAGATGTATGTAAATCGATTAAATGAACAGGCAAATGATTTGCAAGAAAAATTGCGTAATTTACTTCAAAATATAATTCAAGAAGATAATTTTTCATCATCAGACATCGCAACTACCAAAACCAATTAGAGTTTTGCATTTTTTTCAAGTTATCATTATTGCATTTATCATTTCACGCATCATGAATTACAACAACAGTACTGATACAAATAGAGATCGGTTAATTGATCGATTGCGAAACGATACTCGTTTGAAACCTTTCCTAAACAAACCTAAAATGCAAATGTTCATCAAGGAAATACTCTCTGATGAGCATAAATTCTTAAATCAACAATTATCTAGATTACATAATGATCGCAATCGGGCATCAACATTATTTGAAGATCAACGACTTGAGCAACAAATATCTCCATTAGAACAACATCTGATCGATGGTCAAGGATCAGATGAACAAAATTTTCTCCGATTATTAATCGAGATTATTCAATGACCGTATTAATTTAAAATATACTACATTCCCTAAAAATTAGTCAATTTGGTTGTATTTTTATTAATAACTTTTAAATGAAAAAAATAAATGAATTTATATCAGTGGAAATTTTTTTTGAAAAAATAAATGAGAAATAATTAATTTTCAATTAATTAGGTTTCAGCTCAAAATCTTTTTGAACTTGTACGATCGGCACAAATAATTCACTAACATTGGACATTGGTGGCAAATTATTTAAATCGGTTGTTAGGTTTGATGCGGATGATCCTGTTGCACTATTGGGTTCTAATTCAGCCAGTTTCCATTGCCACCGTAATCGTTGAATAGATGCTAATGATTCTGCTTCCAATCGTTGACGATTCAACATGTCTATTTTGATTTTGTTCCATTTATCATCATCATCACTTTTCCATGATAGAAAAACACGGCCATTAAAACGAATACGTCCACAACCGGTCAATGCCGATGGACCGTCATTCAAAAATGATGGATTATCTGTTTTGATCTGTGCAATAATCACGTTATCTTGGGAATGGTCAGTTTCAAGTTCAAGTTTGTTATAAAGTTCTTCATCTTTCAAATATGTACACACCGACAATGGCATTGTTTGATTTTTTTTGTACATATCGGCACGATTATAAAGACGTAATGTCTCCTGTTGTACAACCATACAAAGTTTTTCTTGTTCGACTCGATGTCGCAAACGCAAATGATGACGTTCACGTTCTTGTTCAATAAACAATGAAAACAATGGCGAATCTTTGGTCAATTGATCCGGTGGTGAAATCATTTGTAAAAGATCGGGCAATTTTTGCTGTGATGTTGTTTTTAATAGGTAATCGCAACGATTTAATAGATAATTATGAAATCCAGGCGGTTGTTTTGATTCATTCATTATCGGTATTGGCATGGTCCGACGTCGACGGCGTACATGATCCCGAATAGCCATGAACATTCGATGTGAACTTCGTTCTGCCTGATACTGATAAAGATTCATGTTGAATTCATTGTTTGCTCCGTTTGAACCAATTGAATTACCAGAACCATTTGGTCCACCGTTACCATCACCACCACTACCAGCCTCATTATTATTATTGCTACCATCACCATCAGCATTTTCACCGATCTGTCCGGAAGAATTAGTCCCAGACAGTTGATTTGATTGATTTAAATTGGTTTGTCCGCTATTGGCGCCAGAACCACGATCATTCGAATAATTGTAATAGTTGGAATTTGTATTGGCTCCACCAACAATAGTATTATTTGAATTGCCAGAACCACCAGTAGTTGTTGTATTTGAAGCATTCGTATTTCCCACTGCATGGCCATGACCCAAAGATGATCGATTTTTCTTTTTTCTAGTACCAGTCGAAACAGGTGCATCATCATCATGATGATGTTTTTGTTGAGCTACACGTTGACTACTTCGTGTAATTCGATGATTTGATGCTGTCGTGGTGGTTGTAGCAGTACTAGTCGTTGTCGATGCCGAACTTGCAAAAATTGACGACGAAGCTGCACCCAAATTCGATGATGTTGATGATATCACAGCAGATGTATTGGTATTCAAATTTGTTACCGATTCAGCATTTGAATTATCCACCGATTCCATTTGCTGCTGATCACCGGTCGTTGAAACAACATATGGATACTTTTGTGCGGTTTGACCACCATTTATAACATTGTTTCCATTGATAGCACTACTTCCATTACCATATTGATCAACACAAGAAACAGTTTGTGATCCATTGCCACTGTTTATCGAATTGATCACGATCATCGGTGGATTGGATCCAGAAGTTCCGCTATTCACAGTACTATTGACACCACTGCCGACAACACTCACACTTGAAGAGTTGACCACCGAATTTGAATTCGATGGTGGCAACACGATTCGTAGGGGTGGAACTCTCATCATCATTTGCTCACTACTGGTAGATGATACATTGGATGCTGATGTATGCGAACCAACAAAAGATGAATCGACATTTTTGCTATCATCATTATCATTATTTCTTTGACCACAATCTTCTCCAGTTGTTGATGATTTGTTCCAATCCATTTTGCTCACTGCTGTCGATTCGGGATCGTTTGAATCATCTTGCTGTGACTTTTTCGATGATTTTGACGAATCTTTGGGCGTCTTCTTACCACTATTATTCGCCGAATCACCACTACGACGTCTTTTACGGCCTCGGAGTTGATGTGAAGCTTGTGTATTCGAAGAATCTTTTATGATGTTTTCATTAACATGAGCATCTTGTTTTGCTACAATTGCTGGTGTCGGTCCAACGCTTGATTCAACGACTGACAATGATTTTTGTTGTTCTATAGTATCCTTCAAATTATCAACGTTTTCGGTTTTGTCACCGACATTTGATACTTGGATATTTGTAGGATCGGATTCACTAGAACCATCTGGTGATTTTTTTGTTTCATTGTTTATTGTCGTTAATGCACTCGATTTTATATCATCATTTTCAAAAGCTGATTTTTGTCCAGAAGAATCACTATTATTGTCGTTATTGGTTGTTGTCGTGGACACAGGTGTTAGCTTCGAAGATGCAGATACAGTCGTCGCTGCTGTTTCAGTATTTGTTCCATTCCCAGAACTAATTGTTGTTGTAATGACTGATGAAGAAATTGTCAATGATAAAGTGGATACCGGTGAGGCGAATGATGATACATGTAGAGGTGGTGACGATACTGTCAATGGCGTTTGTGGTGTGGTCGTGACTGTGGTTGTAGGTGTTGTATTTGTAATAGATGTAGTTTGTTGGCTCGGCATAATCAATTTATCGGATGTTTGATTGTACAGTGGTGAATGTTGGTCACGAATCGTTTGTTCGGATGTTGATGTTATAAATTTGACTATGCTTTGTTCGTTTTCGTCTTCTTTTAACTGCAATTGATTACAATCTTCTCGGTTTTCCGATTTGGTTAATGATTCTTCGTCACTGTCTTTACCAGAAGGCTGAACACTTTTCTTGCTCGAAGATGATGACGAAATAAATTTCGATTGTTGTTTATTTTCCAAATGATTGCGAAGTAATTCTTCGATGTGTTCGTCATAAGCTAAATCGATGGCCGATTGTCCTCGTTTGTTTTGTTGCAATGGATTTGCACCGTGTTTCAATAAAATCTTGACAATAGTTTGATGACCATTTGATGCAGCATCGATCAGAGGTGTTGTTCCACATTGAGCCGAAGCATTCACATTGGCACCATGATTGACCAATACACGAACAGCTTGTGTATGGCCGCGATTGCAGGCTTCATGCAATGCTGTCCAACCTATGCAGAAATTAATTTGAATTGTTATTTATTGTTTGTCTTATATATATCTATAATATTATACAAACCAGCAAAATCTTGTATGTTGATATCATACGCTGTCGCAGTCGATGTAGTTGTATTTATACAATGAAATGAATCGGATAATGATGAAGTTGATGATGGTTGTTCAATCGGAATGGATCGAGTTGATTTTTTTGAAATGCAATTAAAAACGCCGTTGTTCAATTGAAGCAAATGTTCCAATCGGCCAAAATCACCACGGATGGCAGCCAAATGAAGTTCAGTTTCACCTTTGTTATTACGAAAAAATTTTCTTGATGCCGTTGTCGCAGATGCTGGCGATGATGATGAGGACGATGGATGTGTGTATTGCGGATTTAGGTGATGTAAAGATGAATCTTCACCACTTTGTGAATGATGGTATGAAGATGAAGATGAGTGTGTATCCTGATTCGAAAGATTTGAGGATTCTGAATCAGATAATCGATTGTTGGTGGATGTTGTTGTTGAAGCCGGCTGCTGTTGAGAATTTTGATGATACAATTTCGGACTATTCGATCGAGATTTTGATTCAATAAATGGTGTTTGACTTGATGATATCGAATTATCAACGGATAGTTCTAAAGAATAAGTCAAAGAAAAAAGAGATGTGGACAAAAAACAAGAGGCATTTTTAATGATTCTTTTATTCTCACTAAAATATTCAACAAAAAAAATCACATCACATCACAATCGAATACGAAAAAAAAATCAATTTAATCGTAAAAATTGTATCAAATAAAAAAAGTAAGACAAAGAAAAATCACATTATCATCATTGCAAATTCAGTTAATTCTGCCCCTTCTTTCATACAAAAAAATATGATTAAGAGCAATGGATAACACAAAAAAAACAGTAAATGGCGAAACGCAAATTAATTTTAGTCAACGCGTCTGTTCACCAACTGGCACAAAGAAACTGCGCTCTCAGTTTTTTTCCTTTGCTTTCATCAATGGTGATTAGTTGGTTGCATTGAACAAACCAGCTCAAACAAAAAAAAAACTTGAAACTCCTTGTCCTGTCATTTCATCTTCATTCAATCAGTCATATAGCTATCAGGATTATATTCAAGTTGAGGGCCCCCCATAAACAACTAATTTCAAGAAATTGATAATGGTGACAACAAGGGGAGCTAAATATGCTCAAGATAAACTTTCACTGATTTCAACTGCCTTTTGTCTTTTCTTTTTCTCTCTCTCTCTCTTTCTCTCTGTCTCTTACGTTCTTAGTTTATAAAAGGACCTCTTTCACCGCAAGATGGGGTAGGCTGATCACATATAGACACATAGGCACACACCAACGTAAACAAAAATCTGCCTAAATCACACACATAAATTATAAATTTCCAAATGGTCAAAGTTGACATAAAATTACAAGATCAAAAAATAAAAATAAAAACAAAAATAATATGAAAAAAGATAATCTATCTGATGAATTTTGAAAATCAATTTTGTTTTTCACACATAGCAAGTAGTTCAAATATTGGAAAAAAATATAGCTATTTTCACTCGATTGGTTCGAATCAGTGGACAGAGTACGACAAAGGACAAATTCGAACACTCACATTTCTTGGTCACACTTTTCACTCATCTCTCTCCTCTCATTGTGTTTTTTTTTCGATTGGAATTTTAAAATTGTTGCGATATTGAAATGGCTCACGACGAGGGAATCGATGAAGCAAAATTTCAAGGATGGCGTAAATATTATAATTCTTACACCCGAACAGGACGGGCTGGTGCTGCATCAATCACATTGGGCTTAGTTGGTGTTGGTGTTTTATATTTATTGGTCAAGCCGAAAAAAAAGTGAATTCAATTAACCATTTACTAAATCGTAATGATTTTTATTAAATATTATATACATACACACACACATATATACAGCAATGTTTGTATCTTAGCTACTCAAAATGAATAAATAAATAAAAAATTTCATCAGAATCGCACTTACCATCAATAGAAAGCTGAACGGCTAATTCTATCTGTTTTCGCAATGAGAACGGTGCCGTAATGCTACCGACAATAGATGCGGGTAATGATGATAATTTATTAGTATTGAATGATTCGGTTTTGTTTCCTTTTCTTGATGATGATGAACCGGATTCATGATCACCGATCATAACTTCATGTCCATCATGTGAAGAATTGTTAGACAATTCATTTTCTTCATCATTATCATTGGCATTCATAGAATTTTCATCATCTCCATCATGATCCTGTTCATCATCATCATCAATGTTTTGACTGTCATCATCATCATTATCCTCATCAATATGGCTTCCAGATGTTACAACATCGTTAAATGTCAAACGTCGACGTGATGATGAAGATGAACCCGTTATTAAATTTCGTTTGGCCGTTTGAGATTTTCGTTGAAACACTTTGCCGTTAATAGTTTTTGAACGTTGTGAATTATTTGTATTAGCTTTTCGTTTACCACTAATTTTTAAATTGTGATGATTATGACGTAAACTATTGTTGAATGTTGTTAATTTGGAATCGCTTGATATGAACAACGATGATGATTTAGAGTATTGTTTTGTTGAACGAAGTTTCTGGGAATGAAAAAAAATTCATAAATCATTTCCATAATTTTTGGAAACAACTAAGCACAAACCTTATGACTGGACATCAAATATTTACGTGATAAAGAATCATTGCTACTACTATTACTATGTTCATTGGTATGATGATAATTTGGATGGACATTATTATTATTAGGTGTAGTAGTTTTTGCTATTGTCGATCTTTTTACAATGGTCGACGTTGATGGTGATGATTGTTGATGTTTAGTCGAATGTGAACGATCACTGAATAAATTCTTCATGAGATCTCATTAAAAGTTTTCACTTGTTTATAATTATTTATCTTTATTCAAGTATCTTTTCTAAATTCTAATGAACAAATTATGAATATGATGAAATTCATAACACATGTTAATGAATGAAAAGAAATGGCGCCAAAACCTATTTTTTATAACTGTTTGTTTGTAGTATTTTTTAAATTGTTATTTTGATGAACATGATGAAATTTTATTTGCTAAAGAATTTTATTAAAATCAAACAAGAAAAAAACACATCCACAAAAAATTTGGCGCCCATTTTCAAAACTTATTTAAATTCTACATATTTGAATATACAGCTTTTAAATCCACTTCTCTTTAATTAGACAATTTTAAATGGACACTAATTAATTACATAGTAAAATCGATCGATTTAAGTCAATAAATTTTTGGAACATCCAGAATGAAAAAGGTCGAATTTGTTGTTGTAAATATATTGAATTTGAAGGTGTGTAAATGTATGTGTTTCAGAAACAGCTTGAGATTGGCTCGCTACGAAGTTTTCTTGAGCGGGAGAGGGAGAGAGCTAACTTTCTCATTTTCTCCCTCTATCTTATCCTCTCAAATACACACAAATTATTTTCCCCTCTTTTGCATTTGTTTGGTTTTTTGTTTAAAACTTAGCAAATTCCATCCATAGATGTCGTTTTATGTATTAAAAAAAAATTTAGTGTTGGAACAAAAAGATTATCTTGATTTTTGGATCAAAAATTAAATCTTGAAATATATATAGAAAAGTAGTATCATGATATATAATGAAAATAATGAAACAAAAAAAAAATTCACACATACGTCGAAATACATTTACAATCAAATAGATCTGTTTCCTTTCTATGAATGGAATTAACTTTGGATTTTTTTTTTGTTATAGTTGATATTTAAATATGACAATGATTTGTTTTCTATCATGTTAAGTGAATTAAGATGTAGGGGGAGGAGGAGGCATTGAATATCCAACACCACCAGTAGTACCAGAAACTGGTGGTCCGGCTGCTGCTGTTGATGGTGGATATTGTTGCGGTTGATTCGATTGTTGTGATTGATCATTATGATGATAACCACTTGATGACGAAGGACCATAACCTGGATGCATTGATGGTGGTGCTCCACGTGGAGGTTGTTGATATTGACCAGCCGGAGGATATCCTTGTTGTTGAGGTGGCGGCGGGTATCGATTGTGCTGACCACCAGTTTGACTAACAGCCGTTGGCGCTTGTTGTGAACCATTTGATGTTTGCGATGATGTATAAGGTGGTTGACCCCCATACATGTTGGATGGAGGTGGACCATATGGTTGATGGGGAGGAGGTGGATGTTGACCATAACCTTGATAGTAATTAGGCATATAGCCACTTTGTGGAGGAGGATATGGCTGATTTGGGAGAATTGGAGGTTGTCCAGCTGTCTGTTGTGCAACCGATTGAGGACCACCAGCTTGCCCACTGCCATACCATTGGCCACTTTGTGGTGGATAATTTGGATATTGACCATATTGATTTGGCGGATATTGTTGATGAGGAGGGTGATGGTTTTGATGAGGCGGTGGTGGTCCATAATTTGAGCCGTAATTTGCATAATTTTGATGGCCAGGATATTGCTGTGGAGCAGTCGGTTGTTGTTGCTGCGGCTGTTGTTGTTGAGGGTGAGGTTGTTGTGGAGGATATGGATGACCAACAGTTGGTGGTCCATATTGTCCATATTGGTTTGCGGGTGGATAAGGAGAATTCGGTTGCTGCTGCGGTTGAGTGGATGTAGGTGGCATCCAGGTTTGCGATGAATGAGGGGCAGGCGGATAAATTGGATGTGGTTGTTGACCAGACGGTTGCGATTTTCCACTACCATAATTTGGCCTGGATGGATTAGAATTTGATACGTTCGATGATTGCGATGTTGGTAAAGCTGATACTGATGGTGGCCGTGGTGGTATCGATTCTTGTGATTGCGGTTGTTCTCTTCTGGATGATGATGGTGTTGCTGACCGAGGTGGATAATTTTCATTACTTTCGGATAAGGATTTATTATTACTATTATTGTGATGATCTGCATTAACAGTGTTATTATTTTCCAAATTATTCGGCGGTGTCATGCGTTGAGATTGTGTTGTAGCCGGTGTCGACATTGGCTGATGATGATTAGCTGGTGGAGGAGGATGTGAAGGTGCTTGAGCAGCAGAAACTGTGATATTGGGTGGATAACCTGGGGCTGTGGAATTATGATTCGGAGGTATAGGTGGACCATTTGTTGCTGGTGGCGGAAACATTGGTGGTGGCAATATTTGGTTTAGATTTGGATTAGTTTCAGCAACCGATGCTAGATAGACAAGATTTCTATGTAATGTTTGTTGTAACGCAAAACAATCCTGTGCACGGCCTCGATTTTGATATTCCATTATACAATGAATAAGATGATTGTTCTCGTCCAATATCTATAGACGAAATGCAACAATGAAATATTTAATTCAAACTGCAATCATTCACAAACCTTTTGAACTTGAGACGAGCTGATGGGAGGCGGTGGAACTTGAGGTATTGGATGCTGCCTTGGACCATGATGAGCATGATGATGGCCACCACCATGATGATGATTACCACTGGATTTACCAACAGGTAATTGTGGCGGTTGCTGATGTTGTTGTTGTTGTTGATGCTGTTGATGATGATGATGATGATGAGGATGATGCGGAGATGGCGGAGGCATCGATGATGAATATGAATGTTGTTGTCCTTGTTGTGGTGGCGGTGGCAACGGTCCAACATTGGACGGTGTTGATGATGATGTTGATGGTGGTACCGCCGCCGAAGCTGCTGCTGATGGCGCCGAAGCCATTATCAATGATTCAATTCTATTTTTTCAATTAAGATTAAAATGATAAAAAAACTAAGAGAGATCAATCAATCAAGGAATGTAAAAAAATTTAGCATGAATCGAATATGCTCCGAATCTGTGTGCGAATAATTTTTTTTCGCTGTTGGCCTTTTCAATACAGTCAAAAATTTATTTGATGTCGATGTCAATGAAGTCGATGAATAGCGAGCGTAATTTGTTCGTTCATTCTTTTGAGCGCAAACAATGAAAGCATCTATTTACACTCGACCGGCATGTTCATTTTGAAAAATTTTTTTTGGTTGCCAATTATTTATTATTTAGTTTATATCAATTCATTTTAAATTTTTTTCTAAAATGGATCACATTCTATAGAAATTACTTTTATTTTTGAGAAAATTAAATTTCTTGCCTTAATAAATTTTAATCTGCTCAAAATTGTATTCAAAAAAATTTGTTTGTATCAAAAGTTAAAAAAGCTGTTTAGGTAGAAACAGTCGACAAACCTTTCGAATGCAACGTTCAATTTAATAAAAAAACTGAAGCTTAGTTGCATGCATGTGAGATATCATTCTAATTAACTCCAGTATTCATATTATTCGTTCGAATTTTGTTAATAAATTTTAAAACAAATACTGTTTTTCCGATATCATAAAAATATCAGATAGAAAAAGTCATTCAATTATGACATCGACTCTATCTGCTGTAAATGATAATCATGTTGCAGCACAATCATCTTCATCATCATCAATACAACAGCAACAACAACCACCAAATGATTCGGATGACCTAATCGATGATATGCTCAACGATGGTCAGAATTCCATTCATCAAGAAATGGAATCAGAATCCCATGGTGATGGTGGCAGTCATGAAGATAATGATGGTGCTCGAACAGGCGATGATGAAGAATTAGAGGTTATAAAAGCTCGCGTTAGAGAGATGGAAGAAGAAGCAGAAAAATTAAAACAAATGCAAGATGATATTACCTCACAGATAAGCAATACTGGCTCAAGTATGTGTCAATTTATTTATTTTTTAAAAATTCCATTTGCTTATTTTATTTTTATAGATGATCAATCAACCTTATCACCCGAAGAACGAGCCGAAATAGATAGCCGGTCCATTTATGTTGGAAACGTAAGTTTCTATTTCTTTTCCTTTTTAAATTAAATCATTATTCTCTAATCAGGTTGATTATTCGGCCACTGCTGATGATCTCGAAAAACATTTCCATGGTTGTGGTTCAATTAATCGTGTGACCATTCTGTGTGATAGATTTACTGGACATCCGAAAGGGTATGCGATTCATTATTTTTTTACAATGATGATATCTTTTTATTCCATATTAAGATATGCTTATATAGAATTCGCTGATAAGGATTCCGTCGAAACAGCTACAGCCCTAGATGAATCACTATTCAAAGGTCGTCAAATCAAGGTGAATGCCAAACGAACAAATCGTCCAGGATTATCGACCACAAATCGTCCACCACGTGGCCGGGGTATAATGGGACGTGGTCGTGGTGGTTTTTTTCCTCGTGGAAGCGGTGGTAGTCCATGGATGCGTGGAGGTCGTGGTGGTCGTGGATTCAGGTAAATTAATCTTCGAAAAAATACATTTTCAATCGATAAAATTTTGGTAAAATAAAAAAAATAGATCCCGTACTGGCTGGTATGGTTATTCACCATATTGATGGAAATTCATTTAAACTAAACCAACCGACAACGAAACGAAACACACCACCCAAACATATTTGCATAGAAACTTGCTGTTTATCAAATCATTTTATACGTTCATTCATTGTCATCATTCATAATGATTAACATTCTTTTGGCCATCGATTCACATAGGATCATTATAAAAATTTTTTTCTAAGTTACCAAATACATTATATCCAATATAACAACCCCAATGTATCACCAAAATATGAAAAACAAAAAAAAATCATCCAATCATAATATACTCAAATTTTAGTAAAAATTATTATAAAACGTTACATAGACGAATAGCCAAACAATAAACGTCTTTGTTCATCTTGTTTATAAGCAAACGTTTTGAGATTCATTATTTTCACCAACAAAATTGACAAAAATTCATTATAAAACTGTAAAACCAAAAAAAAAACATATGTTAAAGGCTAAAAAATAGATATCATTATTAGGAATTTTTGAGACATAAAAAATGAAATCGATCATGATATGTTTATTTGATTTTTTTTGACTTATTCTCAGTCGATTAGAATGTTGGGGCCAATTTAGATCATCGGCGTTCATCAATATCGAATAATGAATGATTGCTGTCGATTATACTGTCATAAGGATTCTGTTGCTCCTTATGGTAGATATGATTGGCAGCTGCCAATGCACCACCTTGAACATAGCGAACGAAATTGTCACCCACCAAAGGACCAAGTGCATAAAGATCTGGAACGCCTTTACATTCATGGGTATATGGATCAATGTCAATCGGATTTATTCGATGATCGATGGGAGCAGATGGATCGCGAGCCATTTTTTGTCGAATATTATCATCGACAAAATCAAATTGAGGATTCGAACCAATTAAAATCAATGCGAACGATATACGAACAGTGAGCTGATGTCTTACAGGACGATGACAACGACAACATAGCGTCGAATCGGTTTTATTTTTATCCAGAAACTCTAATGTCGCCGTACGATGACCATTTGCCATTGTTTGTATGGAAGACAAAATACATTCCTGATATGCTTGATAATGTTCAAAACGCAATAATGATTGTTTTGATGATGATGATGGTATATGATGCGAACCTTTTGGTAAACATGCCAAACAATGAACGTTATTCTGAACAGAATGTTTCATCTGTTGGAATACTTGATAATATTCAGGATAATTGGAATCATTTGTTGCTAATTGGTTGAATATTAATGAACGATCGCGTATAGATTTTCGAAATAAATGTATGATGCGTAATGGATGACGTTGACAGCGTTGTGATAATAATATCAGAGCATCAGCAACAGAAAGTCCAGAACCAACTATCAATACTGGATCGGATGAATTGATTCTTGATGTTGAGGGCATCGGTATACGCCAACATGGTAACAATTGTGTTTTACGTATGATCACATCTAATTTGGTCAATGAATGTAATACGAATGAAAGTTTTTCACCTGTTATGTTCAACATACGAGGCGAAGTTGATGTACCCTTGGCCAACACTACACGCTTGGCACGATATCGAATACGATATTTATGTTGTTTAGATGGCGATGATGATGATTTTCGGCTTACTGTATCAACGATAAAACAATGACTTATCGGATCCCAATCTAATGATGTTGCACGGGTGTAATTGCGAAAATATTTGTCTAAACCGAAATGATTAACATATCGGCGATAATAATCGGCAACTACTCGATAAGGAATTCGATTTTCCAAAGGAAGTTCGCCATCACTATCATTTTGATGATTCTCGTCATCATATATAGGCAAGACGGGCAGTTGCATCAATGATCTCCTCGATAACGTAAGCATTTCGGTAGAAGAAGTGGAACGAAGTTTGGACAAGCATGTCTTGGCAATGGCATGCCAAATACCTCCGGGTGATTCGGATGTACCAATCACTACGTGTTCCACACTACGATCAGGTCGATATGTCCATTTTAATAAGGAAGAATTACGTTCACCGAAATCAGCATTTGGATGTTGAAGCTGATCCATTAATACGGAAATAGGATTAGCTCCGGTACGGCCAACAAGATTTAGACCAAGTTCCATCAGGTCGGATTCCATTAAAGAACGTAGTTTTGGTCTCGATAATGACTCATTTTCATTACCATATTTATCACGATAACAGGGTTCTAAAGCACAATGATCTAATATTCGATCATGTAGAGTTTGCAATGTTGGATTTGGTACATTCTCACTATGGGTTTGAAAATCTTCCGGTGAATAATAAGGCCAATGACCAGCTAATAAAAAACTTAGTGTTATCGCCGATGGACCATTACCGATAACCAATACATTAGTAGATTCAATTCGATCAAAGTATGAATCATCTTGTTTATAAGAATTTTGCTTTGATGTGTCTTTTCTGGCCATAACAATTCATTTATATGCGGATAATTTTGAATAAAAACAAAAATCAGGTCAACCAAACGAAATTAGAACTGTCTATCCGGACGATGACTGCCGGCAGTTTTTATATTGAAGCGACAAAGGCTGACGATGTTGAAAATATAACAGTGATGCAAAACAAGCCACAATCAACACTTATCATATTACAAATGATTTTTACGACAAAATTTGATTTCAATAACATATAATGATTATTTAGCTATTTGATGATTATGCGGTTGATGATCCTTATCTAGGATGTTCATAAAACCAGAACCCAGACAAAAATGTGGATCAAAAAATATAGCAAAGTACAATGAATATGCGCAATTCGAACATGTTGATGACAATATATAAATCAATATTCGAATAATTTTCACAACTCTTTCGATTAATTAACCAGAATCAAACTGAGAATCAACAAAGTATGTTATTATCTGCAATGTTGATGGCAAATTTTTTGATTCTAAAGCAAAATGAGAAATATTTTCCCTTTTACAAGATGTGATCACCATCGAAATTAAATGAGACAATAATGAACATGCAAACTTAACGTGAAGATTGTGGAATGGTGAAAAAGAAAAAGCAAGAGAGAAGGAGAGTAAATGCACTTGTTATAGTGAGGATATCAAACTAAAAAAAAAATGAAAATAAAATCGCTACTATCATCTTGAAGATCAATGGCAAACAAACAGAACTATGTTGAATCGATGGCCGATTATATGTTTCGTATACATATATAGCTGACATTGATTGTATCATGTCGTTTTACTTCTTCTTCAAATTTCTTGTTTCTTCTACATTTTGCCGCATACGATAAATTTTTTTGTTTTGTTTATAAGTCCTGTTTCCTGGCTCTTTATTTTTTTCACCATATTGTCAGAAAAATAACCATGTACATGTAATGAACAAATATATTTGTTATATATATCACATCGGAAAGAATGATTTTCTTTTCATCATTTCATTCAATGAATTTTATACATAGAATCATATAAAATTTAATATTTAATCATTGAAATCCAATTTCGTTTTTTTTTCTCTTTGCAATATGTTGTCAACGGTATTATCGGATTTAAAAGAGAAAAAAGCGTGGCCATCTTCATAATTTTTATTATTGATTGAATTCATCACAAGTTCCGTAATTGTTAATCGTTATTGTTTTACTACTTAGGATCGATTCAATGTACAAGTTGTTGCTATAGATTTTTTTTAAAAATAAAAACAGAATCGTATATGTATCCAAGGTCTTCATTATCCTGTCAGGAAGAATGATGAGAAAAGACATTAAATGTTTATTTTTCAATTATGACGGTAATAATAATTATGATTTTTCCCCAGAAATTCAAAAAAAAATGTTCTTATAAGTTCATAAGGATTTATGATTATCATTGTTGATTTTTATTCATTAATTTTTCAACTTTTATATTTTATGTAAATGTAAACATAATGATAATGGTGAATATAATATAAAAAAATGATTATATCGCATTGCATAATAATAATTTGAATGCAATCAGAAAAATATATCTATATAAACAAAACAAAAATAGAATGTAAATAAAAATAAGATTAAATCAATCATTGATTTGCTAGTTTTAATCATGTATAGTGTTTTTTATTTCAACAACAACAAAATAACATCAAAGTACAGTGCAGAAAAAGTACGAAAATTAGACAAATCAAATCATAAGAATTTTGCATATCTTTTAGGATATCATCGATACTTTAGTAATCACTATAATATTTTAATGTTTTTCTTTCAATTTCATCAACCACAGAATTTTACCTGGTGATCCATGAGATTTTCAATACATAAAAATTGTAAATAAACAGATCAAAATTTAAATATAAACAAGGATAAATTCGAAAAAAAAACGATAACGGTCGATAAAATCGTAAAAATAAATGTAGATGTAGGTTTGTTGTAAACATAAACAACAGCAAAAATGATTTTTAAAAATAATAATTTCCTACTGGCTCTGCCTAAAAATAAATTCTACTTTTTTTTTGTCTTTGATTGATGAATAGATAAGCTAAATAAATTTTCTACGTCGAAGATCCATCAACAAATATGTTTACTGTTCATACAATTTTTTGTTTTGTAAATCACGAGTCCATTATTTCATAAAAATAATTCATAAAAAAAATATTTAATGGAAGACAAAAATTAATGGCGACAACTTCGTTCCATATCATCGCGACGAAGTAAATAGGCAGGCAAATATATTTCATCAACATCACGATTGTTTTTATCATCATCGTCAAGGCCAATTCTTGTTGACAACTCGGATGTTTCATTTCTGTCATTGATTGATTTTTGAAAGTTTTGTTTCAAACTATCGTTGAAATGTCGAATCAACAAGGCTGGATTTGGATGTGTATTTTCCGGACGATCAATCGATGTATATCCATAATCATATAGGGGACAATAAGGCACTTGAAGATTAAGTAAAAATTGCCACACATCTTGATATGACCAATCCAATAACGGATTAATCCGAATGAATTCTGGCCAGCCCATATCGGTGGGTTGTACAGTCGTTAGTTTTTGACCAATTTTTTCTTCAAAATCGGTTCTACGACATCCCATAAAAATTAATTCAAACGTTTGATTTTTATGTACATCATATAGAGCAGATTTTAAATCAGCTCCCGGATAAATGTTCATTCGACAACCATAGAATGCTTGAATACGTTTCAAGTAGAGTTCTTGTTCGGGAAAAAGTTCCGATGTTTTTATCCATAATAAATTTATCAATGAATTCTCCGATTGATTGTTGTTGAGATTAGCCTGATAAATAGTAGCTAACGTGTGTAACAATACGGTGCAATCCTTACCGCCATTAAAACTAAGGCACCATCTTTTGGGATCAGAATCGACTTTTTTAATTTGTTCGCGACAACATTTGAATAGACTATGTACTTTCGCGTTGGTAGCGGCTAATTGTTTTAATCGACGATATGAATCACGAAAATCGAATCGAATCGAAGGTAAAAAATTGAGAAAATTATCATTCAACCGGGACAATCGTAGCGAAAGTTGACGAATTCGATAACGTACATGAGCTTGAATCCAGGCGAATTTTTGTCGATCCTGATCGTCATCAATGGAATTTTTCGAATCAATTTGATAGGCGAATTGACATTTAATAAAGTCAGAATATTTCTTATAATTATTGCCAATAAATTCCTCATCGAATTCATATAATTTTCGTAAATCCGACGGTATTTTGCGAAAATGATCAAGAAATTCGATGAATGTGAACTTATATGAAATAGAAGATTTTCCAATGTTCATTTGATATAATTGATGGAATAAATCATGAAGAAATGATTGAAATGTGTCGATCATTGATCGTTCCAAATAGAAGGAAAATCGATATTCTGAAGAGATTTGAACATCAGTCAAACATTTTACATTCACATTTTGAGCTTCGGCATTCGAAATAAATTTATTCGATGGCATCGTCTTCGACGGATTGACTGGATTCGCAGACATTCAGAGGAAACAACTAAATTAATATGATAGGAAGAATACAAATGACAGGTCTTTGCTTGACAATTTATATTTGATTGAGTTTAGCCATCCATAAATATTTATTGCCGGCTATTATCCAATTTTTTTATTATTGTAATTCAAAAATTCCAATTCTAGTTAGAAAAAAGTCATATACTAGGTATAAAAATCACTTTTTCCAAATAAGAGATTAACTTACTATCGTTATATGTGGAAAATTATTTGATTGTATTGTAATATAATTAGGATTGACAATACTATAATAAAAAACATGATTTCAAGCCATACTTCTAACGTATGTGAATTGGATTCAAAGTTTTTCTACAATTTGTTTTATCGTTTTGTCATCGTGATGATGATAATTAGCCATAAACAAACACAAGTCACCCTATAGGCTAAGTTGATGATAATAAAATTGTAGCTAAAAAAATAAATGAATTCGACTTTAATTGAAAATAAAATCCAAACTAAACAACAATAATATCGACAAATATCACATGAAGATCTGGTCGCATGTATTAATTATACCAACAAACATATACGTCAACATTCGGAAGGTTAACCTGATAATAATGGACAAAATACATGTTGAAAAGGAAAAGAATGTTCTAATCATGAAGCATAGATGGCAGTCCTAATTGCTATAATTTGTTTTCATCAGCTGAGCACCATTTCGAATTTTACAATACACTTTATTTTTATTTTGAATTCAAAACAAATTGATAAAAAAATTCGATGAATAACGATTTCATCCACACATTGGGTCAACCATCATTTGGAATGGCCAATGTTAATTATCAGCAGCAGCAGCAACAGGCCCAACAAACTTCGAATAGCCATCAAATTATATATGTTCAACCGCAAACTCAACAACAAGCAAATTTAACGGTACGTGCGACAGCAGCAGCTGCTGCAGCAACTATTCAACAGTTTGCCAACAATCAGTTTACTTCATTCGTACAAACACCACAACTGCATACAAATCAATCATCATCATCGACGACATCAACTACCGGTCATCTTAAGAATGTTAACTGTATGCAGAGAGAAATTGAGCAACTTAAGAAACAAAATCTTGAATTACAGAACGAGATTGAAAAACTTCGACAAGCATACACCGAATGTCAATATCAAGCCATGACTGATAATGTTAAAATATCCAACTATTGGGAACAAATACAACAACTACAGAAACACAATGATGAACAATCTCAGCCATTTTATCATAGAAATTCCGAAGATCAATCCCAATATTGTGATGAATGTAATTTCGAGGTGAAATCACAGGTTGCATTATTTATTCATAAATTAAACCATTGTTTTGTATCGAAATCGGGTATTCCTCGCCATCTTCAACTATCTACTCGATCATTTAGCACAATGCCTGATGATTCAATACGATTCAAATATCAATGTCACCATTGTGAAATTGATTCAGAACGAGAATTCCAGAAGCATGAAATCTACATGCACATTTACCAATTTCATACATTTGATGTGCCATATAAATGTAAATTCTGTTTTCTCTATTTCACATCCAATGCCTATCTGAATGATCATCTAGCCGAAAAACATTCTTTGTCAAGCAATAATAGTATCACTAGCCGAGGTAATTTGAAAAATCGACGGATTCGCAATGAAAATAAAATAGCAGTAGCAACTATCCCTAATCAAGAAATATCTAATACTGATTGCTTGAATTCAACATTATCGCTAACGGCTCATAGTGAACCATTAAATAAATCATTTAGTCTTTCCGTAAAACGAAGCCGTACAGATAATAAAAAACCAACCAGCATTAGTGAAATTTTTCAACAGCTAGTTAACGAAACTTCTGAATCCAATGTTACGACGAAGGATAACAATATCAAGCCCGAATCATCTTCGACATGTGAAGCGAGCAAAACATTCGAATTTATGATGCGTGATGCTAATATTCAACAGATTATGGCAGATTTGGATAGTGACAAATCACTCAATTGTAAATACCCCGGTTGCAACTTTTCAGCCACCACCAAAAGTCATCTGAAATTTCATATCAGCGCTCACTTAATGAGCAAATACAAATGTCCTTATTGTACGTTTGTCGCCAATCGTTTAGTAGAAATCAAACGTCATATAATGAAAGCAACAAAACATTCTAATCATCATGTATATCTTTGCACAGGATGTGATTTTGCTACCGATTGTGAGAAGACATTCCGCGATCATTATGTAAGATCACACGATTCAACAGCCGATGTCAGTGATGTTATTGAACGAATGTTTCTAAACGAATCAAACGAACTAATTGGCCAAACAATTAGCTCAGCAAAACAACAAACAAGTTCAAATAGTTTGCCCAAAGATTGAATATTTTTTGATTTTTATAATGTAAAAATTTGTAATTAAACACCGAAACATGCTTTAAAATAATTTTTTTTAATAATTTACAATATGATTTACATGGAAAACTAACTGTCTGCAAAATAGTGTCAACATCACTGGGGCCTAGTTGTTTATACATAATTCATTATTTTCCATTGCCATCAATGTTTTCAGTTCGAATTGTTGCCTCTGAAAAAAAGATAATTAATTTATAAAAAATTAAATCAAAATAATTTACCATAGTTTCCTCGTTCATTCAAGCGTGCTTGTATCACAGTACGTTTAAGGATTTCGGCCGAATCATAACCAATCTGAATAGATTCACGAATCTCATCTGGATTCTGAAGATGAGATTTTTTCTCAAATTCTTCACGTGCTTTTTGCTGTGCCAAACGAATCGCATCATAATCATTGCGAAAAATTTGATTAATAGTTTTCAATATCAATTTATAGCACCGTAAAGATTCTGATCGCAGAACTAATTGGCCCATTTTTTTCATATAAGAAATTTTGAAATTAAAATCACAAAACTGCCATCAGCTGAAATTTATTTTATTTGAATACATTATTTGCGGACAGTCAATTTTGTAAGATTCGAGATGTGTTCCGTTTTTTATAAATTTTAGACAACTGTTGTAAAAGATTGAAACCATAACTGTAACCAAACTGGATACAGGAATAGAGAAATGATTGGAAATGCCCAATTATCAAAAAGATACCAATCTTCAATAAAATTCATCATTGTTCGTGGTTGCGATCGAATAGAACGCTTTAAATGTTTCAGTAATAATGAGGGCCAATCATTGAATGACAATTTATGTAATGAATTTAAATCTGGATCCATCGAAATAGACAAGCCAAACAGACAAATGAGATGTAATGTAATTGGATGAATCAATAATAAAATCATTGATTTGATAAAGTTACATAAGCGCTGCAGCCATGTTGAATTTTCTGTCGATCGATGGTGATCCTGTATTGAAAAGATGGATAATAATGGTACATATATCGATGCTAATGCTATGGCTAATGAGATGTTTATCAAAGATATACTCGTCAACAGTAATAAAGTGTTCAAAAGTGTAACCATTGATTGAAGATTGTATTGGTTGGATGATTTTTTAGGAAGTGCCGTCCATAATGCCGGTAAATTCAATGAAATAATGGCCAATATTATAAAGATTGAGAAGGTTAATATTTCAACTGGAATATCATACAATATCATATCAAAAATGCTCAACCGTGTAAGAACCAAAGAAACGATACCAATGGCTAACAAGCCAAATAAATGTGCAAGAACACAAGGCTTAAATGAGTTCCAGAAATCAAAATTATCATCGATGGTTGTGATTTGTTGTCTATTGGAAATTTGAAAATAATAGAAAAGAGATCGACATGCGAGAGGAAACGCCATAAGACCAAAGACAATCATATACGAGGAAATCGATATAAATCGACGAGTCGATGCAAGTAAATAGAAATAAAAACTTCGATTAAATTTTTCCATCATATTGTTCAATGATCGTACTATGCCTTCAATGGATCGGCCAAGCTGTAATCCATTGACCATAACATATTTGGCTCGTCGATCAGGCGCTTCTAAAGTGATGGCCGAAATTGCATACTTTTGAAACAGACCATGAGCACCGGTCGGGAGCATGGTTGCCTGTGTGACCATCATCGATATCATAGTACGAGCTTTTCGTTTCCAGTTTTCCCATTCATTTTCCGTCATATAAAATGATTCACCGTGATATAATACAGGGACTGCTTCACGGTTACATAATTCAACAGCGACATTGAACAAATCCAAATTCGGCAGCTGTCCATTGAGACCTTCAAGTTTTACCTGTACATATGGCGGTGAAAATGATTGAAGCTCAAGATTCAATGCAGCCTGGATGGCACCAGCTTTTCCAAGGAGAACATCCGATTCGAGATACTGGCCAAATCGATTCTCTAAACCTTGATACGACTGTAGCCATGCTTGTATACCAAGAAGTTCGTTACCAGAAATAAGATAGATAATATCTTTAGCCCAGTAATTTTTTGCTAAGTGAGGAAGAGAGTAAGCAAAAATTATGATCATAAAAAGTTTAATGCTGTAAATAGAGGTAGATTTACTTTTGAAAAATTTTGCCAACGAATACATTAAAGCGATCGATGGCAGTGTTGAACCGTTAGGATTTGATGGCGATCGATATGGCGCCGAAATGACAATCGATTCGGTGCTAGCAGCTCTCGGTGCCCGAAAGATGGCATACAGATTGAGACCATCCACGGTTGACTGTTCATAACCAAAAGGATATTTGAATTGAAATTTATGTTCGTAAACTTCGAGACCAATGTCTTCGAATTGTTTACGCAAAAAGTTCACGGGGAAATATTTCTCCGGAAATTCGGCGCTCAGATTTGCAAGCTGATGTACAAGATGTTCGGCTTGATTAACGGCAACAAATTCACGACTAGCCAATCCTGGTAGTAATGAATTATCATGAAATGATGTTTTCTGTGGTTCATGGATTAGATAGACAAAAAAGGACCATCCAGCCAAATATGTGATCAAAGATATGAAAACATTGAATTTCATTAATTTCTTAATGAAAGTTGTCACTTTGTTGTGATCGTCAGAGGTTAGGATACTCATCTCTTATCTGATTGCAATACTGATCAAATAAGATCCAAAATAGACATTCGAAACCGATTCTGAGATGAAATAATGAGCTTTTCGAACAAAAATTCTTTATTTAAAACATTTCATTTATGAACAACCGGTCATGCACCGGCACTATGATGGCTCATCACGATTTTGGATTGGCTACAATAACAACATAATTGTTAACGTTTTCATCAACTTTCATATGCTTTCAATAATGAATCATTATGACTATCACTATGCTAAGCATTAGAAAAATCTCTAGCGTAGTACACAGTCATATTATTTTTGCGAATATTATTGCGTAATGATTGAAAATTGATTCATTACAATTGTATACTGCTATGACGCTACAATTAGTCTGCTTCTCCTCTGATCATGAAATGTGAAATTTGACGGCGTAGACATTGTGACCGTTCTTCGTTATCGAACATCGTGTTTTATATGTGTATGTATAGGCCGAACCACCAGAAACCAACAAGCCAATGTGAATGAAAAGAAAGAAGTGTAATTTCTGATTATCGATCAAATCAATGATTATAACTTGGCCGATCACGCCTCTCGTTTAGCGTTTATGTGTATGTTATTTTCAACTTATAAAGTCGAGAAAGATTATCTTGTTCTGATTTTAATCGGGTTCATTTTGAGCCTGATTTTTGTTGTTTCGGTAAAAAATCACGAAAGGTTTTTTTAACCAGTGTTGCTCAAAATTTTCATTCAAATCAAAACTACTATTACACCATTAATTTAGACTTGAATTTTTTTTAAATAAATTAAAACAACTCATTTGCAATTAGCAGTTTTAATCAATAAATTTTCAAATTGCCATGAACTCATCCGGAGGTAAGTACTTCTCAAACTACAATGGATATTGATTCTAGCATTGTCAAATGATATAATTATTTATTCTGCAGCATCGGTAGTTGTACCACGAAATTTTCGTCTCTTAGAAGAATTGGAACAAGGACAAAAAGGTGTTGGTGATGGGACCATTTCTTGGGGTCTTGAAGATGATTCCGATATGACTTTGACATATTGGACCGGTATGATAATTGGACCACCCAGGGTAAATTATTTCTGTCTTTTCTTTGATCGACTCTAAATTTCATTTTCAGACACCATATGAAAATCGAATTTATAGCTTAAAAGTTGAATGTGGTTCAAATTATCCGGAAGATCCGCCGAACGTTCGTTTTATGTCGAAAATCAAGATGAATGGTGTCAATGATTCAAATGGAGCTGTAAGTTTGTTGCTTTGTATGATTTGAGCATTTAATTATTGAATTCAAATTTTGTAGGTCGATCGTCGTGCCATATCTGTGTTGAATCGATGGCAACGTAACTATTCAATCAAAACCATATTGCAAGAGCTTCGACGAGCAATGACATTAAAAGAAAATATGAAACTTAATCAACCACCTGAAGGAACAACATTTTAACAAAAACAAAAGCAATTCAACAGATCGATATAATTAATGAGCGAACGATCCGTGCCCCATTCATCCATCCATCCATGCTTTGTATTGTATGTCGGTCTGTTTACGTGTGAAGGTGTATCGATTTTGATTGTAAGATTTTCTACCAACTTAATGACTAACAATTATCAGAACAAACAGATGTCTTTGGTGCCTAGGATTTTCTCATCATCATCATCATCATCCATATGATCATCATTTCCATCACAATCTCATATTTTTTCATCTATTCATTTTCATTAACCATTTTGCATTCGTTTGACATTGCACTTCCCGAATCTAAATTTTCTATCTTGATGAAAAATTTCCTAATCTCCTGTTCTCTTATTGAATACATCACAAAAAATGATACAATTTTTTTTCTTCTCCCCGTAATGATCACCTCTTTTCATGTATACATGCTTGCCTAAAAAATTTTCCACATAAATTCGACAATTTCACTTGTGTTGATCGCGAATGTTTGCTGTTAAAATAATGTCGCATTTCTTCTTTTTGTTTCATTTTTTCGCTCTATAATGCTAATTCGAAGTAATATTCATTACTTCGATTTATATTCCAAAACAATGTTCAATTTCCTTTTTTTAAATTTGATTTTTTTTTCCATTTTATTTTCGGTAATAGCATTATTATCACAATCGTCTTTACAATTAGCAAACAGCATGCATCAGCAGCAATATATCAAAAACAAACATATACCATACAAATAGTTGTTCTTTTTTTGAACAATTATCTAATATTATTATTATTATCTATGTAATTTCTGCAACTAATTATTTTCCATTACATTACATTAAAAAATGTTCAAAATTATTAAGTTAAAAAAATTCAACTTATTCTCTTCATTGATAGATGGCGTCAGTTTCTTGGCAGAGGTTATTTGAAAAAAATTCGAAATTGTAATAAAATTCTGATTTGTCTGCTATGGCAATCACAATTGATTGGATCAAATTATCATTGTATTGATCCTTGTCATCGTCTATATAAGCTATATCAATTATCATTGGTTTTTTCTCAATAATTGGATAGTTTAAAAAACAATTTAACTGATTTGTAATGATTTAATTTTCCTATATTGTTGTCTCCATCGTCACTATCCGGTTTTTAGTTGTTTGTTCGTAATTTGAATATTTGTTTGATTAAATGTATAAAATGACTTTGTTCCCGATTTTCACTTTTCATTTGTTGACAATCATGAATAATTTCATGATGATCTGGAATCCCGAAATATAATACAAAACTCTACGTGCAACGACTTGTTGCTTTTTATAATGTTTTTTGGTTTTTACTAGTTTGGAAATCAATATATTTTTTCTTAATTGAGTGATTAGATCCAATTCCACTTGAAGATCATATAAATGCGAGATAAATAGATTTAATTACATCTTGAATGGTGACTGACAAAACAAAGATATTTATATTCAAGTATGATGGTGGTGTCGTCTTAATTATAATCTGATTTAGAATCAATAATCAAAGACTTTAAAAGACAATTCGACTATCACTTGGCATATCAATCTTAATCATTACTGCATCACAACGACATTCAATAAATTGACAATCGATTCATAATGATTAAATCTTTTTTATTATTTTCAATCTATATCGGTAAAATACTTTGATACAATTTTAGTGATTTCAATTATTTCAATCTTTTTTTGTAGGATCAATATGGACGTTGCCCGTGTCCGAATTGGCTGGCATGCATCAAATGGACGAAGGAATGATCAACGTTGGTGATAATAAACCAACTAATTTGACCATTTGTAAGGATAAAAAAGATGGTGCATTGATCGGTGATGAACATGATCGTACCTTATTTTATGAATGCTCAAATGGTTTGGCATTTCCATTTCATTGTCCACCCGGTTTGATTTTCGATGACACACGTGGTACTTGTACATTTGATCCGGATGCCTCAACAAAAAAACCACCATATCATGGAAATTCTAAATTCAATTGCACCGGTAAAGAGGATGATTTCTATCCAGATGAAAAGGATGCAACAAAATTTCATGAATGCGTAAATGGTTATCCATATGATTTTGAATGTCCACCAAACACCGTATTCGATGCAAAAAGAAAAGCCTGTGCATTTCGTTCAGCTGAACAATCGCTACAAGAAAACGAACAATCTCAACCTCAGCCTCAATCACAAGAACAACATCGACAAGCTCGAGATGTAACTGAATCAACAACGACCGTAATGACAGAACAATCAACCGATCAATCTGTACGACGACATCGACGTAATGATGAACAACAACAAAAACATCACCATCAATTGGAAGAAATTGCTAAAGAGAAAAATATTGATCTTCATATTATAGAAACAACTACACCGGAAAATTTCGATGTATGGATTGATTAAATTATAATTATATAATGAAATCAAATGGATTATTCATTCGAAATAATCAATTTGAAATCCAATAAAATTCTGAATAATAAGAAAATGAACAAACATTTTTTTGAATTTTTTATTCTTTTCCACATTTTCTTTTTTCCTTTGGTGTCATCCATAACAAATTATGATCAATTGTGTTTTTAATGTTTTCAATGAGGTTTTTTTTTAAATTTTTCAATGTTAACGAATTGTTTTTTATGCAACCATATCAAAGTTTTTTTTGTCAGAGTTTTGTTTACTTTTTTTCTAAATTTAATTTTCGTTAATTACAAAATTTCAGTTTTTGTCATATTTGGTTCCAAGTGTGTGTGTGTGTTAAGTGTGCGGTAAGTTTAAAAAAAACGTAAAGCAGCACAGAAAACAAAGTTTCAAATGATTAAAAATGAGTAAAAAGTGAGTAGGTGTAGATAATTTTTTTTGCCTTTTTAAAATATAAAACATCGATCTGTAGATAATAAATTGATGTGGCAAGTAATGATGTTATGGTCATATTAAACGTGTTTTTTTCAATCGTATAGCCAACATTGATTTTTTCAATTCTATAGCCGTTTAGCAAATGTGAAACCCACCGAACATAACATTAAACCGGCAATAATGTCCAAAAACTATGATGATAATGATGTAAGAGTTATTAAATTAAATTTCAAAAACACAATGGCCAGATTAATCAAACTTACCATGACAGCAATATTATTACCATCTTCAGCTTCGAATGCATTCTTTGAAAACAAAGATGTATTGAATCCAATTAAGCCTTTGCATGGTTCACTAAAAGCAATATATGCTCCCCAGAACATAACACCGGCTACACCCAAAATGGCGATCACCACCTATAAAATCAATTAGACATCGATATTATTTGTCATACAAAACTTACCAAAAAGAAAACGATTTTTATATCATAGAGAACATTGGCGATGTTGAAGAAGGCCAAAATGAAAAGTATACCACCGGTTATGATACCAGCTATTTGTATGGGTGATAATTTATCATAATTCTGGCCACTGCCAATGTTGCAATCAGCATTTTTAAGGATGAAAAAACTGGCTGCTGTAGCTAGCTGTGATGACCAAAAAAAGTGCAATAATCATCAAAAACAGAAATGGTTAAAAAAGTTTTTTAAAAATGAACAGGAAATGGATGATTTTCAACGTATTTGATCTTGAACAAATTAATCGAAAACTGACATTCGAATGGAACTTACACAAACAAATAGGCCCAAAAAGCCATAATAGTTAAGATGTTTAGATGAAGGCATAATTATGTTTTATTGAAATTATGTCAGGAATCGATATCTGATACAATATAAAAATCGTATGATTCATAAACAAACAAAACAAAAAGATAATGAAAAAAAAATCCTCGAACCGAACAAACAATTTGATAGGCAACAATGAAGACAAGTTGAAACTAATGAAAATGAAATGAAGATTTTTTGGCAATATTTTTTTTGACGGATTGGGTGGTGGTTGATAGTGTTGAAGATGCCAAGTAGTAGTAACTATTGATCAGGATACACAAACATAGACACTGTTTGCAAATTTTCACTAACAAGTTATTTGTTTTATATATACGGAGAATAGTTTAGTGACACACTTACACACTATGTTTATTTCTTTTTTTGGCGCGTCACGAAATGCAATAGTTGATGATGTTGTTGATTTCGTTGTTTCCAAGGACACGATGAATCTCAGCCATCCAAATCTAATTGAAATAAAGAAAAAGAATGTATAAAAATGTACAAAATAAGTACAGATGAATTCAACAAGTTTTCATTGTGTAGGAGGATGCTAATTGTGGAATGGATAAAATGAAAAATCTAAAGATTATATTATTGGACAAATGGAGGATGTTGATTTAATGTAACTTTCTATTCTATAATCTATGTTCAGGGTTTTTATTTTATTCAATTTTTTCCATTCACTTATTCTTTTTACAACGATTTTAATATTGTTGTGTCAATTCATCATGGATGGATGGCTTTTCGATTTACAATGAATGTGAAAGGAAAAAAACTAAATGGGTAGTTGTTCATGTGAAAGAAAAAATTTGTTTCCTATTCTGAATTTTTTATTTGTTTGCGTCTTGGGAACATTTTTTCTTTTGGTTAGCTCCATGACAACGACTACGACGACTCAAATCGAATGTAAAAAACATGTATGAATTAAAGAATGAATCGTGTGCACAATATTCTCTCTTAAAATATATGGTCATAATTCAATCTTTGAGTTAGGCAGTTTCCCTCGAAAAACATCGAACCAATATTTTGGATAGTTTGGTGATTATTTTTGGCGAGAAAAAAATGGGCAGGCAGATGAGCAGATGTTTAGACATTATCATTACTAATGAATAAATAGTATATACACCATACAATCAAGGTGATGGTTCTTTTTTGATTTGTTGTTTTGTTTTCTCTTGGTTTTTTTTCGGGCGGTGTCTCCATTTTCGTCTTTCCATTTCGATTCACACCACCATCATTATCATTAGTTAAACAAATATGATGACTATAGTAATAATCAATGTATTCGTTTCAATGGTCCATAATAAAATCATTGTCAGTCAGTTGGTCATTCACAGTTGACAATCATTTTAATCAAATATATCCAACGATCGACATTGAGCCAGAAAATATTATTTATAAACCAATGAATCAAAATCTGATCCAGTATAAAGTGTATTTAGAGAAATATGAGCATTAAAGAGTGAAGAAAAATCAATAAATATAAATTTAAGATGGAAAAAATGAGATAAATAAATATTTCGTTATTTAGCTGCAATCGCCAAACAAAGATATGATTTTTATACAAATGCGCAATAAATGGATGGAATGGAGTACAAAGATTGATTTAAGAAACAAAAAATCAATCAAAACTCATTCAATAAATAATTTTTAGTTTGTTTTGAAAATTCCAAATAACATGACATCAAATGATGTTTGTCAATTTTGTTGCTAGAATTTGTATCACTATTACAGTCAAAAACCTTAGATTTATTTTGGAAAAAATTCATTGTGGAACAATCTGTTCATGATTTATAATTGTTTAAAATATTATTTTGCCATAACTGTTTTTCTGTACTGTTGATCAATATTAGCATATGTATGATTCTTGTTTCTGTTATTTTGTTTTTCTTCTCGTGAAAATGTCAAGATTTTCAATATAAAATCCCGAATAACAATTGTTGGCAAATATTCGCAGCTAAATAGTCGACCGAGATTCGATTTCGTTTCGCTTTATTATTTTTCTTTTTCAAAATGTTTGTGTATATTTTTAGCAACAATATTGTTCGTATTGTTGTTTGATAACACCATAAAGGAAAATTCTCTAAAATAATCAAAACAAAAACAAAAAATTCAATGTAACGGTAGTTGTTTTTTTTCTACAATCAAAGATGATTCATTCAATGTATCGTACTATGAAAATTTAATGACGAACAGATATCAACACTATTTTCAATTAAAATATTCAACTATTTTCAAGATGTTGATTTTAAATTTCAAATATCAAATGTTTAATACTGTTGTTGGTGTTTATTTATTGTTCAAGATGCAACATTACTTGCGCTATGATGAAGATATATTTACACTTGATTAAATCAAATTGATGATGATAGGAAAAAAAGGATGATGATGACAAAGTTATATCAAATGAATGGAATTAGTTTTTTGATAGCTATCAAAAAAAAATGTCATGATCGGATCAAACAAATTGATTGATTGATCAGAATGAAAAAGAAATGTCATGAACATCATAAATAGAATGGATTCATTGAAAAACATATCAAAACATTAACCATAAAGGAAATTCCATAATATTACGGCATAGAATAAAAAAAGAGATAAATAATGCACAATAATTACTTGACAAGGACACAAAATATAAGTAAATTTTTATAACAATGAGCATCATTAAATTCATCACTGAAATTGTTATGTTCGATTTGATTCTATTGTCCGATAGGTTTATTGAGATTGTCAATCCGTATATGGTATGCCACCAATTTCATGAACGATTTGACAATGTTCAATATAATACTTTTTTAAAAAACCAGAATCAATCGTTCCAGTGAATGACCTTTGATTTTTTTTCCGATTCTAAAAATGGCTCAATTTTTTCATTTAATAATAGATCGATACGAAATCGATCCAAAATGGCAAGACACGCAAACAAAAATTGCCATCAGGTAATTCTCTACAAATGACCGAAATTGGTCACATGAATAAACATTAGATCACTATATTTCGTGCCATGACAGCTTACATTCATTTTCAAGGTTTTGTCATGTTATCATTATTATTTTTACCACAAATATTCTATACACTTAAAATGAATAGATGGCACGCAATTATTACTATCGATTGGGGTGCGTTTTAATTCACTTTTTAAAACATACATATATAACAATAGATAGCTCATCTGCCATTCAACGACAATCAATGCATGGTTCGATAATTTATTTAATAAAAACAAACATGAATATCGAAAAACCACAAATTATGCTTTTTTCAATCATAAAGGTTATCCCCAATCAAGAGGAAGTAATCACATCACTACAGTAATGCCATCTGTTTATTTCAAATTTAAAAAATTTATATGTTGAAAAAGATTATTATAATGAATAATGTGTAAATCTAAAGAATATTCTCTTTGTTTGATACATTTAATGATTTAATAGTTGTTTTTGGACGATCATCTGTTGATGGCAATTCCATTGGTTCGAATGCAGATTTCGTCGATGTTGATTGTAGTGGCGGCATTTGTTCTTTGCCTTCAGCAACTCGTGGTCCAGCATTAGCATCAATAACAGGGTCTTGTTTGGAATGAGTTCCGATCAATAACGTTGTGTCTTTTGCTAGATTAGAAATCCTAACAATCGGTAAAATTTCATTAAATAAAGTTTAAAATCCATTTTTCATTTTCTTACCTATCATTGATTAAACGCAAAATTTCCTTGACTTTTTCATTTTTAATTGAATCTTTTTTGTTCGAATCTACTTTGGCCAACAATACAGCAATTTCGTTCGTCAATTTTTCACCAACTTCTTTTTGCAGTTTAATTTGATTTTGCAGAGTCGGAATCAAAGTTTTCGCAACTTGATATTTATGTGCGACTTGTCTCATTGTATTGAAATTTTCGTCATATCTTTCACGATTTCGCTGTAACCGTTGTTGGATTTCAGTGTTTGATTTTTTCAAATTTTCACATTCTTCTTTCAACACATTGGTCTGTTCTTGTTGACTTTGGATATGTTTACGTTGTTGACCAAGTTCGTTTTGACAGCGATTGAATTCATCATCACGTTCGGATATTTTTGTTTGCATTTGTTCCATATTCGATTGCAGTGTTTGCAGATTCTTTTCCAACGATAAACGCTCCTTATCCAGAGATTCTCGCTCGGCTTCAGTCATTCGTAAACGTTTTTGCAATGCAGAAATTTTTTGCTCCATGAGCGATCTGATAAATAAAATCTGTAAAATAGATGAGAAAAATTAATAAAACAATTTACCTTTCTTCACAGAATCGTTTTTCTGTTGAAGCAAATTCGGATACAATTTTCTTGTTTTTCTCCAAAATTATTGAATTTTTCGATTCCAGTTCTGATTTGACCCGTTCTGTTTCAACTAAACGTTGAGATGTCTCGTTCAATTTATTTCGCAATTGTTCATGACCAGATTTCAATTCAGCTTCTAAAGCAGCGGTTTTAGTAGTCGATTCTCGCACCATATCAGTCAATTCAACGATCTTTATGCGCATTGTGTCATTTGATTGTTGCAGACAGTCCTTTTCAGCCAATAATTTTGTTCGCGATTCAATCCACTCATGTTGAAATTGATCCCATTTTTCATTAAGATCTTTGTTGTCTTTGCGGAGCTTTTCGGTTTCATTATGCAATCGTTGATTTTCATCATAAATATGATCACAATTTAAATGTTTGGCTTGAAAATCATCATACAACTTTTGTAAATCACAATGAACCATTTCAGCTTGTTCAATTTTACCACGAAGTTCTTGTGTTTCTCGGTGATTATTTGTTTTGAGAAATTCCAATTCAACATCTTTATCGCAAACTATTTGTTCAAGACGTGTAATTTTTTCAACCATTTCTACCTGTTTATTGACATTTGCTTCTTGCTCTTGTTTGATTTGCTGTTCGATTTGTTCCAATTTTGTTTCTAATAAAACATTCTGTTCTTCACAGTCGAAAAGACGATTTTCTATAGAAGATCGTGCTTCCTCTAATTCGATTTTGGCATTTGAAAGTTCTTGATTTACAATCATAAGTTTCGAAATTTCGGATTTCGAATCATTTAATTTGACATCATATTTTTTTTCTCTGGTCAAACCGACTTGAATATCTTTTTTTAAAGAATCATTTTCAATCTTTAATTCTGCCAATTTGGATTCAAGATCATTAATTTTGGTTTCGAATTCTTCAATTCGTTGGTCATTCAATTTTAATTTTTCATTTTCGCATTCAACTCGTTTCAACTTTGTTTCGATTTCAAAAATTTTTTCGTTTTGTTTGCTTAGTTCATGACGATTTTTTTCTAATTCTTCATTTTTTAAAACAAGTTGGTCATTTAGATTGTTCATATTCAAAAGATTCGATTCGATAGTAAAATTTAAATTATTGATTTCATTTTGAAGATCGGTAATTGTTTTATCATTTTGCAATTTCAATTTATTCAATTCTTCAAGATGATCGGAAATCAAATTCTGCATTTTTTCTTCACCTTCAAAAGTAGATTTTACTGCTAACACATCATTCAGACGACTCTTAAGGGATTCGCGCTCATGAACCGATTCGACAAGACGATTATTTAATTCAATCATATTTGATTTCAGCGATTCCATATTTTCTCTTAGATGACCACGTTGTTCAGCCATTTCAAGAATGCAATCATTGAGTTTCTGATTTTCATCTTGTGATTCATATAATTTTATTGACAATTGTTCATGACGTTGTTTTAATTCGTTGATTTGTGCCAAAGCATTAGTTTCGTATTGATTCTTCATGCTAGCATTGCTCATTCGTAATTGTTCCATTGCTTCTTCCAATTGTCCAACGATCGTTTCATATCGATTTTTCTGCTGTTCTAATTGATCCTGAGATTTTTGGCATTGAATGTCGTATTCCTTTCGAATATGATCAATTTGTTCAGCCTGCATTTTCGATACCTGTACTGAACCATCGTCTTTTTGCTGGTCAAGTTTTTCATGTAGTTCGACAATTTGTTTTTCGTAAGTGATTTTGGTCTGCAATAATTCTAAACGATCTTCGTAGGTAAATGAACATTCTTGATCATCAGCTGAAATTTCGGCCAATAGTTTTGGTGATTTTATAAGTGTACTATTGTTGGACAATGTACAGCAAGGTGAAACATTAAGATGATCAATATTTAACGATTGTTTGCAATTAGTTAAGGTATGATCCGGTGATTTTGTTGTTGGTGTGGAAACTTTTTCATCATAATCTTCTTCATTATCATCATGATCGGTCAATGTTTGATCCAAAAATTCATCTTGTGCATCAACAAAACTTTCGGAACCGACATCGGATAAAGCTGCGTTATTTTCACTTTGATTATCCCCCTCGTCATCATTTGAAACAATAAATATTTCTGGTGGTGGAGATTGTGTCATTGACGTCATGTAACGATAAATAGATTCATTTAACGTGCCATCTTTGCTCTTATCTAAAGATGTATTCGAAACATCAGTCGATTCCATCGTGACAGTTTTTTCGTCGTCTATTTGAACGTTGGACTCGTGATTCATTTCATCATCAATAGATTTTTTTATTTCATCGTCGTTTTTAACGGGACTTTCATTTCCGCAAGAGTCTTTTGAAGACTGTTTTTCAAGCATTTCATCACTGTCATTTTTCGGGGGTAAGGTTCCGTCATTATTTGGTAAATTCATTTCAGTTGACAAGATTTCGTTAAGTAAGAGCGTAAATGGAAATGAGGTTGTGAATGTTGTCTTCATATCAGCCGATTCGATGGAAATAAATTTCTGTTGTGGTTCAAACGAAGTTGATTCGTTCGAAACTAATAAAAAATGGTTAAATAAAAAAATACAATAATAGCAAGTCTTACCATCTAATTCTCCACCAAAAAGTGAAAGATCTTGTACTGAATCATCATTGAATGTAAATTCTCCGGAAAAATTTTCATTTGAAAATTGATCTTGGGTTTCTGGCTTTTCTTTCAATTTTTCGCTCATTTCAAATAAGCATTGAGCATCTATTTCAGTTTGCAACAAGTTTGGATTTAACGATTCCAACATTGATGTCAAATCGGTTGATTCCGATAAAGTTTCAAATTTTTCGAGTCCTTCATTTTCAGCTTTTTTCGAGACAAGATTTTCTTCAGTTTTGATCTCTTTCAATATTTCTCGTTGATTTTCCAAGTTTGATTGCAAAGAAAGCCGTTTTTGCTCAACACGAGCTTCTAACATTTCAAATGAAAGATTTTTACGAAATGATGAATTTGAAGATATATTTTTTGATGGCTGTTCATTTTCTTTATCATCGGATTCTTCTTCAAAGTTAATCGATTCATCTTGTAATTCATTTTGATGAAATTCTACATGTCCAACCAAACTATCTACTAATTCACCAACAACAGGATTTTTTTCATCATCTCTAATACCAGACTCATCTTTAAGATCTGTAGATATATCAGCCATTTTAAAAGAAGAATCTATCAGATTTGCTGGTGGTTTATTTTCAGCCATATTCGAATTTATTGAGCTTGATTTTGGGCTGGAATTCTCTTCGAAATTCATCAGATAATCATTGGATTGTTTTTCTTGGTTGACATCTTTTTTATCGGGCACCGATAGACCGAGAAAAGAAAGTTCAGACATGATGAACACAAATATTTTTTTACTAACGACAGAGAACTAACTTCAATGCAGTCACAAATATAAATGCACTGGACAATTTCAACGACCGTTCGCGTTCCTCAAAAGCTCTCACACCAAAAGACCGTTTAAGTTTTTTCAGCCAATCAGAAATCAGTATTTTAAAATTGGCAAGCAATCGAAATTACTATCGATTTTGAACAATCGATATTTTATTTTTATAAATCAAAATTTTATCTTGACTATACTCTCTCATTCGGGCATTAGTTTAACAAAAATTCAAAAATACAATTTCTATGATTATCACATAATAGTTTGAACTTCTTTGATATAATCATCAAGACGATTCATACGCCATAATGAATAGATTTTTAAATCATTACGTTTGATCGCTAATAACATTGCTGTAGTTAGTTCGCCTAATGAACACCATGCGTGTGTGATTGCAATCATTTGAATACCATAGAATTGTATCCATTTAGTAAAACGATGTCCAAAAAATTCATTTTCACTTTTGTCACAATCATTGAAATAATTATTTGAACAAATTTGGCCACAAGGTTGAATCATCAATGCAGTCATCATCCATAAAAAATGAATGATAGTTATGAAAATTTTTGTGCCAATAGTTGAATCAAGAATGTATAATTTTGTTAACCATTTTTCCGTGTTTCGAGCATAAGTCAATGCCGTAATTGTTAAAATTTGTCCAATAATATTAATAAAATACCATACGGATGATAATGCAAAGACGAGTTGATGTTGTTGAAAGCAATCGGCTCGTATGTAACCAAAAATCAGTAAAATGCCCCAAAAAGACCAGAAAATTGAAACTAAACAACTATTTTAAAAAATTAATATTATTACTATTAGTTTTTATCTAGGAATAAGTCAAACCAGATCATATATTCAAGATCCAATGTCCAATAATCAAACTTGACGAATAAATCTACCAAACTTATTTGATTCGATGATGTTAATGAGGGTGAAGTTGTACTTTCATTCGTTGATGATAGTGATCGATCATATTTTTTAGCTGCAGCTAATAATTTTTCATTTCGTAAAAAATTACCAATATTAAAATCTGATGGCAAGGATCGTCGGCTGGACTGATTTTCATTTCGATTCCAATCAATTCTTTCCATTTGATTGGTTTGTGTTCGAAAAAAAAATTATTCTAATCAAACGAAAATTGATTCAAGTTTTTTTTAAAAAAAATTTATTCGATTCAACATTTCGATAATTAAATAATCAAAAAAATAAATTCAATTTGATAAACAAACAAAATACGTTAAACAATGATTAGTCCGAATGTGATAACCAATGCGACAAAAATGATGTTAAACGCTGATTCTAATTCAAGGCAAAAAAATCAAGAATTTAAATCGAATATGTTTCCAAAACCGAAATCAAGTAACTTACGTTTACTGCTTCCGTTGTGACCCCGGGGTGTGGTGTGTACATTTCCTCCTTTATGTGTGGTAACAACACCCCCTTTATTTGTGGTTACGCCACCACCTTTATGTGTTGTTGCGCCACCTCCTTTTTTTGTAGTTTGATGATTACCTTTTTGGGTAGTTGCCGCTGTTTTATGAGTGTCTATATAATCATTATAATATTCACCATCTTTTAAAACTTCAACGGATTCGAAAAAAGGTGAATCGAATTCAGCCTCATCTTCTTGACCAGATTTTTTTTCATCGTGTGATGTTTCATCAGTTATCATTAGAGATTCTTCTTGCGGTTTTTCTTTATGATGAACAACTTTTGTTGAATCATTTTTCAAAATTTCGCCACCATTTTCGGTAATATTTTGATTCGCAAATATAACTGGTAGAACCAGTATCACAAAACGAAACGAACCTATCATTGATTAAATTCATTAATTCATAATATAAACATTTTTTCATTTATATTTTAATGAAAATCTTACCAAATTTCATTGTTGATTTTAAATTGAAAATGATTCAAGATATTTTTGTTTCTTTCACAGAAATTGATTAATTTATTATGTATGAAATATGTCTGTTGAACAAAAAAGCCAATCGATTAATCCGAATCAAATGGCACCGTATTTATATGAATCGATCATGATTGGAATTTGTATGAGTCCGGTTATAAATCACAAATGATTGCAATAATGTTGAGATCACTATATTTTCAAATGTCATTGTCAAGGCGATCATTTTTAAATTGACTCTATCGATAATTGGTCATAAATCAATGATAGATTCTTGGTTCATGTTTATTTGTCTCAAAAAAATTGACATTTATATTAACCAATTGAATTATGCATATATTTTAACAAAGTTTAACATTTTTATTCTATAGATAACATTTTTATAATTATGCAAAGAAAATTAAATTTTACATCTTTTCAAGCATTAATGCGGATGCACCTCCTCCTGCATTACATATGGCTGCCACACCCAATTGTCCTGGTTCCAAATGTAGAGCTAAATGATTAACAATACGTGAACCGGACATTCCTACCGGATGGCCTAGGCTAACAGCACCACCACGAATGTTTACTTTAGAAATGTCAAGTTTAAGTAATCGGAGATTAGCCAAAACTACAGCACTGAAAGCTTCGTTAATTTCCCATAGATGAATATCATCTTGTTTATAACCCGTCATTTCAAGTAATTTTGGAATTGCAAAAGCTGGAGCAATAGAAAAGTCGATTGGATCGACAGCTGAATCGGCGAATCCAATAATCTTGGCCAAAGGTTTGAGATCATATTTTCGAACGGCACGACCGGATGCTAAAACAGCAGCTGATGCACCATCATTGACTATGATATTGATGATGAGCAATATTTGAAATTTTAGATTCCGACATAGAGAACATGTCATTCACTTACTTTTACTAGCATTGGCAGCTGTTATTGTTCCATTCTCCGGTTCAAATACCGGTTTCAATTTAGAAAATTTAGTAAAATCTACACGTCGATATTCTTCATCTTCGATGAATTTATGAGCTGGTATTTTTTTCGTTGCAGGAATATCGACTGGTACGATTTCCAGTTCGGTTACTTTAGCCGCCCATTTAGCACTTAGCTCATAACTACGTTTCGCATAATCATCTTGTTCGGCACGAGATATGTTCATATTTTTTGCTGTATGTTCAGCACATGCTCCCATTAATTTTTTATAATAAACATCGGTAAAGCCAAATTGTAATCCATCAATAAATTTGATACCACCATATGGTAAATCACCACGAGGTAGAAAAAACGGTACATTTGAGAAACTTTCTTGCCCACCAGCAACACCAATATCGATTTGACCACATTGGATAGCTTGCGCCATTACCTGATATGATTTCATTCCAGATGCACAGGCTTTATTCAATGAAGTTGTTGATACAGTCACTGGTAAGCCGGCTCCTAATGCTGCTTGTCGAGCAGGTGCTTGACCGACACCAGCTTGCCGTACATTGCCCATGATTACTTCTTCGATTACTACGAAAATTTTAAGTGAACTCTCAATTTTAACAATCAAGATGTTAAAACTTACAATCTTTTGTGATATTGGCCGATCGTTCAATTGCACCTCGAACAGCTATTGCTCCTAATTGTGGAGCTGTAAATTTAACAAGTTTAGAACGAAAACATCCGATTGGTGTACGTGCAGCCGATATAATGTATGTCTGATCATCTTTGATATTTATGGATGATAGATTGCGTTTTCCAACCCAATGAAGTATAAAGAATCTATTTACTTTGAAGAATCCCAACATTGTTAGAATATAAAACAAATGATCACCTATATATCGAGCAAAATTAATGCTTGTTTACTATAATTTATTTTTATCATTTTTTTTTGTGGAAAACATTTCTCATTGATTATGATCATGATAATCGAGCCAGCATCAAGTGACATATGTACGTATGGATCCACGTGAAACTTGATCCTATTCAAATGATACGTTCTAATGTATTAAATAAGTTTTAAAAAAATTTTATTTATATGGAGACAGAAAAAAATAAAAGCGAGAAAAAAATTATATTCAAAATAATAACACTACGCCGATGAATTCGACAGCAATGATAATAACATGAATTGATGGAATTGAAAAGTGGAAAAAGACAAAAATAGATAAAATGTATTTTTAAAAAATATGAACATAAAATTCATTATGTGGATTTTTTTCGGAATGAATAATCATTCTTCATCAATCGGTATTTGTTCGCAAATTTAGTAATGAATTTTTTTGATTCGAAATTCTACATGTGAACTAAGACCAGGTATAATAGCATTTGATGGTTTTAATTCTTCATGATATTTCATGATACGTTCAGCACGTCTACGACGATTTTCCAATGGATTAGATTTAGCAATCAAAGCCGCCAATGCCATTAAACGATAGATTAATATATGCAATAATAACATCTGTATACAATGATGAAAATAATGATTGCCCGGGATCTCTAGATTATATAGAACAGCTTGAATTTCTTTTGGACCACAACGATCAAATCCATACTGTAGTATCATATTACCTTCAATCATATAGCGACAAATAGAAAACAATGATATAAATTGAAATACATAATGAAGACTAGAAATTCGACTGAAAAAATTTGCCGTCAATAACATCATGATATATGAAAAATTTGCCAATGCAATGAATATGAATGAATTTCCATCGGCCATCAATGTAAGAAAATGGCTAAGACCTTGAAATGCTTGCATGCCAAGATTGAGCAATAAAAACATCCACCAATAGATGCCCGGATGTACGGTTTCATAGATATCGATTATCCATAGATAAACGGCTACAACCACCACCATAGTTATTGTTTCGTAAAGATATTTCGTCAGATAGAATATTCCCGTACTATACCAACCTATTTTCCAAATATATTTCAAGGATTAATAAGTATTGATTGTTTAGGGTCTGTTACCATTGAAAAAAAAACTTACCATTACGATGTTCATTAAAAAAAAATTTTGTCTCTTTAGCAAAGGCTAGTCCACATTGAAGCATAACCAAAAAGGCAAAAATATTGAGAGCAAAAAAATTATATCGACCATTACTTGTTAGATTTGTTTCTTCTTCAATACTGGCTGTCGAACGATTACATGTTTGATTGAAATCCTCTTCCAGAGATATACATCCATCAGCCAAAGCAATTCTTGGATCGAAAAAATATCGAAGAAAAAATCCATAGAATATATAAATAATGACAAACATTGCCCATTCTTGCCATAAATAACCATGAATGAATGTTAAGTAACGAGAACAAAGAATTGGCAATGATCCAATTGAAAAACGAATACGATTTGATGGAATTCCATCCGGTACAAATTGAGTTTCGGTTTCCAAACTTTTGTCGATCATTGTTGTCGTGATTATATTGAAATCGTTGTTTTGAACCAATTTTTGAACAACAGGATCATCATGATTCATACATGAATATTTAATCAATTCTTCAACGGGAAATGTTGCACCAAACATATTATAGCTAGTTATTTGTGATAAATGTTGTCGAATCATTGATGGTGGACCCGAATAGATTCCAACACCACCTTTGGCCAGCACATATATCTGATCAAACATGTTCATTAGATCGGTATTTGGTTGATGTATGCTTGCTATAATGGTTATGTTATGACGATGTACAAATTCACGCAAACAACCAATTACTATTTCAGCCGAATTTGAATCTAATCCGCTGGTTGGTTCATCAATGCAAATCAGATTAGGCATCCACATTGATGTCAATTCTAATGCCAATGCTAAACGTTTACGTTCACCTCCGGAACAATTTTGTACCATTGTTTGGGCCGTCTCTGTAAGATCCAATTCGTCTAATAAATTTATTGCCACTTGTTCATGATCAACTTTCAGCGCTTCATGTACTCCCATTGAATAATTTTTCAATCTTGATGCATAAATCAAACTTTGTTTGGCTGTTAATCCTGGCAACAAATGTCCGGAAACTTCTTGTGTTAGATAACAAATTCTGATCGGCGTAAATCGACTTAAATAAATTTCTGTTTCAACACTTAACTGTGTTTTAAATTGTCCATTCAGCACTTTGAGCAATGATGTTTTGCCCGAGCCCGATGTTCCCATTAACGCATTCATTGTACCGAAACGAAATTGTCCATTCAAATTGCGTAGAATTATTTTCGAATTTGATTGATGTACGGAACGTATTTCATGTATTGAACTTGAACCGAATAATGTAAGATTTCGCCAAGCTACGATAATTTTGTCTCGTGAAAATTGTTCAAATTCTAATTCCGAATTTTGTTTGATGCGTCGTGGAAGCGGTGGTGTTTTTTTCACATTCGATGGAACTGATAAAGGTTCCAAGGATGGATAATCAATTTTTTTAGTTTTAGAACGTTTTGAACAGATCATTGGACGTAATTGCCATGAAAAATCGAATCTTATGAACATTATGACCAAAGTTGCTAGCCGTAAAATCAATGTATTCCATGCAACTTGCGTTAAATTTGAATATACTGTTTCTGGATTGACGTAATATTTGTACAAGATAACAGAGAAAAAATTCTCTTGGTCACAACGATCAAGTCCATAAAATGACCAAAGAAGACCTTTTGATATTACATTTGATGCTAATAATTGTGCAGCCTTCAATACAAATGGATCGTTCATATGCTCAAGGTTAATTAGATAGCCATTTAGCAGACAAAGTATTATGTAATAAACATAAGATACGATCAATGATAATTCGGCATTATCCATAAATATTACGGCAACCAATTGTCCAATGCTTTGCATATAGACATTGTAGAGCCAAAACAGACCAAGAAAATGGCCAAAACGATTCCAATTCAGCTGAAACATTCCTGTATCAGTCATAGTAAGAGATTCGACCGTATGATGACCGCTAGGAAAATACACGAGTATGCTCGTGACTAATGTGAACACGTTCATTTCAATGAATCGTACAAAAAGATATGACCAAAAAAATGTTCCAAGCGAATACCATCGATTACGATGTTCATTACGAAATACTTTGAGCAATGGTGAAAAAACTACTGACGCCATTCCAACCATACCGAATCCGGTGTACATGATACAAAAAGATTGATAGCTAACATATGTTTCCATTAATGCATCATCATTAAGTTTTTGCCCACAAGTTTGATTTTCCGTCGTTGCTGAATAGCAACCACTTGGCCGTACCATTTGTGGATCATATGTGAATGTCAAAAATAGATATGATAAAACGTACATTAAAATTTGCAATAAAAAAACATGGCCATTGACAATAAATACCACCCGGAAGAGTCGTGATAATTGTAGAAGTAAATCGCCGATTGTGAATGGCTTTAAACGACGAGGTGTTCCCCAAGGTAGGAAATCTAATCGTGATATGTGAGGTAGTAATTTTTCATTTTCCATCTCTAATGTTCGATCGGCTAATAAACGAACGGAATCTGATTCCAGACCATTACAAGCGATTTTTAGATATTGCTCAATTGGTGGTCTTTCATGATGATTATCATCTTTTCCCTCCATGTTCACACGGCTTGATTGATCATTTTCACTAAGGTTGATATCTGGCGATGGATTTAATTGTTGTTGTAGATTTTCTTGTAACAAGGCCGGCGTGCCTGAATAGATGCAAACACCTCCACGTGCTAATATATATAATTTATCAAACATTTCGACAATTTCCGCATTTGGTGTATGTATAGACACAGCAACAGTCATTCGATAACGATTGGCTAATTTTCTAAGACATCGCATGACCAGAAAAGCAGCATTCGAATCAAGGCCTGTAGTCGGTTCATCGACAAACAATAACGATGGTGGTGCCAATGACATAAGTTCTTGTGCAACAGCTACACGTTTTTGTTCACCACCTGAACATTGTTCGAAAGGTCGATCCAATACGGATCGATCCAGCATTAATTCGTCGGTTATCGAATCGATATGTATTTGAGCTCTTGAACGAAATTTCCATCCATTTTTAAAAAGGAATGCATGACGAAGTATTTCACGCACGGTCAAACGACCGATGATTGTTTCATTTACATGCTGTTCAATGAATCCAATCTTAGGGGCTTGTCGTTCGAATTTATTCAGATAAATTTCGGAATCTCGTGTCAGACCCGAATCACGAACATTACCATTGAGACAATTAAGCAATGTAGTTTTACCAGCACCGGATGGTCCCATAAATCCAGTGAGGTGATGATATTCAAGTGTTCCATTTAGCCGACGTAATATAACTTTGTTGGATTGTTTTGTAGGCAGAAAAAAACGTCTTCGTTTTACTTCGAATCGAAGATTTCGCCATGCAAGACAAACATTGGTTTGTGAGTCAATGTCCAAACTTGTGTCGGATGTTTTTGATTTTGTTGTTGTCGTACTATTATTGCTGGTCACTGATTTATCATCATCATTATTTGTGGATGTTGATGCTGTTGATGATGATGATGATGTTGATGATGTTGATGAAAGAAAAAATTTTGTCCGCAATAATTTTGGCGATGTTAATGGCGACATTTTTATTGCGAATTTCGGAAGTAATCAATCACTAATTGATTAAACAAAACTCATAGAGAATTCAATTGTTATTTAAACTATTTAATTCACAAAAGATTTTCGTGGTTGTTGTTCATGGATTGTCAACAATGATTTGACGAGTTGTATTGAACATGATTAAATGTTTTATGTTGTTCTTGTTGAAATAAATTATTTGTGATATTTTACCATGATGCTTTCAAAAGGATTGAATTGAAAATGTGAAATAAACAAATTTACGACTGATAATTTGTACCATTTGAATTAAATTGACGATGATCATTGATCAATGAACGATCTAGTGGTTATTTTAACACACACCTAAATAATCAATGATGAATGTATATGCAGATATATATAGATAGATGTGAATAATCAATCAAGTGTTTATCATGAAAATGGTTCATTGTCATTGTCAAGGTAAATATTGCATTTGAAGATAAGATATGAGTATATAATAAAAGGAATTTAAATATATGCTTTCACATTAGCCACTTATTCGTTCATTTCATTTCATTCATTTCAGAGAAAACAAAGAATTCTGTTTATAATTACTAAAAACTAAATATATTGCACATGAATTTATGAACATACACCTGTCAATGACGATGCTACTGCCGGTTTTTTTCGTTTTGTTTTTTCATGTATTACCCATTTACAAATATTTACATTGCAATCTATATAGTTGTGTGTGAATTATTATTTTTTTTGTATTTAGAATTCAATGTTGATAATGACGATGATGATGAAGACAAGAGATGATTGTTGTAGTTTCCGTTTTTTTTCTTTTGAATTTTTCAATTTTTTAAATTCAATAATGAGAATGAAGAAATGAAATTTGTTTTGTGTGAACGTTATTGCAAAAGAAGTTGAGAAAAATAGTTGTTTTTTTTGCATAAAATACACAACAATTATGAATTATATTTTTAAAATGAAAATATGAAATCATCATCATCATTAAAACATTCGATTAATTTTGTTGATTATAATTATTCACAATAATCGAAAATAAAAATCTGATGTTGGTCGATGTTTTGTTGCGATGTTGTTTTTGTTGAAAAATACAAAAGTGATAAATAATTCAAACAAAAAGTCATTTGATTTAAAAAAAATGAGAAAAACAAATTGTCACATTACAAATGAAATTCAAATTGAATAAAAAAACAACAACAAAATACATTTGAATGTCCAATGATGTCGTTGATGATGGATTGCTGGAACGGTCAATTAATTCGGTTTAAAACAAACAAAAAAACTTGTTTTGCATATTGGAAAACAAGTTGGATAAATAGTTTTTTTGAATGACATGAATGGATTTGGAAAAACCTGGAAATACACTTGGCATTTGGAATGAATATTTGGCAGCAGTACTTTTTTCTCCAGGAAAACACATTTTAATTCAAAACAAAAACATTTTTGTGCATCCTACCCGTGTAGTTATCTCAAGGTAGTTATTATTTTAATGTTGATCCGAAAATCATTCAAAACATTATAACCCTTCAAATGTATGCTAACAGTCTGTGTATGGTTTGCTTATTTGTTAATTTGTCGGATTCACTTGTTATTTTTCGTTGTTGTTGTTGATGTTAATGGTATCGATGAATTCAACAGATAATATCAAATGTCTCTCAAGGAACAATAACAACAACAAGTTTTACTTTTCTCACATGCTTATATGTTTTTTCACAATGATTTGCATTTTCCATTTAAAACATTCAAACATTTATGCATGTTTGTATATCTGTACAAATAACCAAACTTGCTACTGGATCGGAAGAGATTCGGAAATAAATAATAATAATTTGTAGAAGAGTGAATGAGAGCGGACAGGAACGATGATAAAGAGATACATCCGAATCATTGTTCCAGAAAGAAGAAAACATGTATTTCTCTTTCACATCTTTTTTAAATGATCGGGTAATAATGATTGGCCCCGGACACGGACATTGAAACGGAAAATCCGTTCAAATCTTCATCATTTCATTCATTTGTATGAAAAAAAAACAATTTTTTTCAAATATTTTACATTATCCTTTTTTAAATAAATAAATTTTTCCATCTAATAGGTTCATCGATGTCGCTACTACACAATGATCCGATTAATAGTGATTGATTAATGTGTCGATTGCTTGTTATGATGTTGATTATATGATCCGTCAATACAGGCAACAAGTAAAAATGAACAGAAAAAAAGAACGTCTATCCATATTTAATTTTATGATTTTGTCGGGTATATTCAAATAATAATGACGATGAAAATTGCCTTGCGGGTATACGTGTTACATATAACCAAATATTCAAATATTTGTGACGTATCATAAATAATTGTAACAAATATTTAAAAAAATTACATGATTTTTTTTTGAAAATTGATTTTTGAAAAAAACGAAGCACTAGAAAATCTCATACATTCATTTATTCAACAGCGAAAATCTGAATTCGATACAGTCAATATTAAAGTCATTGATCAACATCATCATCGTGATAATGAGAAACGAAAAGATAAGATTTTTTTAGCCAAAAAAAATCGTTTCATTAAAAGATTTCCAGGTATTAAATGATGACGACAAGGACCCATTCCAAATGAGAAGGAATTTTTTTTAATTTTCTTTTTCTCCAAACTTTACTATTTTGTCATGCTTTTATCGTTGTAGTAATTATCATCATCATTTCTTTTCCATTTTTTTCTAAAATTTCTCGAATCAAATATTTTGCAAAAATAAAATATGAAATAGTCGGTGACGATGATTTTTCTATCTCTCTTTCTTTGGCATTTCTCTTGACATCAATTTATTTTCGTTCCGATCGCGTTATACAAGCAATGAAAACCGATCATTTTGAATGATTGTTGGTAGTAATCATCGTCGGCAAACAAAAATGGTGATCCACCCGCAACAACAAACGTCGATGTGGAAATTTTTGTTGTTGTTGTTGTGTATGTGAAAACGAAACAACAAAAATTGAAAAAGAATGAGAAAAGTAAAAGTGATGCTTAATGAGAAACGATTGAATCATCGAAAGAAAAAAATGAGGTGAAGAAGGAAAACACTAAACTTCCTTGAAATAAAATGGATGGCAACAAAAAAAAATTATTTTTCAAAAAAAATCACTGCCGATATTTCCGTTTTGTCTGTGTTTTTTTTTTGTCTAACTGTAAATATAGTGTGTCCGTGGTACTGCACAATGTACTAAAGCTTTTTTCGACATAATAAAACATGATTAAAAATCAGGGATCTATGGATACGCAATGGATTCAAAAAAATATTCGAAAAATGGAGTTTTTTAGAAAAATTATTATTTTTTTTTTTAGAAACTATTTTTTGATACACGATTGTACTCATAATGGATAAATGTTTCAAAAGAAATAAAATTTTTTAAATTATCTTCCTTTCTTTTTAAAAAATGGATAATCCTTGAAATAGATCAATGATAAACAGGATAATAATCCTTGAAATAGATCAATAACAAACAGGATAATAATCATTATCATGTTCATGTGGTGGACATCATTATTGAAATTTGAAAAAAAATGGTAAAAAAATCAATTCAATAAATAAACATTTTCAGCCAAATTCAATGTAAGCTAATAAACAAAATGGAAAATTATTTTTTTCAACAAAAACTGTTAGCAAGAACAAGTTCAATGTCATACTATGAAATTTTTCTTTCCCCTTTTCAATGAAAAGAATTCAAGGCAAGAATCTCTTCTCAATATCTAAATTTGCATGTTACTTTCATTTTTTTAGTAATTAATTCATTAATAAATTGAATGAAAATTGATGTGACGTATGATTTTTTCTGTGGAAATCTCCAAAACACTTGAAATGCCTATAAAATTTTTAAGTTTTTTATTCACTCAGTTCAAATCTAATTTGTTTCAATCAAACATTTTGCATTGATGTGTAAATGACGTAAATTTGGCAATTTTTGAAGCCAACTACTTTGACTATACAAGGATTGATGATGATATTATTACTTGCCTATCATAAAACTCTATCATTTTAGTTGACATGGGTAAAATTATCGGTTTTTTGAATAAAATTTATGACTAATCAAATATTTATTGACAAACAATAAATATTTGACGTATTTAACAATGCATAATTATCAATACATTCCTATATGTCAATACAAATATATCATTTCAGGTTTTATAAGAATAAAGTTCAAAGAAATGAGAATTTCTTCATACTGCAAGGAGTTTCGACAATTCAAATTCAAATGAAACAATAAAATTAAAAGAAAAAAGATTTAATTGTGGAAAAATTCGCAAGCATTCATAACTTATTAATTACATCATTTTCAGAGTGAACATGGAAACGAATGATTCAATGCATATTTATTCAATTAAAATCATTTTTTTCATATAAAATTAGTGTTCAATTCCTCATGATTGTATTTTTTTGTGAAAAATGGAAATAAATAAAAATATAAATAATCATAATTTTTTCATGATTTCATGATACATGTGATCAAATTATTCATCGTTTGTTGATGATTTTGTACCTTCGATTATGCGATCTAATTCAGCTTGTACATCACGAGCGCGTAATGATTCGACTGCCGTTGATGATGCTGAACTAGGTGTCGAAACACCAGATTGACTATTGCGACCAGATCCAGTTGAATTACCACCACTAGGTGAACTACTGCTTCCACCAGATCCTCCAACCGATTTTCGGCTCAATAATGAATTAAAAAATGTCTGCAAGACACGCTCACCACCGGGAGATGCTTTACCGGATGCATCAAGAAAAGCAGCTGCAGCAGCCGGACTAGCGCTATGACTTGATGAAGTTTGATGTGACTGTCGACGATCCGATTTAGTGGCAGATCCACCGCTATGAGCTCCAGCATTACCAACAAGATTCGTTGTATTAGGAGATGCTTGACCAACAGTGGGTTGACCTCGAAGTGGCTACATCAATAATTAATTGATAATCATAATAAAAAGAAGGTAACAATAACTTACTGTGTTAGTAATATTGGACGGGACCTGTTGATTCAGTTGTGTTCGTAGTTTCATCAAAAATATTTGGTCATCTTCAGCAACTATTTCCGGTTCTTTCATAGTCGGCTATGCAACAAAATAAAAAACAATATTGATTATTAAAATATTCCACAGATTGTTTTTATAAATGGAAAAAAATAACAATAGTCAGTTTTAAAAGGTTTCATCAAAACGTTCAGGAGAACGAAAGTATAAAAAAGGCGCATCATTCTGAATAAAAATAAAGTATTTGAATGACCAAATTTTCGCATAACTTACATTAACATTATGTGGTGCCATTATCACATCATTATAATCATCATCCGGTGAAAATGATTGTATATTATCATAAAGAATGGAAATTTTTTTCTCATTATCCCAACCAGATGGTCTAATCAAATTAATAAATTATATTAAATCTTTAAAGAAAAAAAATGAGTTACTTACATGAAAACGGCATCCTTTTCTACGACTAATGCAGGAGTTTTAAATTTCAATCCGTAAATTCGATGAACAATATATTTGTATAATAGATCACAATTTTTGTTTATCTTAGCGGAAACATACATCAAAGTGGCGCCGTCTGTAAAAAGAAAATAATGAAAGTTGAATTAATGAATGCTGGAAATCATAAAATTCCTATTAATAACAAATCTTTTCAGTTTTGTTTATATGAAAGATCATAATCGAAATTCATATGAGGTCTGTAGCATGATTCTCATTTTTCATCACAAGAAAGTAATTAAAACATTCAAATTAGATTACTCACATTGAAGGCAAAATTTTCGTGCATATTGTTGTATGAAATCGAAATGTTCCTCTCGAAAATCATAATCTTTTTCCAATGTAGACATATAATCGGTTTTAGTAATAGCTACGACTATGTCTAATCCAAGATTATGTGAAAGTACGTTAGGAGGTAATGGATCTCGTTCAGGTTCGATATGATCGATTGGAATGCCATTATTACCGGCTGCGGTTACTGAGTGATCACCATTTTGCGAACGACGCATCGAAGTTAATCCTTCTATTTCATCACCAGGTGAAATATAATCCTGGAATCGTTGTGTATCTATAGAACAAAAATTCAAACTTATTCAATATATTGCTTCTCACTAAAACAAATGATTTTTAGTTATAATGGTCAGTTTTTACGTATTTTTATCATATAATTTAAATCATTACAGGTCTGTGTAAAATAACTCATCATTTTATAAAGGAAAATTTTTGCTAAAAACAAACATTGACAACTTACTTTTATTCTGATATTCTTTAAATTTTTTCGGATCCAAATTCAAATTCTGTACATGTTTTTGTAGGCAATTCATCCAATACTGCAGTGAATTCATCATCTCCCATGGTTTCGTCATCGAACAAACTACAAGTATAGTTGTATCTTCAAAATTGTCTTCATTCAACGCAAAACGTAACAATTGAGACTTCCAATTATAATTGCCATCCAATATCCATACTCCGCATTGTGTTTGTTCATCTCGATATTCATCACGAACCATTAGATAATGATATTCAAGTCCGGATCCTTTGCACGTGGTATCGATGCCTTGCATCTTTGCAATAAGGGACGATTTACCCGAATCATTGTCACCGAGTACAAGAATAGATTTATTCGAAGGTAATTTATTAGTTGCAGTCTGTTGTACTTGTTTCAATATCGAAGACCAAATGTCACGTTCAGTCGGTTCAATCGAATCATTAACGTTCGATGATAGTGAGTTTTGAGCACTGTTACGATATGGTGCCATGTGCTAGAATGAACACTAAAACCGGAACAAAAGACACACACGTGGCATGGACAGACAAACAGAGAACTTGTTGAAACTTTGCCACTGACAAAGACGAAAGATTCAAGAAAGTTTCTCCAGAAAATCCTCAATTTCAATTTAATAACTTTAAATTTTATGGATCAAAATAAAATATCTAGTGTTTACTTTTAAGATTTTTATCATTAAACTTGAAAACTTGAACCGAAAAAATTAAAATTTATTGTAAAAATTCCACAATACAAACGAAAACAAGGCGTTGCTATTGCTCGCATTGGCTATCGATTCTATCGATAATGTCGTTAATCACATTTGTAAAGAATTTTTACCTCATGTTCTTGATTCAGCTGAATCAAATTAAATGAATCTGATTTTAATTTCAGATTTATATTGATTTTTGTATTCATAATTCCGATGATGATTTTTTTAATAAATAATCAAAAATTTTTATCATTTCACAATTAAAATTTTTATGATGATTCCATTTTCATCATTAGTACAAGCGAAAAAATTAATTACACAAGGAAAATTGTTTTTCAATGCAAACTTGTGTTGGAATCGTTCTTTATCGTCATCATCATCTACTGATCCTGGCGATGATCCACCATCGGGCAAACCGGCAATATTGCAACATCAGGTCAAGACTTCTGGTCTAAAATTTCAAAATGTATTGAATTATTTGGAAAAATCTGTTCCATTGTTTGTCGGTGATGTCAATGATGAAGAATCTCGAGAGTTCATTCAGACTTTGAGCCGAGTTCGTTCTAGTCTCGAATCGGTAACAGAATTTCATCAACGAGTCGACAAAATCGATGATGAAACACCGATTGATTCGCAAAAGTTTTTACGCGATCGTTTCTTACAAAGCCGTTCCTCGATTCTAGCTGATGGATCAATCTCATGTCTAATATATCCCGACCTGGGTCTTTGGGATAAAATTTTACCCGAAAAATTTTTACTTGATTTTATAGTCGCAAATATATTGGGAGTTTTAGACTATTTGGATAATGGAGAAAATCTTCAATACTCTCGTTCACCTTCATTAGGACATGATTACATCGAAGAATCTAGGTCATCAAATCAACAACAGAAAAAAACAAATTATATTACAATAGCATATGGATGGAATCATTATCTTATCGATCTGGAACAATTTGAAAATCCTTATCAAGCCTTGTGGCAGATTTTCAAATTTTTATTCGAACAATCATCGGCATCAATGTTGAAAAATCCTTTCCCTATGGGAATTTTATCCACATTGCCACGAAACGATTGTATGTATGGATATAAATTTTTGAACGAATTGGACCTGCAAAAACTTCGACAATCTAAATTATTGGTTTCTATCGAAAAATTCGATATGATTCCACAGAAAACTGATGATGTAGAACGTGATCATCGTATCAGTTTGATGGCAAAACAGATTCTATTGTCGAATGAAGAAAACATAGGCAATCGATGGTACGATAAGTCCTTACAATTGGTGTTTGTATTGAACAAAAATTCTGATCAACTTTATTCACATGGTCTTTGTTTTGAGCAATCACATGCCAAAATCGAATCCATTCTTCAATTAATGGATCATTCCATTAAATTTCTGACAAAATTCAAGGTATGATTAAATTAGAAGAAATATATTGTATGATGAATAATTTCGTTTTCAAAGCCTAAAGTAGAAGGCGAATATGAATCTCGTGATATACAATTTAAAAAGCTTCAAATTTTTAATTCCAAATCCAAACGATTAAACGAAATCATAAATCAAGCTACAAATCATTTTGCGATGGAAAAATACTTGAATATCTGTTCTGATAGACATTTTCAATTATCAATGCTTCAATTTGTTGATTATGGAATGGATATGTTGGAAAAAGAATTTAATTTATCTGCTGATGATTGGATACAAGTTTCATTCAATTTGGCTCTCTATAAACTATCCGGAAAAGTTCGACCATGTTATCAACGATATTTACCAAACGGAGATGCAGCAGAAACGTGGTTTCAATGTTTAAATCAAGAAATGGTTGATTTTTTCCATGAACCAAATGATCGACAAAAGTTATTGCTCGCATTGGAATCACTAAAATTTCATCGTGAAATATTAATGCCCGAAAATTCATCACCGAAAGAACCTAATAATATTGAATCTATTCTTCTAGGTAAATTCTTTTCTATTTCATTCTTTAATTTGCCATTTTATTTAAATTTTTATGAAAAGTCTATCAAAATTTAGCGAAATTTCCTGATTTAGACATCGATCCCGCTACGATGACAAATTTAGAAGCATTATTTAAGTTAAAATCATTGAGACGATTACGAAAATCAACAGCTCAAATAACTACATTAAAACCTGGTCAAAATTATTATGATTGGCATCTGGTTACGAATGGTCATCCATATTATGATCATCGTATCAATTTAACTGCACATTTGGCTTCTAATCATATGCATTTTGCATTGACATTGTTACGCTGTGGTAACGATCAACAGTTGCGTACGATTACTGTTGATAGGATTTTGTATGAATTTGATCAATCATTGAGGCAAATAAAAAATTTATTTCAAAATTAATTTAACAATTGACATTTTTGTGCATCAAAAACTCAAGCTCAATTTGTAGCATTTTAATTTTATGCAACAAGGATTATAACAAAACAAAAAAAAGAAGTGGAGATGGAGGGGTTTGAACCCTCGACCTTATACATTCTTGCAAATCCACTTTCAAACTTAAAGTTGATCTGATGCAAAGCACACGCTCTACCACTGAGCTACATCCCCATTGATGTTGATGAAAGTGGGTATCATTCGTTGATAAATATTAAAATTTAAAATAGGCAAAATGGACGACAAAATTGATTAATGAATCAATTTTAATTTATCTTCAAACTTTGTCTGGCTTGTATATATACATGACAATGATTCAAGTATTGAAAATGAGTTTTTTCACTGAAAAATATTGATAAACACAAAAAGATGGCGCTGGTTATTAATAATTTCTCATTCGTGGATTTCAATCTATGTTGGTTACTTCGAAAAGTCGTAATTAAAATCAAAATTTTCAATTTTTATTTGGAAAGAAATAGAGAAAATAAATCAAGGATATGATACAGCATTAAAGATATATCTGAAAAATAAGCCATTCGATTTTTCTGAAAAAAAAATGATGCAATGACAATTGTTGAAACAATTGTTCGAGCTTTGATATTATGTAATCATCCAGATTTTCTTGTTCCGATTTCATATACGCAAACGGAAACGTTCATATGATCCTAAATATTTTTTACATTTTGGGCAATAGTGCAATATATCACGTGAACAATCCGTACAGAAGGGAATCAGGCAACATCCGAAAATACAACTGTTTTAAGAAAGAAAAAAAATTTCAATTAATTCAAAAGAAGTTAATAATTACGTAGGTGTTTTCAAGGTATAGAAATCATAATGTAATGATGTCATATAAAAACAAAAGTTTTGTCAAGTCATTGACATTTGCGTGACTTGAAACAATTAAATAAAATGCCGGTATAAAAAGGGAAAGATTTTTGATAAAAATTTATTCCAAATTTTATAAAAATTCAATGATTGATTCAAAATAATGATGGTAATCTTAACGTACCCAATAAAACACAGACCTGCACATACAAGCCATGTACAAAAATTCGATTTAGGTCTAGCAACCGTTTTAATATCTTCCTGACAGAAAAAACATTTCATATGTATCGATGTTGGTGGAAATTTATCCATGATAACTGTTGTTGTATGGGCTAAAATTTATTGGGGAAAAAAAGTTGTAATATGAATACCATCAAAATATATGATAATTCTTTGTGTTTTCCATTGCTTACTCTGTGAAGAAGTTGGCTGTGATACAACAACGTTCGATGAATCTCCCATTTGCTGCTGCGGAACTTGGCTATAATTTGGTCCCATACTATATGGCGGAGGTGGGTGATTATATGATGGTGCATAAGGTGGCTGTTGATCATGATACGGTATTTTATGGTGATGTTCATCGTCAACAACAAAACCAGGAGCACTTGGAGCGGATGCTTCCGCTGAAATATTTGGGTACATACTCATTTTTTCAAAAAGAAATCGATATACGAGAAACAAATTAAAACCAAATTAATTAAAACCAAATTAATTAAAAACAATTTGAATTGAATTTGAAGAATGATTAATATAACCAAAAGATTCAAAGGGCAGAAATAGAATGAAATTCTTAAAACGTTCAACTAAAAACCAAAATCAACGATGGTCAAAATTCGATGACTCATACAATATCAACAAAAATACAAAACAGTGAGCATTAACGTTTTGTTTTTGTTGCTCTTCAAATCATGACGTTATAATGATGATCATGGTCTCGAAATCCACTGCTTCAAACACAAACACAAAACACACCACACTCTGTGTCGATTTTGATGTTGAATCTAAAGAGAAAATTTTCTCAATATAAAAAAATGATCGAAAAGTTTGATTAAACAAATAACAACAATGAATACTATGTGACTATTGCTGGTCGATTGCATAAAAAAAATCATACCAAACAACTATCACGTTCGATGATGATGGTGATGATGATAATGAGCATCCATAAAAACAAAGCAAATTTCTTTAATAGCAGTGCGTATTTTTTTGCTGAAAACAGTTATAATAATGATAAAAAAAATTTTGTTAGCAATATCAAATTCGCATATATCAACCAATAAAAACTATTGAGGAAAAAACTTGTATTTGAGGAATATATGTTGTGTTCAAATTTCGTTGTTGATATAAATAGAGAAAGAAAATTGGGAAGAAACAGAGAGAGAGAGAGAGAGAGAAAGAGAAAGAGAGAGCCGAATCTCTCACAATGAAATATGGCTTTATATCATTTCTTCATTCAATTACCATTCACTTTCATTGACAAAGCGAAGTGGTGTGAATATTTTTTTTCCTTGTCATTGATGATGGCTATAGCAAATCCAAACCCCATACTTGTTGTATTTAATTTGTATATGCGCTTGTCGAAATATACGAAGCTGTGCTGGTATAAAAAAATGAAATAATTAAAAATGTCGATGATGGCGGTGTTTAATTCTGTGATCAGAATAATGGAAAAAAAATCTGTTGTGTTGGGTCGACGTTTGTTTGTTTATGTCTCTATCGGTCTGTCTGTCTGGCTGACTTTTTTTTTCATATTATCGAGCCGCTTTCTAAGAAGAAAACGGCTTTAAAAAAAAATATTCGACGACGACGACAATCCGACGTCGAAGAAATTTTAAATATTCGTCATGATATTCGTTTGGTTTGTTTTTACGTTTTGGCATAGTTTTTTTTGATTGTTTTGTTTTTCAATTTTTCGATTCGATTTATGTGTATGGTGTTTGTTTCTCTTAATCTTTTTCATTTTTTTCAAATAAAACAGGTTTCTTGCATCAATTTTTATGCAAAAAATGGCCTTGCATAATGTCAAATTGATTTTCAGGTATATAAGATGTTTACATGTTGTTCCGATGATATTTGAATCATGAAAAAAATTGAACGCCATCTGCTGTGTTTTTCAAATTCAGAGAAAAAGCAGTATTTTTTTTGAAAATCGCACATGTGTGAAAATCACGACCAACTTTTTTCTTGAAGATATATCTTCTGCAAGATTGTTGCATAATCTTATCTTCATTGGTATTTGGCATCCATGTTTTACATTCGCCCGGCTGACAAACTGGAATTCATCCAGCTATTCGACAAATTATCATTCTCACATGATGAAAACAAGTCTGAAAAACAAATTAAACTTAAAAAGTTTGCCAGAAAAAAATATATGATGCTGAGCAATAGAAAAATATTGTTTTATTATTACCATTATCATGTTCTTTACTTTGAAAACAAAAATTCATTTGATGATTAAAAAAAATTTTTGATTATTAGTCATGATTAAAATTGTATCGACATCGATTGATGTTTGAATCGTATCATCATTTTATCAAAATAATTGTAGTTATAATTTTTTCCGCATTTCAAGTTGACACTTTTTTCCGATTCTAATTTTATCTTTTTATCAATAGCGTGTGTATATATTAAAAAAGAAAAAAATCTATGTACCACCTCCATCCGCCAACATTCAACCAACAACAATAACAGCAAGGTCTTTTTCTCCTTCATTGCCATTGAATGGTCGTCAGCATTATCGTCGTCGTTATTTTCCTTTTTTAATTTTAATATTTGTCAAAAATAGTTTTTTAAAAAAATATCGAATATATTTTAATTTAAATAATTCCAATCAAAGTATTATGATGGCATCGAATTCATTGATGAACTCTGAAGAAACCGCTTCGAATCGAACAAATCGTCGATTCTATCGTGTAGATTCTATACCATCCGGTGATCATGGCCTTACAGCTGAACATGAAAACAAATGGTGTTTTGAAGTGGCCTGGGAAGTTGTCAATAAAGGTTTGAATGAGAAAAAATGTTGATTGGTTTGATTTTAAATCCAATTCAAAAAAATTTCGTAATTAGTTGGCGGTATTCATACCGTGATTCGTACAAAAGCACAAACAAGTGTTGAAGAATTAGGTAATCGTTATTTTATGATGGGTCCTTATATGGAACATATGGTTCGAACTGAAGTTGAAATTGAAGAAGAACCTACCGAACGATGTTTTCGTGAAACGATTCAAATCTTTCGTGATCATGGAATCAAAGTAGTGTTTGGCCATTGGTTGATCGATGGTTATCCGGCTGTCATTTTGTTCGATATTGGATCAGCTTATTATAAATTGGATGAATGGAAACATGATTTTTATGAAGTTACTCACATTGGTATACCACATCATGATCGTGAATCGAATGATGCTTTGATTCTTGGTTATTGTGTTACCTGGTTTCTTGAAGAATCTTACAAACGTATACAGGAAATTTATGGAACACCATTGATGGTGACACAATTTCATGAATGGCAAGCCGGTGTCGGTTTAATATTATGCAGGACTCGACATTTAGATATTGCAACTGTTTTTACTACGCACGCAACATTACTCGGACGATATCTGTGTGCCGGTAATGTTGATTTTTATAATAATCTTGATAAATTTCATTTGGATCGTGAAGCTGGCAATCGTCAAATCTATCATCGATATTGTATGGAAAGAGCTGCATCTCATTCAGCCCATGTTTTTACTACTGTTTCGGATATAACAGCCATGGAATCGGAACATCTACTAAAGCGTAAACCATGTTTAATCACACCAAACGGTTTGAATGTAAAAAAATTCAGTGCCCTTCATGAATTTCAAAATTTACATGCATTAGCCAAAGAAAAAATTCATAAATTTATACGAGGACATTTTTATGGTCATTATGACTTCGATCTTGATAAGACATTATATTTTTTTATCGCTGGTCGATACGAGTTTAGTAACAAAGGTGCTGATTTATTTATCGAATCTTTAGCTCGTCTCAATCATTATCTCAAGGTAAATCTAAAAAATAATCCTATTTGAATATTCTGATTCTAACATGATTGATAATAGTCCAGCCAAAGTGATGTAACTGTGATTGCTTTCTTGATATTTCCTGGAAAAACTAACAATTTCAATGTCGAATCCTTACGTGGTCAAGCCATTGCCAAACAATTGTTGGAAACAGTTGATGAAGTTCAGGATAATATTGGTAAACGCTTGTTTGATATTCTTTTACAAGGACGTTTGCCCGGTCCATCCGATTTGATGAAACAAGAAGACATTGTTGAATTGAAACGTTGCATTTATGCTGCCCAACGATCAACACTTCCACCGGTCATCACGCACAATATGCAAGATGATAGCTCGGATCTTGTTTTGCAACATATTCGCCGTACACAATTATTTAATAATCGTTCTGATCGTGTTAAAATAATTTTTCATCCAGAATTTTTAAGTTCCACTAGTCCATTGTTCCCAATTAGCTATGATCAATTTGTTCGCGGCTGCCATTTAGGCGTTTTTCCATCGTATTATGAACCCTGGGGTTATACACCAGCTGAATGCACTGTCATGGGCATACCATCAATAACAACTAATCTTTCTGGTTTTGGCTGTTTCATTCAAGAACATGTTGCAGATCCTATTTCATACGGCATTTATATTGTCGATCGTTTAAATAAAAGTCCCGAAGAAAGTGTTCAACAATTAGCTCAATATATGTTTGATTTTAGTTGTCTTACAAGACGACAACGAATTATTCAACGTAATCGTACTGAACGTCTATCTGATCTATTAGATTGGAGAAATCTTGGAATTGTAAGTTTATTTTCAAAAAAACATTAGATAATAATGCTAAAATTTACTAATTTTATTATGACAATAGTATTATCGGAAAGCACGACAATTGGCACTGCATAGAATGCATCCGGAAATAATGACTGAAGATGGTACCATAGCTTCATTTAATTTTCCAAAGCCAATTTCAGCACCAGCAACACCGTCCTCATCACGAGCACCATCACCTGTTTCATCAGACGATGAAGATAGCGTAAATTCGGATGTTGAACGTGATATTTTAATAAATAACAATAGTGTCGAAGATATTCTTGATAATGCAACAGCTTCAAGTCAAGCTTAAAAACATATAAAGAATTGTTATATACATAGTTTTAAATTAATTTTTGTTGAAAAACATTAAAAATAAATGTTAAATAAATCTCAATGGTTGAATCAAATTTTTATTTTCATTCACAAAAATTCAAGGATAAAGATATTCAAAGATAAAGTACTCTTAGAAAGGATAATTGGTCAAATGCGGACCCAAAGAAAATGGACAAGTACGATAATTTTGATCCAAAGACATCAAATCTTTAAGATCTTCATCGGTTAATTTAAAATCATATACCTGCAAATTTGAAATGATACGCTCAAGACGAACACTTTTAGGTATAACGATCATGCCTCGATCGATAGCAAAACGAATCAAAATCTGGCCGGAATTTTTGTTATATTTTTGAGCTATACGAACAACAACAGGATCGTTAAGCAAATCTTTTTTCTTTTCATCCGGAAAGAAAGTCGAGCCAGGATTACCCAATGGTGAATAGGCAGTCAAAATAATGCCATGATCAGCACAATATTTTCGCAATTTTTCCTGATTCAAATATGGATGACATTCTACTTGATTAACGACCGGCTTAATTCGAGCAACTTTCAACAACCGTTCAACTTGTTCTTCCTTAAAATTTGAAATTCCAATCGATTTAATTAAACCTTGATCGACTAATGATTCTAATGCTTGATAAGCTTCAATAAAATCAATTTTTCCATCAATCAATTTGTCATTTGAATCTTTGGGAAATAATGAATCATCTGTTTGTTCGAAACTCATTGGCCAGTGCAATAAAATCAAATCCATATATTTGAGCTTTAATTGTTTTAGAATTTTATCCAAACAAATCGGTACACGATCTTTACGGTAAAAAGTAAGCCAAATTTTCGAAGTAACATACAATTCTTCTCGTTTCAACTATTTCATTAAAGACAAAAATCGCGTATTAAACAAAGATTCACTATTATAGTTCATTTAAAAACTCACAACACCGGCTTCGATACATTCGGCGATAGCTTGACCAATCTCTTCTTGATTCTGATAAATATATGCACAATCCAAATGACGATAGCCATTCTCTAATGCACCTTTTACAGCACGATAAACTGAACCATCGGGTGGTGATTGCCAGGTACCAAGTCCAAGATTTGGATATTTTTGTCCATTGTTAAACTTGACAAATTTCGAATCAGCCATTTTTTCTAGAAATAGGTACAATAGTATACTACTTTGTCAAATCGTACGATTTATAAAAATAAAATGCTTATTGATCATAGAAGAATGAAAGCTTATATAATAGAGCTAGAAAAAAATAGCGAATAACGATGAAATAGTCATAGTGATAATATTTGTTTGGCATAAAAAATGTTATCATTGAGTAATGAATATGACAAAAACTATGGCAACAAATTATATTTCATTTTTTAAACAATTTGCACTAAGTATCAAGTGTTCGTGACCAAAATCATTCTGATAAATCATTGATTTTTGATTTATCAATAGAAATCAATGCGTTTTTCATCGCAAACACGTACCCGAAATTAATGACAATTGGAGCTGAAAATCTTACCACAATTTATTTGTGCAAGAAAGATTGAAAAGTTTTACTGAAATAAAAAAAAATATTACAGATGATCAGATATTTATAGCAGAAGAACTTGTTAGTCTACATTGTTGGAAATAGACATTTTATGAGGGAAAGCTTAGTGCACAGGGGAAAAACTTAAATGATAATGATGATGTTCAAAAAATCACGTTTTATATGACCAGTCAAAAATTTCGGATGGGTTGAAAAACCCGAAATTTCCTATCCAAAATTCTTTATTTGTCTGTTTATACTTTTAGTACTGTTAGGATTATCCGAGATTTTATGACAATATTTACAGCGATAATATTTTCGTTTATGTTGTTGACCATTTGTTTGTTTCTTGTTATTATTGTTTGGTTTGCGAAGCCCGTACAAAATCTTTGATCGATATTTTCGATGGTGATTATGATGATTTTTTCGACGATATCGATTTTGTTTGATCGTATCTTTTGAATTAAATGTTTTCACCGATGATGGTGATGATGATATAGTTGATGCTTTTTCGATCAATAAAGTCGCCGGAATGTTAGTGGTAATGCAAGCAAAACCATAAGAAATATTTCCAATTTTGGACCATAATTGCCAAGCAATCGATAATGATGTGATGAACAGGAATAATATGAATGTCAGTAAATCTTATCATTGGAAAAAATATCGATTTAAAATAAATTATTATTATGAAAAACTTGTACATACCATTCTTGGTCAAATTTATTAAATTGACAAATGGGTAAACCCTAATTATGTGATAATTGTTATAAAGCCATAGATTATATGTGATACGAAAAAGAGAATAATTCTTTAGTAAAAAGCAGCAATCAAATGGAAGTAGCTGAAGGTAAACAGTTATGAGTGATGTTGAGAGGGCACTCATCTATTTTTGAAAATAAAAATCAGAACAATGTATTTATTAATTATTCACATACCCAAAATAAATCGATGAAATAAAACATTGTCAAATGGAAGACTAGAACGCCAAATACAAATGCAATGTTGAGAAAAAGCTCAAGATTTTGATTTTCATTGTTATATTCGAATGAATAACTTCCATAACTTAACACATACACATTGAACAGAGTAGCCATCAACCAAAACGATAATACAATTGAGTGTAATGATAATGCCAAACGAAGATTTCGAGTGTATCGACAGAAAATTGTCCATATGGATGCTATAATCATACTTATTATGAATGCATAGATTAGATTCTCATATTGACAATGATAACTTTGATTGGAATTATGTGGATGCCATTTTGAAGAAATAGTGGTGAGCAATGATATTGTAAAGGCAAAAACCAGAATAAAAGCAAAAAAGAATATTTCTGGAATTAAAAAAAAATTTAAAAGATTATTATAGAGATAAAAATAACAAATTTTGTAAAAAAAATTACCGAAAATAAAATATCGATAACCAATGAGTGAAACGATTGTTGATAATATGCCCATGAAGACTAGTACAATAATGAATACAATATCCACAGATTCTGAATGCTTATTGATGTTATCGAGATTATGACTAGGAACATACAATGACCAATGAATTAAGTCATTTTGGGCAGCTTCGTTTTTCAAACGAGCAATAATGTTAAAATAAATTGTTTGTTTGGAATTAAACGAGAAATACAACCGCAGTGGTGATTGATTTGGATTTATTCTAGCTATGAGCCAACAATGAGTAGCAATCCAATCATAATTAGACATTAAAATTAATCGATGAAAATATTCTGTCTCATCATTGTCGTCATTATCGTCGGTATGTGCATAGATAAGATATTCAATCTGATTGCGACTTTCTTGGCCGCATTGATATTTCCAATCAGTTTCATTACCCAAAGCTGCATGTTGAAATGTCAGATAGTTGATTAAAGGAAAATTTGTTGGTCTTATATAAATAAATGGAGAGATTTCCAATGGAAATTCAATGTTACATCCACCCGGGACGGGAGCTACATGAAAAACAATTTATTGATAAAAATTAATATAAGAAGCTTGAACATACCATAAATACTCGAATATCTATTTTCAATGAGCAAAACATTCAATGGATCGATGTTAGGATTGTACAAACAGGTTGAATATGGTCGATGATAACGTTTGTCCCGACCGAATGCAACACCAAAATTTGTTCCATTCATTAAAATGGATTTCGGATTTTGCCAACGACATAAAGAAACGTTGCGATTTTTATAAGTATGAATTCCGAAAATAAGGAATTCATTGAAATCATTTGGACTATCATCATTGACTTTGATTAATTCATGTTCACTATTGTTTAATTGAATCAGTTTATGATTAATGACTTGATTGGTTAGTTGAGTTGGAAAAGAATTCATTTCCATGCTGATAGATATGTTGGTGAATTTAACCGGAGCTGAATGACTAGGTATTATGATCATGCTGAACATTATGATCAACACTGATAGGTTATTTATTTTAAAAGGATATGACATTTTTTGTTAAAGAAATATGGCGCCAAAAACGCCATGAATTTTTTTATAATTCGAAGGCAATTTCAATCTGAAAAAATAAATCGAGTCGACGCTGTTTATTGAAAATAACCGTTGTAAAAAAAATGATAGTTCATATCTATCGATACAAGATGGCATAAATATCGTTTTTTCTATTCAAATTTCAACATAGGATGGCAGCACATAATTCGGTAAATGTTTTTAAAAATTGTTCCAAAAATGAAGGAGACGCGCCTCTATCCGAAAGACCTTTTCAGTGAAAAAAAAATTAATGAATGTAGGCAAGCGATCCAAATAAATGATCGGGTCGATACAGAGGGTGCTAGGACCCATCTATACTTCTCAACACATTAGATGATGGCTGTATTTTTTCTGTAGTACGAATTCAAAAATATCTTCCGAAAAGATATTGACCGGACTATATATAAATAATATTAAGTATTCACAACTGGATACGGTGATTGTAGATAGTATGATAGAAATGATGATACGGGAATATAAATAAAATTCTAGTATTGCCACTACATTGAAGTCTCGTAAAGTATTTTGACACTGCCATTTAGAATTTTTGTTTGTTTGTATGTTTTTGTTGTTTTTTTTTTAGTTTTACCAAGCGATGAATTGTCAGAATTCTTATCCGAATTTCTATGCCGTTTTTTCGAAAATAAATGACTATGAACTCTATATTTTATAGTATGAAAATGCGCTACATTTATTGTGAAGAATTTCGCTGTAAAAAAACTAAGAATTTTATTCATTTATTTGATGTTTGAGCTTGAAAACGTTTTATGTTGTTTGGGTGTGAGTGTGTGTGTGTGTGCTTGTACGAAAAGGTTGGTTATTCTCTCTGTTTTTTTTCCAATTTAAAATATGTTTAATTACATCCGCAATGTATTCATGAAATGAATGGATAAATATTTGACAGTTAATGATGATCAACAATGTTATTATTATTATTATATTCATAACATGCGATGTATAGAATCTCTAGTTTATCATGAAACAAATTTAAAAATCAAGGACACCATAGTAACATCTCTAATATTTATAATTAACAACATAAAATTTTGAATCAAAATGAAATAAAATTCACATAAAATAAACCATAACCATAATCATTAGCCATAATATTTCTTTTGACAGCTGCTATTTCACGGTTCCATTCATCAATGATTTTTTAAAGAAAAACAGGATCGATGATGTAAAATTTTTTTTTTGAAAATTTCACATCTGACCTATTTATCTGAGAAAAGACAAACATTTCCTTTGATCATCATTAATTTGTTCATTGTTTATCATCAATTCGAAAGACATTCGTCTAATACTTGTTTTTGTTCATCAAGTGATTCTTGATCGAAAATCTATTTCGATTAATACTTGTCAATCGGTTTTTGTTATTTTTTTCGGTTCGCCGGCGATCATCATTATTATGATTATCTTCTAGAAATTATTTGTTTGTCAAATCATAAAATGATATGCAAAAACAAGTGTTTGTTTGTATGATGTTTGATAATTTTTTTCTCATTTGTCGATAATCATTCGACAGACAGATTATTGTCATCATAAGCTAAAAGCTATATGAACCGACAATCATTTCTATTTTTTGTTTGTTTATATATTTGTTTTGAATCATCAATCATGTCAATATTCGATGACCACACAAGCAATGTTGAAATCAAAAATCTAAGTCAATTTTAACGATTTTTTTCAAATTCACTTAAATCAACTGCACATTAAACAAAACGGGAGATAATGGGTAAAGAACAGGATCTATTGGAAGCATCACGAAGTGGACATTATCATATTATTGAAAAAATTCTTACGGCTCGAATTAAGAAAAGTGGACCGCTTAATTTAACAAGGTATTTCAAACAAATAAAAAAACTAATCTAAATTATTTATTAAAATTAAAAACAAAATCAAACTAGAAATTCAATTTTACTTGAAAATTTTTGATTCATTTTTTCCCTATTGAAAATGATAATATAAATAATAATGTCATACGGGTCAGTAACCATTGAACTAATGATAAAAGGCATTTAGTAATTGTTTGTCTGATTGTTTGTTTGTTTGATTGTTGTTTTTCAAGAACGTTCATGAAATTAAAATTAAAATCAATTTCCGGAAACAACAAAAGAAATAAAAATTATTATTATTTTTTCTTTTTTTAATTCAAACTTAAAAAGTTCAAATGAATAGTTGAAAAGTTTAAACGAAAAAAAATTGATCAAAAATCAGTTATCCTCTTATATTTATTATTCAGATTTTATTGTTTCCGCTATTTAATTTCTGTTTTTTTAAGAATTTCATTTTATTTTATTAATATGTTTGGCAACAATTTAATGAATTTTCAATAAGTTGAACAATTTGAATTTTAAAAAAAAACTATAGATACGATATTCATGTTTTATTTATCATAAAATTAATTAAAATTTTCGAAATGGCTATTTTGACCGGGAAAAATTTAATAATCCGCTTGTTTTATTTAAGAAAAAAAAATATATAAACCTAATTCAATTCAATCTAATTTTTACGGTTCCGTTGTTTCATGTTGTTGACAAAAAAAAAGTAAAAGTTTTCTTCTCTTTTAATATTAAAATCAATTAATTGTAACTTTTTTAAAAATAAAAATTTATCAATTAATCTTTTTTTTGTTTTCTTTTTTATAATAATAACCGATAGCCTGAGAAGATTACCCGGTCCGAATACAACTGATCCCAGAAATGGTTTTACCTGTTTACATTATGCTTCCCTTAATGGTCATAAGTAAGTTACCTTGGTTTGCTTGATCGATTTTGGATACGATTCAGTTAATTTGTTGTGAAAATTTTATCACTGTTTTTGTTCTTCTAATCTTAAATATTATAGAGACATTGTACGGATATTGTTGGAACATGGTGCCAATCCAAATGTAGTGGATCATAATGGATCATCTCCATTACATCTAGCTTCATGGACCGGAGATTATGAAATTGTAGATATGTTAATTTCGATCAACAATGCCGGTAATGGAAATAATAGCAGTGGGAATAATAATAGTCAGACCAATGATAACTCGGCAAAAAGGACGATAGCGGATATTAATCTCAAGGTTTTTTTTTTGGAATAAATTTTACTTTAATTCACATATTTTTTATTTTTTCATCTGACCAAACAATTTTTATTTGTACATTTAATTTAATTGGTTTCTTCGCAGAACAAAGACAATGAAACAGCATTACATTCTGCCTGTCAATACGGTCATACTCCTGTTGTATCGTTATTATTGACTCAAGGTGCTGATCCATTCGTACAGAATATCCGCCACGAAACTCCATTAGATTTAGCTAGTCAATATGGCCGTTTAGAAACAATTGAATTGTTGTTGAGAATACGTTTCGATTTGCTCAATGAATATTTGCCAACAAATAGAAACAATAACCAGAATTCTGTTATACGAAGGCCACATTCACCATTACATTTGGCTTCGCGAAATGGTCATAAATCGATTGTAAAATTACTACTGGATCTAGGATTTGATGTTAATTACCTGGTAATGGCATGCATAATAATTATTTAGTTTGATTAGGATCGTTTTCTATACTTTGATTAACCAAATAATAGACTATTTAATAATTGTATAATTCTAATGTATTTCGATTTTTTCATCTGTTAATTGTCTCTTACTTTTGATAACGGTCAGACGGTGAATGGAACGGCATTACATGATGCTGTATTGTGCGGTAAAAATGAAGTTGTTCGTTTATTACTAGAAGCAGGTACCAATATACAATTATGCAATGATCATGGACAAAAAGTTACACAACTACTTGAAGGCCTAAACACGTCTGTGGCCAAACAGACAAGAAAATTGATTAGAGGTTAGCTAATAAATGATTATGATGATAATTATAATGAACAATACAATATTTCTAGAACATATACAACGTATAAATGATAATAATTTGGATGATGATGATCAAATCATGAACCGTACGAACGAGTTAATTTCTCCCATGTCCGATTCTACAACTAGTCATATTAGTCATACAAACAGCTATGGAGGTGGGCAACTTTGTGGTGATCATTCACAATCTGAAGATCAGGATCTAACTATTGTCGATTCAATGTTACAAGAAGATATGAATATACTCTATAATCATCAAGATAATAATAATCCGGATTTCGATGATCTTATAATGGATGATGAAGATGGAACCGATATTCAATGCATTTCACCACCGCCTGGCTATACTGATGGTGATCATATGAATGAACATGATGACGATCGTCATCAAGTTGATCATCTTTATCCATTGAGTCATGAACATGGCGGTCGCCTCGATTGTATTTCTCCGTCTTCTTCGCTGTTTTCTACATCCATCTTTTCAGAATTAGCATCTATTTTTGATGAACATCTCAATCAAAGAAATGGAACAGAATCAAAATGTATAGAATCGAATCAATTAATGAATGATGGCTCAATAGAATCGCATTCAGCACAAATCAAATCTTCAAATTCTTTCACGATTGATGATGAAAAACTGATGTATCGCTCATCAACATCAAATCAGAGATTTTTCGATGATGATCCTAATAATAAAAACCGTCATTTTCATCATCATCAATCGTTTAATGATGTGGCAATATATGGTCGTGATTCACCATCACGTCGAATTACATCACCCAATCTATTGGTGGGTGGTGCATCATCTTCAAATATTCTAACTCATGATGACCATTTATCCCTTGGAATGATGATGATGATGAGTACATCGCTCAATTCGAAGTCTAATTTTGATAATGTTATTGTGAACAATAACAATGATTCTGTAATCATTTCGTCATCTAATTATTCTATTTCATCTGCTGCATCTTCCACAACCAATATGAACAAGACTTCCGGGATCCAGCCGCCTACTAAGCCGCCAAGAAAAACTATTGATGCTAAGAAAATTTCAAAGGCGAAATCTGTTGATCAATGTTCAGTTTCTACAAAAGTCAAATTGTCAACTTTAGTTGATCAAAATGATAATTCAAAAGTATCTTTAGGAATGACCAGACTAGATAGTGATGAAAAACGACAACCACCATCTTCGACTACTATAAAGACCAATCAAACCGAATCTCGATTATCGGATTTGGTTGATTCAAGTGATCATAGTACTTCACAGGATATGAACAGTGTTATTAGCAAAAATGGTAATTATCTCAATTGGAAAATTTAAAAAACTAAAATATTTTTTTTTTTTGCAAATAATTATACTATAGAAAATAATCAAACCAAAAGCAAGAAAACAAAAAAACCTCAAACAATCGTTTCAAAATTAAAAGACAATGATGAAGTACATATTGATTCATCGTTGTTATCATCGGCGACACACCATTCCATTGATGATTTTTATCTACTTTATGATCAGGCTGCACGTGAAGAATATGAAAAAGAGAAATCTAACAATCATCAACAAGATCATCGATCGTCGGTAAACTATCAATGTTGGAAACAGCAGACCCCGCAACAACAACGTTTGCAATCGTCATCGCAACTACTAAAATCGAAAGCAGAAGTAAATGAGCAACAAATCCTAACCAATGTGAATAAACCGATTGTGAGCAATTCTAATCGCGAGACTGATAACATTTTAATGCCGAAAAATGATCCGCCAAGTCCAAATAGTGCCGAAACCGAAATCATTCATGCGATGGAACCGTTACGACAGGTATGTATGCTTAATATGCCCTTATCGAATTGAATCGAATTAAATTTGATTCGATTTGATGGGAGTTTAGCAATTTTATGACGATCATAACATTACAATTTTGAAGACAAATGGCCATTATTCCGTTTCCGCTGAACCGAAACGAACGAAACGAAGAAAAAAAGCTGTTTCAATTTTAACAAAAAATTGTCACCATTATCAAGATTGTCGTGATAATTGGACATTAACTGATCCGGATAATAACGAACAAATCAATGAGAATAATATGGAGAAGCATGAAAATAATAAAAAATCAATTGGAATACTTGTTCAATTGGGAAATGTGGACAAGAATGCTAAATTAATTACAAGATGTGGAGTGGAAGGACATGCTCGTAATCGTCATCATCGAAATCCTAATAAACGACAACAACAACGATCGGAACAGCAACCCAATTTATCTACACAACCGTCAGAACAAAAGCGTAAAAATAATGAACAGCCTCAATCAACTGATTATTATAGCGCATTTTGTGAGACATTAAAATTTGATAAAAAAGGTGAAAAAGAAAATCCATTTGCCGGATTATGTCGAGGAGGATTGACGCCGGCTAAATCCATTGGAAATAACCGAAACGTAACGGTACAACCAGCGCCATCATCATCAAACGGAACAATGGAAAAGAAAAAGAAAACAGTTGAATTGAGTGAAGCGAGAAAATCGCTTCGCAAACAAAGATCTATCCTGAGTGGTCGTGCTGAATCCTTGACCAAACTGAACAATGGCAAATTTTCCGTTCATAATCACACCGGTAATGATGACAATCATGAAGAAAAGAAAAAAACGAAATCAATTGATCAAAGATCATCAACAACAATGACTGGTGCAATGATAACACAGCCGAATAATATTTATGCAACTTTACGAAAGAAAAAGAAAAGTAAAAGTCTTAATGGAGACCATCAATTGACAGTGATTGACATAGATGGAGGTCATCAACAAAACAGTGATGGTCTCCATTCAACCGATACAAAAGATCGATTATTGAACAATAAAACTAGCATTCTTCAGGATCAAAGTCAACAAATTTTCCTTTGGCTCAAAGAGATTGACATGCAACAATATAAAGATATTTTAATTCAAAACGGTTACGATGATCTGGATTTTATGGTTCGTTTAGTTTAAACTTTTTCAAAACAATTTTATTTTTTATTGATTTATTATTATTTGCGCGTCACAAATATACATTCTTTTCATTCCAACAGGATAATAACGTCATGGATGATAATGATCTGATTGAAATCGGCATAATTCAAGCATTGCACCGAGACGCCATTCTTCGCGCCGCTCAATTATTACCCTATAGGACACCTAAGTTGACACGTGATCAAATACAACAGTTATCAATTGCAGAATGGCTTGCGTTCATTCATCTAAAGCAATATGTCGATATATTTCATAATAATGGCCTTACAGAATTAAGGAAAATTCGCAACATTTGGGAAGTAGAATTGGAAACAATGTTGGAGATTGATAAATGTGGTCATCGTAGACGAATCCTCTATTCATTATCCGATTTTAATCAACGTGATTCAATGATCGTGTCGGATAATAGTGATGTAAACTTTTGAACTTTGTATTAGTTACCTTTTAACTTAATCTTTTCCTTTTTGCTCTATTCAGGCTCTTTCGCCATGGCTATCCACGGATAATGCTAGTACGTGCACGAATCTTGAACGCGAACGAGATCGAACAACGGAACAACAACAAAATCCGTCAACAACATCGTGGAAAGGCTGGAAACATGCTCGTCATGAATTAATTAATGGAGAATGCCAATATTTAGTGAATTATTTAGGATCAACATTAGTCCGCGAATTACGCGGAATCGATTCGACACGAGCATCAATTGGAAAATTGAAATCAGCAACAGCCACTTCGAATGAGAAAATACTGAAAATTTTACTATCGATTTCATGCCAGGGAGTACAGTTTAAGGACTCAAAATCAAATGTAAGTTTTTCCAATAATTTCAAACATTACATCAAATAAAAACTACTACTAATCTTATTAACATTCTTTCAACAGAGATTAATATGTGAGCACGAAATCCGTAACATTCATTGCATTTGTCAAGATAGTGAAGATTTAAATTATTTTGCTTACATTACAAAAGATTTTGAAACAAACAATCACTATTGTCACGTATTCATGTCAACACAAACGGTTTGTTAATACAGAATGTTTTCAATGAATATCGAGCATAATTATTTTCATTCATTAATACAAACAGGATCTAGTCACGGAAATAATTCTTACCTTAGGGCAAGCATTCGAGATTGCCTATCAAATTGTTTTGGAGCAATATAATATACATGTTAAACAGCAAACAACGACAATTTCAGCCACAAATCAAGCATCGCTGATAGCAAAAGAACATGGAAATTTATCCTCTTCATCATCTGGAACACAAAATCAGGGTGATCAAAATAATAATTTACATTCAACATTTGTTAAATTGAACCAGCCACAAAAATCAGATGAACAACGATCATCATCTGTAAATGATTCAATACAAGAACATTGCAAAGTTGTTCAACAATCATTGAATGATGATGTATCAATTACTGAAAAACCTATTGAACAAGAATTTAGACTATTATCAACACCAATGTTACCTACATCAATGCATATTGAAAAGGATCAAATTGAAGCAAATTCCAAACCGATCATGTCTAAGGTAGAAAACTATACGAATGGAACTGAAGAATTATATGCTGTTGTGGATAAAAGTCGAAAAACCAAATCTAAATCATTGCAGCAGCAACCCAAAATCATTAACGAACAAAAACAAATGAATGAAAGTGAAAAAGAAAATCGACCTGTTCCTCCAATTCGTTCATCATCTACTGCATCTTCCAATTCAAGTACTGGAACACGTCCAGATTCCAAACAACAACAACAATCACAACCGAAACCAAAACCACCGGTTCGTGTTCAATCAATGCAGAATCAACAAAAACCAGAAGTTTCACCTAAGCCAAAAAATTTGATAAATAAATCCAACACTGTTACATCATCGTCGATGAATTCCAAACCTGTACTGGCAAGATATCAGCCGCAATTGTTTTCATTTCAACAACCACATCCAAATCAATCGAATCATTCCGAATCATTATCGCCTATGACAAATTCATTGCCATCACAAGTATCACAAGTATCCACATTCATCAATCACAATCAAATGATTGATCGAAAATTTTGATCTCATATAATTCTTCAAATTCTTAGAATGTCCATTTTTATTCTAGTTTTTTCCAAAGCGAATCAAAGCTCATTATTTTATTTTTTGTCGAATGAGGACATGATAATTCTCTATTGTTAAGTTTGCCTTTTACTTTTTATTTGTTATAATTTTCAACAAATATCTGTTGTTTGTTTGTTTCCATAATTGAATTCAATAATCTTATTTTGAACAAATTGTAGTGCAATATCAAATAATATGAAAAATATAGTTATGTGTGTGTGTGTGTGTGTCCATATACAAGGAACCAAAAATAGAAATTTGTCTTTTTTCGGCAATTTGAACAATAAAATTTCTTGCTCAATAATATAATTTAAATAAAGAAAAAAAATTACCAAAAAAATTATTTTTTTTTTTAATTCTAATTTATAAAAAAATGTATAAATAATTTGATGATGAAATTATATAGTTCATAACTTCCGTTTAGGTGAAAATTAGTCTTCCTTATTGACTTTTTTTCAGTTGTTGATGATGATGATGATAATAATGATGATTATTGAAGCAAATGACTTTCGCTCATTTTATTTCTAAAATAATCGTCATCATCATCAAGATAATCGTTAATGATGATTGCCAACGAAATATCGTTACGAATGACAAACATGATCATTAAGCAATAAGTTTGTTATCATCATCGTGAGTAAATTTGGTTTCCAGAAAAAAATGGTAAATTTAGTAAACCGATACATTAATCAATCAATTGTTTAGCCAATGATTCATCGTTGATAATTATTTTCACATTTTCAAATTTTCTATTGATCAAATTGCTGATAATTGTTTGTGACGCCCGATCGAAAGATAGATAGGTCGATCGAATACTTCATGAGTCAGGTTTTTGATCTTGATACACCACAATCTAACTTTTCACTGGCTTGAAGTCATTTTTTTTTGTTCGCAAAATTAATTGGGGGAATGTAAAAAAAAAATATTCTTCCGAAATTTAAAAAGGAAATGATGCAGTATGTTGAACAATCTGTTGTAGTTGAAAATATAGAAGAACCTACGGAAAAAAATAAAATCAAATTAGCTAACATTGACTATTATTATTGAGCATGATAAAATCCTAAACCGATGGTTTATATTGATCATTAATTATTGTATTTCGTCAAATTGTTCATATGTTATCAACAATGTATTTTTTTCAATATGAATGGAATTTGAACAATGTTTTTTAGTAATTATTATGAAACCAATTTTTATTTGTTTATTTTCTTATCATTTTGGCTTGTTGGTAGGTCGATTTGATTGGTTCCATGACATCGATTATTTAAGCACGCGATCGGATTCGATCAATGAGAAAAATCTTGTTTATAATGATAGCGAAAGTTACATATAATTATAATATGAAAATACAGATTGTATCCGATAAGAAGGTAAGCCGACAATTTACAACAATTACACTCAAAAAACATTGTTGAGATAAGGTTTTTTTCCCATTTGATATATACATTAGATACTTTACTTTTACAGAAAAGATAATGGATTGTATTGATTTCTTTGATTCAAATCAGCATATTCATTAATAAACAACCACACAATACATAATGGATGTTAATGCTAATGGCGTTTGAAATCGAAATTGAATCAATCAAGTGTTGTCGTTGCTACTAAAATTTTATTCAATTTCTATAGGGACATCAAAAATGGATATTGGATATTGATTAAAAAAACAAAAAAAAAACTTGTTTTTTTTTTGATTGTGTGTAAATTGTTTTCCGGTCAGCAATAATAATTTATTTATATATCAAATTTGACACACTCCATTGTCTATATGAAATTTGATCGTTATTTTTTCATATGAAAAAACACAAAATTGTTCATTTTTTATGGTTTTTCATATAATAATCAACAATTGATTATGTAGTAGGTATGGGCGTATAAAGTGATTAAAACACAATTGGCTTTTATGAATTGTGTAATGAATGGCCAATCAATTTTCATCGAATTCGCCAGTGAGAAACTCACTAATATGCATATAAATGATCCAATACATTAGATTAAAACAAAGAAAACAAACTGGAAACACAACACGTGAATATTTATCAATATCGCTTGGACAAACACCGAATAATGTGTTCTGATTTTTTGCTCCGGGTATCGGTATCTGTGGTGGTGGTGTACCAGGTGTCTGTGGTGCCTGTTGTTGACCTTCTTCAACATCGCTTTCAACCATTGCTAATGATATTTTTTTCTTGTTAAAATCATATGATGGTCGACATTTTGGATCGGATTGACCAGGTTGACTTTGACCACTGGAACTGCCAATCATTCTAAATCGCATTTCCTAATTATACAAATGTTAAGAGTGGAAATTGTGAATTCAAATTTTAAAAATTTAACTTACTGGTGGATTATTTGTGTTCGCGATCGACATTCGAGCTCGTGGCGATTCACCTGTTGTTGAATCTGCAAATGCGATCGGTGGGTGTGGTGTACCAGGTGGCATCATTTCTATACTGTTGGATGGATGACCACTTGATTTTGATGATGCCGCGGCTGCTGCAGCTGCTGCTGCCATCATTGTTGATATCCTATGAGATTGTGCGAATTTGGCTACTTGTGTATGACGATTTTTACGCATAGCTATTCGTTTCCCCATATAACCAACAGTAGCATATTCTAATAAGGAGGCAAATACCATGACGAAACAAGTTCCCAAATAAACATCAATCGATTTGATATAGGAAATCTTGGGCAATGCTGCATTTGTTGATGACATCAACGTTGTCATCGTCAACACAGTGGTTACGCCTAATTGTACACGAGCAGGAGATGCATTCTTTTAAAGCAAAAATTAAATTAAATTAAAAAGTGATGATTAATAAATTATACCAATAGTTAAATATTTAAATTAGAATTAATATACATACACGATGTAGCCAAAATGATACCCAACTGATTATAACAATCAGACTAGCAGGAATGTAAATCTGTATCAGGTAATAGCCCATACTTCGTACAAATTCCAATTCACAAACCAGGCGTGAATAATTTCCTGATTATTTTTTCATTGTTGTTGTTGAAGGAAAAAATCAATCAAACATGTCAAATAATTTAGAAATAAACAAACCTGTGCTTAGAACCTCAGTTTTCGAAAACTCTTTGAAGCCTTTGATTTTAAATTGCGGTAGTTCGACAACGTCTGAAATGCCCACCGAACCTTTACCATCGATACCCCATTTATATTTTATGTCAGCCGTTGAATAACCGTCTAGAAACAAATCACAAATTATTGCATGCCATCATCATTTCAAACATTTCTAAACTTACAACTTTCGATTTCAATTGTACATAATTGTCGATCCATCGGAAAATATTGAAGATTCATCGGACAACTTGATGTTACTGTTAATCGAATTGATCGCAATACATCACCATTAGCACGAATCCGTATAAAAGTATTAAAAGTAGTAGCCTGATGAAATTGTGCCCATTTTTCATTAGCAAAAAAGGTATCTGGCACCCAAATTTTATCGGAAACCTCTGAACCAACAAACAAGGCATCAATACCGGGACGTGGTTTAAATGATAAACGTTTATCACGCCAACCTTGCCGGAAATAAAAATCGGCGGTAAAATCCTATATAAATAAATATACAAATATAGGAGAAAATCAATATTGATCAATAAAACAAACACTTATTAATTACCATTTGAACTTCTGATACGGACGAAATGCTTATTATATACATAGTAACACCCACTTCGACTGGTGGCCCAGCATAGTCGGGCCGGACACGTTTGTCATAACGTTTATCTAGAATAGTATTTAATATTTTCGTTATGTTACGACCGATTTCCGTTTGAGCCCTAATATCGAAGATAATATAAGTAAAAAAAGAAAGAAAATGTGTAGAATAAATCATACTTGCTGGGTGAAGCTGGCATTGCTTGTGAAGCCACATGGTGATGATTATTCTGATTCAAAATGATTATGATCAAAAACAGGAAAATTGTTGTACAAATCGATGAAAACGATCGATGAGAAAATGCGAAATGATTTCGAATGAAAAATAAATGAGAAAACATTGAAATTATCATTCGAAACGTGACAAAATGATGAGCAATAATGTTAAAATTCTGATAATTTTCACTAGCATCAAATCGAAGAATAATATTCCGATTTTTGTTCATTTCTAGATTGATCGTTTAATGATGTTCCATGATAACAACGATCCATACTGATAATTATTCATTGATTTATGCAAGGTAACTTGTCAAATTTATTTTTTTGGACACTGTGATAGTGTACATTTGTATACAAAGAAAATTTAGTTGAAAACTCAAAGGAATATCAATTTCATTAATGTCTTGTGTGGCCTATTTTTTCTCTTTGTTACTGCTATTTTTTCATCATCATATTTATTTCATATTCACTTTTCTAGTTTCGAAGGGTAGTAGTGAAACGGATTGAGAACTCATTCCATTCAAGATGATAACGAAAAAAAACGGATGTTCTATGCGCACGATGAATAATCTTTTCAGGCGTCATAACCTCATCGGATAATTCTATATAGTGACCGGTGTTTGTTTGTTCCGAAATTTCTGAACATTTTAACTTATAGAAGATGCTCATATTATATGTGAATATATTTCCCGTATGGTCGCGTTTTAGTCACGAAATTTTATACGACTGGAACTTTCAAGTTTTGAGATTTTTTTTACATTCAAAATTTTTTCGTTTAATTGCTGAATTTTTTTTTCGTATCCATATTAATTAATAATCATTCTTCGTTTAATCTTGGACGATAATGATATATTGTACATGATGATGATGATCAAGAAAAAATAATGTCTGTATTGATCTTAAAATTTCATGTGGTCGAGATTTTTCTCTTTGTTCCTGATTGCCACTTACTGAGCGATGATGATGAACATCAATGCTAGTTATCGAACAGGGCAACAATTTATATCCAAAACAGAAGCAATGTATAGGATTTTTTTTATAATACGGATGATAAATAACAGTTTTTTTTTGCAAAAAAATCAAATCGGATCAGTATTAAGAAGTCGATAATGATACAAAGGCCTTTGTCTTCGAAAATTGGCTTTGTTTGTCTGGTTTTAGTAGTTATTGTTTCATTTTAATAACGTTTCATGATGATCGTTTGTTTTTTGGATTTATGCACAGTTTTTTTCATGAATTCAAATGTTAGAAAAACGGAAGAAACTTCTAAACCCGAAAAAGGTCAGGTTAAAGTTATTTCTATTATTTTTATTTCATAAGTTATATAAAATGCATTATTTCTATGTCGACCAAACAAATGACATAAAAATAAGTGAGGAAAAAGCTTTTGGAAATTTGATCCAAAAAAATGAAAGTTCCGCAAAAAATGACCTCTGTAACAGACTGTGATTCATGATGCATTTTGTCATTTATGTCCCTGGTGGTTTTGACTTGCAGGCGATTTTCAAGAAATGAAAAAAATCATTTGTCGATTTTTCTTGTTTCAATTTAAAAAATTTAAACTTTTTTTTTTTGTTTGGATTATCAAACATTTTATCGATGAGCAAAAGAAGAAAACCCACGAATTGATCTTCATCAGGTCAAGTTGCAGATAATTTTAATAAAATATTGTCAATCAAAAAACTTTTAGCCCAAAAGCCAATGTTGTGTTTGATTAATTTTTGTAAATTATTAATTAAATTTAGATACAAATTGTCGGAGGAAAAATTACTTTCACGTTCTGAAACAACGATCGATTGTCTTTCGAATTGCAATATTGCTTCAAATTGACATCTGTTGCAAGTGCCTAACAATCAGAAAACAGAGAAAAATCATCTAAATTTTCCTAATGGCATGATTTATTTACACCATGTATATAATTTACATGTCGAATAATATCTTGATCGATCAAAAATTTACATGTTATGATATAATCCATAATGATTATAATTAATTGAAAATGCAAATTTGATTATCGATGAATCAAATGTTTGATCGAAATTCAATCAATAAATTTATAAATATAAATCCTACCATTTTTATGATTTTATTATTGCAATTTATTTATTACTTCCGTTAATAACACTAAATTTTGATTATTCTGGGCAAACAATTCTTGTTTCGTTTTTCCTAAGGAAATTTTTTAACACATCATGATGTTTTTTTTTGTTGCTGATTTAATATGAAATTCGTCTCAATTATGTGGTTTACCTAATGAAAAGGATAAATTTTTCGAATTGATTGATTGGAAAACACACACACACACATTCAATAAAATAGTGAAATCATCAAACAAAAATAAAAATTTTCGTCTTGTTCTACTTGTTTTTTTGAAGTAACGTCTTCCATCATGATGTTATTTTTTACTCGAAAAAAACCATGACGACAAACATTTTTTTTGCTCATTTGCTTCCCGAACAACATCTCTATGATGATGATGATGATCGAAAATATAGTCTTAAGATTGGTCAAAGAAAAAAAGTTCCTGAAATTGGTCAAAAACTGTCAGTTGAACTGAAAATCGATGGACTTTGCCAGTTGGAAAATTGGATCGATTTTTTTCTTATTTTTAATATTAAATGTAAAAAATGAAAAAAAAGTGAAATTAGATGGCGATTTGATTACGATGGTTAAGAACAGCAGCAATATTTGTGATGATGATAAGGAAAAAAAAGAACAACAGTTGTTCGAATTAAGTCTACAACCACCACCACCATTACCATGATTAACCGAAAAAAGTGTTGGCTTGCTCCGATGTTAATATCACATAGCCATAATCATGATAATAATCGTTGATGGATCATCAATTCAGCTATCATCGTATAAAAGTATTAAACAAAAAAATTTTTGATGAATATTGCCGCCGGTGATTGTGTCCATTATATAATATGCAATCTATGCGGATTTTTTTTGCAAATGCCAATCGAGCAAAAAATCCATCATTTACATTCCAGATAAATTTGTATGAACAGCAATGAAATCAAAATCATTACTAAAATTTAGTTTATTTTTTTTGGGAAAATTCGAGAACTTTTTTGATTTTCCTTTCTTTTCTTTATTTTTGTTGATTACATCAAAAGCAAATCACTTGAACTTACATCGAGTCTATCCAGAAAAAAAACGAATGAATTCATTCATTTGTTTCCTATCATGATAATGGTGATGTTTGTTCGGACCTTCCTTTAAGGAAAAAATATTTCTTTTGTGTGAGTAAAATGTGAAGAAAAGAGAGAGAGAGAGAGAGAGAGGGAGAGAGATATAGTACCATAAAGAGATAAACTGTCGCGGAACTGACTCGTACTCTTCGTGAGAATAAAAATTTTTCTTTCTTTTTTGGAACAAACAATTGTTGCTAAACGAAAAAAAAAATTGTCCAAGAGACACCTGATCCAATGAAGAAAAGAGACTAGCAAACTATAATGTGTACTATGTACCGAAAAAAAAAATCATCGCGTTACTGGAACTGAACGTAGCAATGGAAATTTTAGTTGTCGGCAGCAGCGAAAAAATCATTTTTGCCTATAAAAGTAGCTTGTCGTCAATCAGAAAAAAATAAAGAACAGTTTCCAGGTCACTCACCGATAAACGTAATTTTCTATTCGGTTGGTAAATTTTGTTCAAGTGTCGGTGCATTCGAAAGTGTATCATTCTTTTTTTTTTGATTAACTTGCTTAAATATCATTGTTATTTTGAATCATTTTTTGTTGGTTAAAATAAAGAAACAAAAAGATAAAACGAAAACTTTCTGGCGTATCAGCGTGTGTCGTTGTCACCAACCAACAACACCAACCAGTATTTAAAAAATCGCCCGAAATAATTAATTTTTCTTGGTTCCTCATTATTTATCCCAATATCTTAGTTTTGTGTGTTGATTATTATTATTTTTATTACTATTTCGACATTGATGATCCACGTTTTTTTCCACCGTTCGTTTAAAAAAAATGTTAAAAATGGTCAAATTCCATCCCATATTTATTGCCATTATCAGTATAATGATGATGAAAACTGTGTACGGCCAATATCCTGGATATCGGCCAAATTATTCATCAATGGCTTTTTCACCATATCATCCCGGTAAGTTTATATGATGAATTGAAAAAAATTTTGTTTTAAAAAGAATTTTATTCTTGGAAAAACGAATATTTTTCTGGTATTATATATCTTATTGTTATCATAGCACGTATAAATCATGAAACATTGCCAATAAGTCAAGCTGAATTTGCCCAATTAGTTGCTGAATCAATGGCTACTAGTCACGGTCCACATCATCATCATCCGCCAAATACTGATCAAGATTATGAAGGACCAGATCATTGGAGAAAAGAATCTGATAATAATCCACATAATGGAGCAGAAATGATGCGAGATGAACATCATCATCATCACCACCATCATCAGCATCCATTATCTTCTAACCCCGTTGCTTCTCATCAAGAATCTCCAATGTATCAGCAACAATCAACCAATCATTATAATCGTCTTGAAACTGGAACGATACGATCATCGGTACCTTCAATGCAGAGGCCACAATCGCAATATCAACCAGAAGAACAAGGTCCAGGTGAGATAATAGGCAGTGGAAGTCATCTTGATGAATATCCACATCGTGCTCCCGTATTCGAAACCGACTATACACCAGATCCAGAATCAATGAGACATTCATCATTGAAAGAAAGCGATATAGATGATAATGAGCCACAAACGCATGTTTATGGTGGCCGGCCAAATTCTGGACCAGCAGAGTCTTATCACCCACATCATCATCTTGGCAATATTCCAAGATATCATATGGTAGGTGTATCAAATGATCCTCGTGAACAGGATGAATATCGACCATCTGGTAATCAAGAATCTGAAGAACAATCCCCAGTTGGACAGCCAGTTTACGGACCAAGCGATCCTCCTCCGCTAGCTTACCATCAAGATTTCTCTCGTCAATACCATCATGCTCATCAAGTTCCTCGACATCCACATCCACATCCACATCCTCATTCTCATCATCATCATCATCCTCATCATCCACATAGGCCATCATTCTATCATCATGGACCTATGCATGCAATGCATTCACATCCTCACCCACGAATGATGATGTCGGTAAGACGTCCTTCTCCGCATTTCAATCCACAGCGACATCATCATCCAATGCAACCAATCGATCATTATATGGCTGCAGATTCCTCCACAAACAATGCGATAGCTATGGTTAGTCCAACGATCATTGCTGATACAATGACAAGTACATTAAAAACTTCTCAAACATCGGCCCAAATAAATTCGAAATAATATGGTTAAATGAATGAACGAAGTGAAGTGTAAGTGTAAGCCAAGTGAGAAAATATTTGTTTCAAATAAATCGACAGTTAAGCACCTCATGCATTATCGACATTAACATCATAATCATAGTAGTTATATCACATTTCACGGTGTTTAACAGATATTCTTAATCATCATTTTGATCATCAATTAATCTATACGAATAAAATGATCAGAAAAAAGTGAGAACTAAAAATGATTCATTTATAAATGCCTATAAATCATCATATCAACATTATGATCATAATTACAAAACGAATGATCATACAAACTGATAAAAAAAAGATCACGATGGTCACTTCAATATCTACATCATCATCTCAAAATCTTGTAAAAATAGTCGTTTTTCATATCAAATCAACAATTATTGCCAGATTTTTCTAAATACAAACAAAAAATACATGCACGAATGATACGATATGATGGGATTAAATGTTGTCAAATAATCATTATCCAACGATTATTAAACACACAAACAAGGAAGAAAACGTCAATATTTTTAAAACATCAAATCGGTTGATATATAATTGTTGTTTTGAAAATAATTTTAATCTAATTAACAAAATAATGAACATAATGATTTTATTTTTTAAATGAATATTTGATCAATATTTGCAAACAAACTTTTTTTTCATCTTCTTCACTTCCTTCCTATTTTTTCTCTATATTTCATTTTCATTTTGTTCAGTTACTTAATTTATATATGCCATCACATGTATGTATGTATACACACAGACAAACAAACAAAAATCATCGTATAAATTTTTCTTAAATATCTATTCACCATCATAATCATAATGATCATAATATGTGATCATCATTATCATCGTAATAATCGTCATGCACATTCGCATTCGTTATAATTGTGCAAAGAAAACTTGACGAGTAAACAAGATTTGTCTAATTTTTTTCTTTCGTCATCAGTCAAATCTGTTGTCGAAAGTTTTTATGCTTTCCCATTTCCACCCTCACTAAATTGGTTTAGTTAAAGATAATTTATAATGAATCACAATGTTACCGTCATCATCTCCGATTTCACTTGGGCTAATATATGTCAACCATTTCTAAAATAAGTCTGTCATTTTCATAAGCTGGGTATTTCATTTCAATCAACCGATCATATAATTCATCAAACAAATTTATATTTAACCGTTTCCGTCGAATTGTGAAAAACATTTTTTTTTTGCTTTTTTTTATCATGGAAACGAAAAATGTCAATTACACAAACACACATTTACACCAAAAATATATTTTTTTTTTGTTGTGCAAGTCAAATGGCAAAACACATACACACATAAATGTGTGGGATGATCCAAGAAAGCCAATCCTTTTCTATATTTTAGATTTTTGTTTCAAACAAGTAAATGATATTAATAAAGTTTTTAATGATTAAAATTTCATTTTTTTTCGTCCCTTGCTGCAAAAATGTTTTTAACCATCTTTATCTCAAGTAAAATATTTAATAGATAATTAGACAGATTTTACCTAAAAAAATAACTTTAATGGTCAAATGAAAATAAAATCTAATTTAGTAATAATAAACTTTGTCCTTGTAATTGTTAGTATAAAAAACAAATCAAAACAATATTTTTGACAAACATAATTTTATTCTTTTGAACATTCAAGTTGAAATTTGAAAAAAGCAGCATTTTATATGCGAAAAAAAGACAATTCATAACATGTCACGAAATGTCATTATCACAGATGTCATCGACCGCGTAACCAAATGCTTACATGTCGATTGTTTTTTTGGATGGCGAAAATTGGAAACAACTTAGAATTTTCAATGGGTAAATTCTGTATATTATTGCTGATAAAAATTATAATGGCCTACGTACAATCACTTGTTTTCTTGGCGGATCAGTATTGGCATCCAGAATTTTTGTCTCATGCAACAAGTTCAATTTTTCACATCTTTCATATAGCCGAAATCTTTGTCCTGAATTCAATGTTTCTGGAAATCGTAGCTCATTAATGAGTGAGTTTTTTGTAAATTCTTCCAATTGTTTAAACAATTGTTCATCTTGATCGTTATTCAATGATTGTTTATCTTTATTGATTGAGATATTCGATTTTGTATGAACATCTCGCTTGCTATTGTTTTGTTTTTTCTTATTTTTATTGTTGTTATCTTGTTTTCGGTTTGATTTTGGATTTTTCTTCAAATCTTTGTTCTTGTTTGATTGTATACCAACCGCTTGCTGTGAATTGGACGAAACCACCTGGGGTATATGATCCATTTCTATCTGATCCATCAATTCTTGATAATCGGAAGCGCTTTCTGCTTTTCCGTATTCATAACAATAATCAATAAATTTCTCTAATGCCGTTGAATTTCTTGTTACTGTTCCGGAATCGCAAACAACTACTAAATGAGAGCGGGAACGAGTAATAGCAACATTTAAACGACGTTCTTCGATTAAAAATCCAATTGTTCCTTCATCGTTTGATCGAACTAATGACAAAATGATCACTTCTTTTTCTCTTCCTTGAAACGCATCAACAGAATTTATTTCTAGCTGATCGGTGATGCTTTCTGGATACATTCGCCGACATCCGGCTTCTATTAGGCTTGTTTGAAGCCGGTAAGGCGAGATGACACCAATATCAGCAGGTGATAGGCCATTATCTAAAAGGTCTTTGATCACAATGCAAACTAGTTTTACTTCATAAATGTTTCCTTTGGACAAACTTTGTTGATCAGATTCTAATTCATACATTGAGCAACCGACCGTATCGATCAATCGAATAACTGGCAATGGTTCGTCGAGGTTTTTTAATTTCAATCGACGATCAACTACACAATCGTCTGCTTCGAGACGATTTTCATAGAAAAAGCTTGATGGCCAATTCATAATCAATCCATTCATGCGATATTGAACGGTCAACATTCTGACAACTTTATCTGGGCAATCTCGAAATTGATCAACAACTCGTTCAATCAGAGAAATTCCCAAACCTTGTTTTTCGGCCTCCTGTGAACAGATTGTTGCTGGTAATTGTTTGTGATCACCGCCGAGCACACATTTCTTGGCATATGATAATGGTATCCAGGTAGAAGCCTCTAATGCTTGTGCACATTCATCAATAATGACCACGTCAAATGAAAATGTGTTTAGGTCATCATAAAGATAACGTAATTGACCATTCATTACTGCGCCATTACATGTGGACATTATAACATGAGCTTCTCTTAGTTTTTGTTTCGAAACTTTTTCTTCCATCTGATCAAATTCTTTCATTCGTTCACGAATCTGACCACGAGTGTACCTGTTCTGTTTGGTTTCCAACTTTATCTGGTTGATTTCGTTCTTAAGGTCACCAAGTACATCAGCCCCTTCGTTCATAACGATTGAATCTAATGAATATGGTTGTATCTCAGAGTCCATCCGAGCAGGATGACCCATTCTAACGAAATTGAACGATCGTTTCAAGCGATATCTCGCGCAAATATTCTTTTGTGAAGAATGGATCAACTGTTTAAAAATGTTATCAACAGCCACGTTCGAAGGCGCGCATACCAATACCCGAAGACCACGTGTGATCATTTGAAGAATCAATTCAGTCAATGTAGTTGTCTTGCCGGTTCCAGGCGGACCATGTATGACAGCTATATGACGTTGATACAATGCGAATTCGATTGCATTTTTTTGAGAATAATTCAAATTCGTATTAAACCAGATAATATTGGATTGCCCAGCTAATGGATAAGGTAAATCATTGGTATAAGGCGGTAAGACAGTCAACGGATCAAGAAGTGGATTGTTGCCAAAAAGTAATGAGACCAGATAATTTCTAAGAGATCGTTCGTATAAGTTTTCCAATGCATATTTGATTCGGCGATATGTTATATCATTTGTTAATTGAATTAGATTGAAAAATTTGTCGTTTTCTTCCTCGAACATGGTTGTATCAGTATTGAAAGCAATCTCGCAAGTTAAACGCTTTACTTGAAGCACTACACCGGTACACAGAGCCGAAGTCTGCTCCTGTGTGGTAACACCGACTATATCACCATGCGACATGCCGCTATTGATCAAATTGACAAAATCACGTTTTTCAGGTCTTACGGAAAATTGTATAACTTTTTTAGCAAAAGCTGTTCGTTGATTAGTAACCATAAGTTTACGCACGGCATGTCCACTTTTTTCCAATTGCTTTAATGAATGTTTGGATCGCAGTTCTCTAATAAAAATAAGACAATATAAATCAGAAATATAAATTTGATAGTTATTATTAGGAAATTCACCCACTGGTTTCGTTCCAATTCTTCATCATAATCTAATTTAATTAGTCTTAATTGTTTTTGAATCCAAGATTCTATTGTGAGCTGAGTCGGTGATTTTAGCGATTCGGCCATGATTGAATAAGTTAAAAGAAGTTATCTGGATGATTTTCCGAAATAACAATACAAAATCCAACAAAAGAATCAAGAATTATCACATGTTTTTCATCTAGTAACACCATCTATAATTAAAATTAAGAACTATTAATTTATTTGTCATCATTTTCAAAATATGAATCCTGAAACAAAGCTAAAATTAATGATATTAGAGTAATTAAAGCTGCAATATGAAAACATAATGTTGGATAAAATGAAATGCTTGAAGCAAAAATAGTAGAAAAAATTAATGCACCCAAGCTTGGTGATAAAGATTCCAGCGTAGAGGTCATACTGAATATTTTTCCCGCTTCATCAGTTGCTACGATTTTGGCCATTTTTGTTTTAATCACTATGCTTGCCAAGCTAAACAAAGAGCCTACAATGAAAAACAATAATAATTTAAAAAATGAAATAAAACGTAACAAAATTTACCTATGAAGATGGCGGCCAGAAAAATAAATAAATTAGGAAATGTTCCGATCAAAACTTGGCTAATAAAACCGGACGTTATTGTCAATGCAAACATTGTTCCATCCTTCAAATGTAAGCTATTGATCAGAATATATGAACTAATCAATAAGACGATTGTTGGTAAGATTTTTATATAAACTGAAATAATGGAATATTCTTGTGCATCTAGTTGATAGACTTGTTCTGAGAATTGCAAGAATATCGAATCGATTCCTGTCATATTAATCAAAAACAAAAATATAATAAAAACCATGAAATATATCTGTTCGCGAGCCTGATTTGGACGGATTTTTATGAAACAGTAATAAGTTTGGCGAACATTGTCGAGATCAAAGAATGTTCCAATAATTTTTTTAATTTCTCCATATTCAGTTTTATGGACCGTGAACGATTCATGCGAATTGTCAATCATTGATTGATTAGTATTGTCTATATTATTCTGGTTCATATCCGGACTGATGAGAGCTTCAGAATCACAATTGATGATCGTTTTCTTGATAGATTCATTTCTATCGACTTTAATTAGCAGAATCATCGTAAATGAAACCAAACTTATTCCAAGCATAATGAAAAAATTTTGGTTATAATTTCTTAGCTGTATATTTTGCTCATTGTCATCTAAAAACCGGATATTAAAACCTCCAATCAATGTTCCCAACGATGGTGCTTGATCAGGATGATAATAAATCAGAACCGGAATAAACAGCAAATGATTACTTACCGATTACTAATAAGACATGTAGAATGGTGAAATAAATTGCATGAAATTCGGAGCTAGAATTGACGACAATGTAGCGATTGATGGCTGCAAGAAAAGTTGTCATTCCACCTGTTAGACAAACAGTCAGGTTGACCAAAAGAAGATAATAGGGACTTAGCTCGAAATAGTATGCATTAGCTATGTTAAATAAATATTCCAAGATTTGTATGACATTCATCCAAATGAATAAAAACTTTGTAGCGTTCGGATATCGGTCCAGAAATGAACCAACAAATAGAGACCATAAAAACATTGGCAATGTTTTAATCAGATTTCTATAAAAATCAATTCAATTTTAAACCCGTACTATAGTTTCGTGACAGAATTGACTTACGCATAATTATTGAACGTTGCGCCAAATGCCAGAATCTCATTACGAATAATTAGTTCGTTTGCATCGAATCGATCATTTTCATTGATATATCTACAAAACGTACGACTTTGATTGAAAAGATTTCGACAAATTTTATCCTGAATTAACCATCCAGTTGTCAGTGAATAAATTCCGAAAGATAAGATGAACAAGAATATGTACAAATCGAATAGAAAATAATTGTTTCGGCGAAGAAAATTCCACATTTTTGGTTTAATTGATTGTTATGATCATAATATTAAGCGATGCATGTGTTTGTGTTTTCAATCTATACCTAAGATCGTTCTTAACAAACTCAACAAAAAATAAAATAATAATCTTATGAAGACAGAAGATAATTGAATCAATATAACATTGCATCTCAATGCTTATCATATGTCTATAACAACTCGTGCATGGTGAATGCCTTTTTTTGTCGGATCAGTATATGAAATGAACCGGTTTTAGTCTCAAGTTCATTGTATCATCATTGTATGAGAATAAATGAAACTCCATTCCTGACCATCTGAATATTCATTGCAAATTCTTACAACATAATATACTTCGATTTCAACAATGTATGATCATGATTACCAAACTGATTCAGTAAATTTTTTCATTTAATATCGATTCGTTTTGATCAAGTTTTGAAAAATGATATTAAGTATCTAATTATTGATTACAGTTTATATGATTGCATATAATATAAAGTTTATATCCTTGAATTCGATGTGCAATACATAAATCCAGATCAATGCTATATGTATAATAATTGTTTATATTTCTAAATCTTAATTTATTATGTAAGAATAAAAGAATTTGTCGAAAAAAATGATCAAGACTTATTCAAATGAACTATTTACGAATTCATTGCCGACAAAATGGCCATCATTGTGTCGCAGATAAATTTTTTATTATATCAATAAATAATCCATCCAAGTATCGTTATTTTGTTTTAATCATCATTGATGATACAAGGACAAATAAATTGAAATTTGATAATTAGAAAAAAAGAGATGCACAAAATTATATTTATTATTATATCTAAAAATAGAAAAAATTACATCTATATTACAAACAATAAATGCAAATGATAAAAATTTTAGTTTTCTTTTCAAGTGAAATGATTTCTCATCATAAATAACTTGTATCATCATTTTCCTCTTGCTCGGATTCGTTGTTTTTTTCATTGTGGACATCATTATAAAGATTATGCTGATTATCAGTATGCAAATGCAATGGCATTTTAAGTAATGGAGATTTAACCATCGGATTTTGATGATTATTATCGGCAAAATGTCGTCGACTTTTACAATAGCCTCCAAATTGGGCTCCATTACTTGATGCTCGAGACAAATTGGAAAAATTTTTACTGTCTTTGTTACTGCAGCTGCCACAATGTGTTCCATGACTGCTTAAGCTTAGATGATAATCTGGAGATCCAGGTTTTCGTGAAGAATAAATATGATTACTGAGACCGTTACTCGATGATCGACGAAGCGGTAATCCGCTTAAAGTATACAATGTAGGATTGACGGCTGCATTCAATGGTAAAATAAAAACGGCAATCCAGGCAAATACCTGTGGTGGAATTCTAACGCCAAATAATGAAACGATTCCAAGTCCAATGATGGGCATCCAACAACAGAAATCTGTCATTACAATAAACATCATTCGTCGTGCCATGCGATTTTGCACTTTTGTTTCGGTTGTCACAAATCTACGACCATTTGATTTAGCAGCTTTTTGTGTTTTCCGAGCAACAATAAACATCCAAAGATACGAGCCACAAATCAATGTAAAGCTTATTAAATTGAGAACAAGAAAAACAAACACAGAATATTCCCAGCCATTTGGACGTTCATGAGTGATGTGTAGCGCAAGACAAACTCCAGAACGACCATAAAAATTATCAAAGTATTCGACAGGTATAAGGGGCAAACCAGAAATAATGATGGCAATTAGCCATAAAGAAATGATGATTAATTTGGCATCTTTAGAACGAAGACGATAAATACGAAATGGAAATGTTATAGTTATCAAACGATCAATAGTGATGACAATAAGAAAGAAAACTGATATTTCCGATGAAAGTGTAGAAAGAAAACCCGCAAAATGACACAACGAACTTTGACGCCATCGTGCATCGACAATAAAATATATGCCCCTATATTAGTTAGAAAATTGATTCTAATAAATTAAAACAAAACAGAATGTCTGTACGTACCGATAGTATGAATCGACACTGGCAATTATTAACAAATAAATGCCCATCAATAAATCACCAAGAGCCAAATTGATGATCAAAAACGAATGAACACGATTGATCGTTTTATAACGAAGACGCCATAATATGACAAACATATTTCCAATCAATGCAATTGATCCGAGACACCATATGCAAATGCGTAGAATTGTATTAGACATGAGATCTTCACAAGAACTAAATTCATTGGGTTCTGGATAACATTGTTTTACATGTCGTACCAGACAACAAAAACGAAATTCATCGAATGTACTACATAAATAATCATGTTCATTATTTATGATGATCAATGATTATCGGAAATTTCCACTTACATTTGTTTCAATGCATTCATTCCTTGAAATGCTTTTGAACCGACCGATTTTATTTTGTTACCACGAAGATCTCTATTTATATCGACGAGACAAAAAGAAATAAAATAAATCGGTTTTATGTTATTATTTAATCATAGTGTGTCTACCATTTTTAATCTAATCCTATTTGAAATGTTTGATTTGATAATGAAAAAAATATCTTATTTGTATCTAATCGGTCATCGATCATTAATGAAAGAATATTATTTATTTCTAAGCTATTGTATTGTTGTTTTTTTTTCTATTAAACAAAAGTATAAGATTTTCAACAACAAAAACATTGCGATATCATTACTTACATAGATATAACAGATGACAAACCGGAGAAAACGCCATCAGGAAGTTCGTTGATTTGATTATAAGACAAATCACTTTAAAAAAATTCGTATTTTTTGGCATTTACAAGAGTTTGTTCGGTTTTGGTTCCGATCAATACAATTCCGGTACGTTTAATTTTAAATAGCAATGATGTGTAAAAAATGACAATAATAATGATATAATCGATTAGTAAAATTCCCATTAAATACAGATAGATAAAGACAATCAATTTTTATTGAACATTTTTTGTAACAAAGAATCGAATCGATTTTATCAATGGAGAGGACGAGACATTCGAAAATCGATTCGATTCAAATTTTTTTTTCATTATGACAACAAACAAATTAATACCTACAGGTTTTTTAACGAACGAAGGCCTGAAAATGAATTCTTTTGTAATGAAGTTATACGTTGATTACTTAGATCTCTGATGAGCAACCCATTTTGTTTTTGTTTTTTTTTGTTGTTGTGGTACCATGCGTTGTTTTTGTTTGTTTGAAGACATATTTTATGGATGAATGAATTGAAAAAGAAAATAACAGGAAATTATTGTATAAAAAAGGAATGAAGATGAACACACAAAAAAACAGGCTTTATCATCATTCTCATGAGAATTGTTGCCAATGATGATTATGATGAAAATAATGTGTCAAATATAGAATAATACGTACAATGTTTTCAACGATGCCAGACCACTGAATGCATGTTCACGTATCAGACGTATACGGTTTCCGTTTAGGCTTCTGCAAATTTGTTTTTATTCATATTTGTTTTTTTTCGCATACAAACACACACAAAACATCAAGCCAATTGAGAAAAATTCCACAATGAGTTTTTTGTTTTGTTTCCAAACGAAAATAAAACGAAAGAAAAGAAAATAAATCCAATGAGAATAATATTTGTGAATGCAAATTATTATCAAACTCTATCAAAAAAAATGTATTAAATATTAATGAATATTTGGATCAAATAAATAGAAGAGATTTTTCAAATGATAACTTTACATATACAATCAACAACAAAAAAAGATTTGATTCTGTCTGATTAAAAAAACAGTTAGATAGACATATCGATCATTCAATAATTAGAATGAAATTCAGATTAAATTTAGAAAATGAAATAATTTATTTACAAATTTATGATTAAATTGTGATGATTTATTTTTTCTCACATTTTTTACAAACACACACATAATAAATGAATGTTAAAAGTCAATCAAAACAAATACGTCAGATCGATTTCATTAAAAAAACGATCAGACATAATTTTAGCAGAATATTTTCTGTATAAATAGAAAAAATAAATGTTTCGTTTTCCTAGAATTTTTCCTTTTTTTTATTTTGCTGGTATATCTTTTAATACTCTTTTAATACATTATTTGTCACTTTTTTGGTTATATAATATTTATCAATTCAGGCGATAACTATTTATCTGACCAACTGGCTAAACATAAGGAAAAAATCTAAATGGTTGAATAGTCAAGACATTTAATAGATAATGTTGTGTGAGTGTGTGTTTGTGTGTGATCATTATTGCCTCAAGTATAAATAGATAAAAATTCTTTATTCTATATTTGTGAAAATATGTAGTCAATGATTACACGCAATGTAAAGGAATTTCAGTCCCTTTTTATAATTATCATTATCATTATTCGAAACAGCATGACCAGTATTGATTCTGTAGATGATGATGTTTTTCATTTGTTTTTCATTTTTTTCGAATCATTCTACGACTACATTTTATCATCTATCATTTCAACACGTCAGAATAATAATAATAATAATAATATATAAACATCTTGACCATAATTTCTCAACATGTCTGATCGCACAATCCCCAAATCGAAATTCAACTAACGTCATCAAAAAAAAACAAAAACAAAAAACAAAAACATCTAAATCGGCCGCACATAATGAATGTTTAGTTATGAATTAAACATTATATTACATCTTGTCTTATCCGAATAAATTTAATCTAAATTTTCATTTAAATGTTCATAAAAATACTTACAATGTTCCTAAATTCGGTAGACCGGTAAATGTATACGATTCAATCACTTCGACTAGGTTTTTTCGTAAATGTCTTGACGATGAATCGTCAATATGGGTTATAGAATAATTGGATTGAAAAATAGATAGTCATCATATTTTACGAATCGAAACAAAAAGAAAATTGATACACTTACAGAATCCGTAATTTCCATAATTTGCGAAATAATCCTGGTGGGATAAATTGTATTTGATTGTTGCTAAGATCAATCATATGCATACGATCAAAACGATTAAACATATTTAATGTTAGATTGAGACCCAATTGATTTCCATTTAAAATCCTTTAATTAAATCAACCAAATCAATTGAATGTTTTGTTTATAAAAATGAAAAGATAGTAAGCTAAAAATAGCAGAAAAAACATATATAAATATCAGAATGAATAACATACATTCGTAGAATTTGATCTTCTATGGATCCCGGTATTGTAAGCAATGATTGTCCAGAACAATTGATCGTCGTATCGATACATTGACATAAACGGCTATCCGAACAATAGAATGCTAAAAAAAATGAAAATAGATATCATTTTAACAAATTGACAAATTGTAAAATAATGTATATCGAAAGATGAAAATCTTCAGATTCTATTCACGATCAACCAATTACTTAATTAGAAAATTGACAAGTGATGAAGAATGTTTTTTAGATAATTTTCAACTTTTATAAATAATCGTTTCCTGTTTTCTATTTCTTTTACTGATTAAAAAAAATGTCTGGATTTTTCAAAACAATAATCAATTTTAATTATTACCCTTCAAATTGGTACTTTTGAAAATGGCAATAAATTTATCCTATAGGTCGAGCGTATTAGTTTATCTATAATTTTAGATGAAAACTTACGACAAAATTGTTCATCAGCCCAATCGGACAATACAGGACAATCCAGACGTTCATTACATTTGAGAATAGAATCGACACAAAAACTTCCTGCACATTTAACACTAGTCGATGATGGACAAGTAAAATTTCGACAGCCATTCAAATTTGAGCGATCGGCACAAATTTTTCTTGGATCTGATGTGAGCAAACAACGAAATTCGGCCGGTATACATTGTCCGTTATCACAGCGAAATTGTGTTTGTTGATCACAGTTGTTGGATGATGATGCAAAGATGAAAGATAAATTATGGTGACAATTCTGTTCATCCGAGTGATCAAGACAATCGTTGAAATAATCACACCATTGTGATGCAGGTATGCATTGTCCCGAACTACAACGACGATATGTCTGTGGACATGTATGATTTCGGCAGCCGATTTCATCGCTTTTATCATAACAATCGAATTTAGAATTACAACGTTTTTCTTGATCAATACATTGTCCGTTAAGACATTTATATTCATTGGACCTACAAGGTTTTGTATCTTATTTAAATAGATGAAGTAATATTCTCAATAAAATGATGACGCAATTTACTTACCACAATTTAATTCATCAAAGCCATCAAAACATTCCTGAACATGATTACAGCGGACAGATTTAGGAAGACAACGATGTTCAATAGGACACCAAAAATGATCGTCCATTTTCAAACAACTTTCTTCTGTGTAACCTGAGAAAATGAAAATGTTTTTTTTTCGCTTATTGAACTTATAGTATCAGAAATAATGCAAATAAATTAAGGGATTCTGATATCTAGTTACCATTCCATTAGGATATGAAAACACGAAGAAACAAAAATGGGAAAACAAAAATATTACTCACCACCATATGGACATCCATATTCATCATCAAATAATCGTGGACAATCATTATATCCATTACAAACATATTGATTATTTAAACAGCGATCAATATATTGATTGTCATCTGATAATGAACAACTGATGGTCGTTTTACGTGAACAATAATTGACGCCTAATTGAAATGTAAACATTTAATTTATTTAATGTTAAAGGCTCGACAGTTTATTAGTTTACCATCTATTTTTGTATAATATTTATCACAATCAAATTCATCTTCACAATGAATGGCACAATCGCAAATAGTATCACAACGATTTCCCAATGGAATGCATCTGCTATTTGAACAACGGAATTCATTTGGTTGACATTGTTCACGGCCTTGTATTTAATCCAATAATCATTGCCAGTATGAAAAAAAATGAAACAATAACAAAAAAAAAATTCAAATTATTATCATCGGTATTAAAATTTCTATTTGAAAATGATTCTATGCATATCAACAATGAATAAAATCATCATTATTATTGATGGTTTAGTTGGTTTCATTATTATTGTAAAAGAAAACAATTCACGGGATAAGGATTTTAACTAGGTTTCATTATCACATCATCATTTATAATAGCTTTGCGTACTTTTATTGTATTTAATTTGCTATGAACATAATAAAATATACGTAATTATCATTAGTTAAATCGAATTTTTCAGTATTTTTCAGCAAAGAAAATTGCATTGTTTGCCTATCACAGAATTTGTGTGATGAAAATATTATTATCATATTAAGATGATGAGAATCCAAATGTAAATCCATATAGAGCTTGAAAAATGTTCTTTTCGTACTTTCTATTATCATATTCAAATGATGATATTTTTATTATATTATCGAAAGAAAGATATAGAAAAGATCTGTGAATAAAAATAAGACTGTCCTGTATATATGATTAAAATAAAGTTTTTGTACCATTTCAGAATTCAATATTAAATTATGCGCCGAATTCTTAGACAAAATTGTGTATTTTACATTTTTTTGCTAGATTTTGATTTGTAAACACAATGAAAAGAAATTACAATTTATGCCAACAATGTCGACGTCCATTTCACTTTTACTGAATCAATTCGAGAAAAAAAAATTCTATGAATCAAAAAATTGTGAATGGATTGTGACTTGAAAGAATTTTCATAGCTACATTTTTGAATCTTATGAAATTCTCGACAAAATAGAGATCGTTTTGAAATTATCTAAACAAAAAAAAAACAAAACAAATTTGGCTGAAAATATTCTAAATGGATATGGTAAAAGTAAAGAATTTTTCTATACCAGCCATTAAACTTCTGATTAGAATTTTCGAATTTACTAACTCAGATTTTTTTAAAAATTATATCCATTATTATTATTATTGTTATTACATTATTAGTGATTTGGTATAAAATATAACATTGTATTACACAAAAACAAATTCCATTTTTATTGATAATTTCTATGACTCTGAAAGAAAATCATCAACATTGACAATGACATTATTAAATTGATATAGTTGTTTTGTTATGTTTTCTTTTTTGGATGAAAATCATTTGTGAAACGAAAATTCGATAATCAAACATAAGTGTGCAAAAAAAAATCTGTCATATAACATCACACCATCATCAACGGTATCGATAACAAAAATAATAGAAACCTATTGCAGATCTATTCAAGTGGTTTAACAATCAGCAAACAAAAAAAGAATTTTGTTTTAGTTAAGCCAATAATATTTAGTGTACGTGTGTTCCAGGAGTTTCATTCCATTACGGATTTATGGATTATTATCAGTAAAATCATTTCCATGACGCCTTGTGTTTGTGAGGTATTTCAATCAAACGTCAACTATGTATTTTTTAATATCAGTAATAAATTTTTAAGCTTATTAAAACCAAAAATTTTCCTTGTTCAATTTTATTTATATGAAACGAGTTGGTAAAAATAAACTTTGAATATTGTTAAATTTAATTTTTTTTCAAATAAATTCTACTATAGTTTGAAAATAAATAAACAAACAAAAAACTGTCTAACAAACACATTATCAACTAATCATAAACAGCAGTGCCAGTTTGATTAAATAATACAACAGTAAAACAATCAGAAATAAATGGAGTCAACAGAAACAAAAACACGAAAATGGCGTGAATCGGATGGTACTGAAGTAATCGAAACAACGACTATACGCCGAATTCGTACATCAAGTGGAAAAATGAGCACTGTATCCAGTGCCAATAATGCATCCACTGTGAATTATACTAGTAATCAATTCGAAAAGGATGCATTGAATCGACACAATTATTATCGAGCTCGACATGGTGTGCCTAATTTGGAATTATCCAACCAGGTAATTATAATAGATTTTAATCGATTTAATTAACTAACATTTAAACCTTAAAAAGTTATGTCAACATGCCCAAGAGTGGGCCAATAAACTAGCTGAAAGTAGTTCAATGAAACATCGATCGGAAAATAAATATGGAGAAAATATTTTTATGAAAAGTGGTACCAATATTAGCATTCATGGTAAGGTTTTACTGTCAAACAACACATCATCATTAATATTTTATGAATTTGTTTTTTTTCAATAGGAAACGATGCAGTCGATGCTTGGTATGATGAGATTCATAAATTTAATTTTCATTCACCAAGTTTCCAACCGGGTACTGGTCATTTTACTCAAGTTGTTTGGCGTGAATCAAAATATTTGGGTATAGCATATGCTAAAAGAGGTTCATCAATTTTTGTGGTAGCCAACTATGATCCAGCGGGTAATTATCAAGGATATTTTAAAGAAAATGTTCCACGTCCAAAATAAATGAAAATGAGAATAATAAAAAATAGGATAATGATGATGATATAATCTATTTATTCATTGCCTAGATCATTAAATTTTTCGAAAGATAATTTTAAAAAGAAAAAAACAAAAGAAAATAACTAAAATAAAAATATAATATATTCTGAGCGTTCGGATTTTTTTTCATTTATCAACTAAATGGTTGTTGAATTCAACCAAAGCTTACAGGAAATGTTTTTCATGGCTCAAAAACTACAAACTATTTATTAACTTACTACATTATGTGGTCATATTATGGTTGAAATTTAATCACTAAATTGTTCAGAATTATCAATAATTAATTCTGATAGAATTTGGTCGCATGCTAGAGTTATCAAGAGAAAAGATACTTGAATTATCATTGTTATTCATTATCAAACAGTGACATTTGCTAATGATAATAATAATGATGAGAATGTTCATCAAAAAACAGAAATCAAAAACAGAAACAAAATGATTTAATAATAATAAAAGGATGATAATAATATCATAGGCGTAATACATTATTGATGTATAAACAATCAAATGAGCTTATTTTTTTGAATTATCCGCCATTAAAATTGGATGAATATTTTGTCATGATCATCATCATTATTAATAATGATAAAATACCTACTTACATCCAAGTTCATCTTCATGGAACACTGAACAATCTGGTCGTCCATCACACCAAAGACTTCGATGTACACGTATACCGGTCTGATTGCATGTAACAAAATCTTTGTTTTTGTCATCATCAAAAAGAGAGAGAGAGAAAGAGAAAAAATAATCAATAAAGAATAAGGCTTGATAATGATGCTGTTCATGATCATAATAACATACCCATAGGATTACATTGTTTTTCATCACTACCATCGATACAATCATTTTGGCCATTACATACACCATATGCTTGAATACATTGGCCATTATCACATTTATATTCACCGAACCAGCAGGCACGATGAGCTGAAATGAATGAATGAATGAATAAAAATGATAATAAATTTAATTTGATTTGTTCATTTTTTTGCACTTGAATATAAAAATGAATAAATACAGATATTTTTTCAACAAAAAAGGAAATCCTGTCGTTCCAGTAAAAAAAAAATCAACGCATCGATAATTCATCATTATTATGAATCATTCTTGAATTCAAAGTATAACTGACTCTACATCAGTTAAATAAAAAGCAGATGATCAAATAAATCCCGAATATACGAAAAAAAACACTATCCGATTATATAATATTCATTTTTGGGAAATGAGTGCCTGGCAAAACACCAAAGTTGATTGGTTGAAAACATTGGTATTTTTAATCCCATGTGAAAGTGTTGGATGCGAAAAAACTTGAAACATTCCGTAATGATGCTATTGTAGTTTGAGGTTTTTTAATTAAAAAAACAAAGTAAAAATTGAGTAAAAAACGCATTTAATGATGAGAGAATCAATCATGTTGCCATAATCATTGCTGTGTTTCATCATAATCATCATCGAAATAGAAAAAATTTATGAAACATTCCCTAGAGAAAATGTTTCAAATGAAAATTTTCTTTTTTGCTGAAAACAATATATAGTGGAACTACTTACGATCATAAAATGATGGTTAAGTGCGAAATTTTTTTTTCTCGAAATAATTCAATTTTCTAATGTCAAAATAGACAACGATAATGAAAGGCTATATACACACACATATACAAACACAACCATTGTCAAGTCTATAAAGCTCAAAGATTTATTTTAAATTCCGTTCATTCTTATTTTATCAATAGTTATGAACAATTTGAGGGAATTTAGAATTTAATGATTCAGAAGTGTAATGATGACTATGTGAAAATGAAGACTTGATAAACATGCTAAGCAGCAAAAAAAAAGGAAATCAATAAATTGATTGAATGAAGAATAAACTTCTCTCATAAAATTTAAAATAAAATAAAAACATGAACAAAGGCAAAAATGAAGAAGAAAAACGAAATAGTTTCCGAATAATTCATTGTTTTCTATTTATAATGGGATTTTATTTTATATTTATCTTTTTGGTGACCATAAAAAAAACATAAAACATAATCTATGTTGCTTCTGATTAATGTTTTTGGACTATTCTCGAAAATGTATGAAAATCGATGAATACATATCAACGGAAAAGAAAAATATATATTTTGGAAACAAACAAAGAACGAAAAATATATATAAACACTTACTACAAGCTTCTTCGTCGGAATTATCACCACAATTATCTTGAAAATCACATACATTTTCCGTTGGTATGCAAAAATGATTGTTACATTTAAAATGTGTTTCCGGACAGACATACGTTTCTATAGGATGAAAAGAAAAATAAAAGAATGACAAAATCATGTAGATATGACAATGAAAATTAAATAAAAATTCATTGATGCATGTGTTTTAATTGCCGATATTAGTGTTATATGTGAACAAAAACAACAAAAAAAAACTTATTTATGTAAACAGAGGAACAATATGAATATTTTGTACACAATAGGGATGCTTGGGATGAGAAAAATACCAACTGATGAAAATACTGTTGATAAAAATCCTGATAAAAAGGTATCTAATAAAAAAGTATTTCGAGTGGTTATTTATTCTTAAATATTTTTATTTTTATTTTTTGGAAAAAAATTCAATCTATAATGCTATCAATGACAAAACTTGAAAGAAACAGTTTTTTTACCGTAAAATTAATATCATTTTTTATTTGCTATTTCAAATTTGAGTGAATGGATTTTGGGATTTTGAATCAAAAAAAAAAAAAAATAGATTGAAATTTGGAAACGATCAATCATAAAACCTAAATTGTAAAATTATTTTCAATTTATAACACATTTTATTTTAATATCTTCATCAAATCAGGATAAAATTGAATGTTTATAATACATACCACAATTATCTTCATCGATACCGTCTTGGCAATCAAATTTTGTATCACAACGTATCAGTAATGAATCGATGCATGTTTGATTACATTCAAATTCATGTTCCATACAACCTATATAATTGAAGAGAAAAAGAATTAATTAAATCATAAAATTTCATGTCACCAATTTGTGCAAATAGGACTATAGCATAAGACTATAGTGAACGAACACAAGCATTTTCAAAAAGAAAATTCAAAAAAAAAAGATAAACATAAATCATCATCATTACTGAAATGAATGATGCAATTTTGAATTATATACCTATTCCAAATTGCAAGTGCAAAACGAATAGTCAATCTAAAAATAAATTTATCATTTTTTTCTGAAAAAATTTTTTACTATACAATCTTTTTATCTTTTATGTGGTTATGAAAAAAATGATGGTTTATAATTGGTTGGCTAACGCACGGAAACACAGACACATAATTATAGTTATTTGCACGAACCAAAAAAAAAAAAAAAGTTCAACTAAATGTACAATTTTTATCATTCTTTTTTTCATTAAAAAAAATTGATTCAACGAATTGCCAATTAAATCAAAAAGCAAAAGATTAGGAATCGAACAAATTTTTTTTCGATTCTTATTCAGTTTTTTTTCAAGTACTAATTCCCAATCATTAATTTAGATTTCGATGGTACTTATGTTGAAAGGACTTTAAATCTATTTATCATCATCATCCATTTTTAGAGACAATTAAAATCTTATTATATTTTTATTTATAACAATGAAAAGTGAAAAAAATTATCCTTTTTTTCTTTTTCCAAACTTATTCATCCATACATTGTTGTGGGTTGAAAATTATCAAAGAATCTAAAAAGAATCATTTAGGCAGAATGATTGGATTGAAGAAAAATAAATAAACATTCAATACGTTAATGGATTTTTTAAAAAAAATGCAAAGAAACAATAAATATTTTCAATTACATTGAATCATGGGAAAAAATAACAATACAGATCGAATCAATGATTTTCCTTGTGATAAGATGACAAAAATTTTTCTGTTAAACAAACATACGAATAATATTCATGAGAATTATCTGTTAGTTTTGTGAGTAATCCAATCTAAGAAAATTTATCAATGATGAAAATGAAAATGCCGATGGGATCATTATTTATTATTAATGTTATTCTTTAAATATTAGAAATTTGAAATAGAAATTCTAATGATTAATCTGATAATAATGATGAGAACATTGGGTAAATTTTGTTGTTGTAATTTGTTTTCCGATTTTTTATATGTGTAGAATAGAATGAGAAGGAAACATCCATGAAAAAACTCAATCAAATAAGATGATTGCAATGAATATTGGAATCTTGAATAATTTAAACACACTTTCATTTATGATGAAAAACGGTAAAAAAACTAGTATATTTTTCGCAAAGAATTTCTACTAATCTATCATTGAATACAACGAATTGAATGAAACGTAAGCATCAATTCATTACAATGATGGCAAAAAAACAACAACAACAAACTCAAACTCATTACCGTAATTGAAAAAAAACATTTGAATTTATGCTTCTCAATGTTAAAGGTATTCATTTTTATTTAATAGCTATCAACACACACGCAATATACATGACGTGCTATTGAATCGATTGATTGGATTAAAAAAACTGTTTACAAGCACAATATATTCATAATCATCTTCATTTATAAACTATTAACATTGAAATGAATGTATTAATTTTTCTTTTTCCTTTTATATATTTGAGAAGAAAAATCAAATAAATTCATTGTCAAGTGTGAATCTTATTCGCATTCAATTGCTTATTTTTTCATCATTATCAAAATACAATAGTATTTTCAAATTTAATAATAAGCAATTATTGTTTCGAAGAATCAATAGAGAATTGATGATGTTTTTTTTCCTTCAAATTCAAATTGAAAACGAATAGTGAAAATAGTTTTTTCTCTCAATACAAGCGTAAAAAACTTAGCAAAAGACTAATTGATGTTTATAGCCTAAATTTTAGGCCCTAAAACGATTAATATGCATGTGTGTATTTAGCTTTTAGTTAAACTAAATTCATTAAAGAGAAGATAAACCAGATCTGTAATGAAGGGAATGAAAGAAAAGTCCTTTCAATTTTTTTATATTTATTTATTTAAACATCATTGTCATTATTATTTTAAGTTGTAATGAAACAAATTAAATTTAAAAATACAAGAATCTCTAATTAGTTTCAATTTTCTATTATTAATCGTGATTTGAATCTAAATAACGAATTAAAAATTTAAATGGAAATTAATTCTACAATTTTTTTAATTGGTACATGAGCATAATTTTTTTCAAATCAAATTTTTTTCTTTTACATACCGCACATTTTGATACTTTCATCAAAACCATTTGGACAATCGGAAACTCCATTACATTTGGTGTCTAAATAGAAACAAGAATCATCATCATTATTACCACAGGTTATGATTTCACGTTGTTGCTGAGAACGTTGATGTTCAATGTTTTGCTGGTGTTTATAAGAATGAAAATGATTATGGCTATGATAATAATTATGCTGATGAAAATTGTCAAGGGTTTTTGTTGTAATCAATCTGTTGTGATTAGTTTTGACTGGTGGTTGTTGCCATCGTTGTTTTTGTTGTTGTCGCATCAATTCACATAGATTGAAATGTGATTCTTCGGATTGCCTTTCATTTTCATCATCTTCTTCAACATCATCCTTAACACTATCTATATTTGTTTTATCAGTTTGAATTTCAATAATTAAATCATTTTGTTTGGTTTGATTTTCTATGAATTTATTTGCGATATAATCATTTAGATGTAAATTTTGAACAATAGAAATGTTGTTATCATTATTCATTGTATTGTTAGTTATTGTTGCAAAAGCCATCATATTGGTCAGGGTTGATATGATTGATAATGCAAAAAATAATTGATAATATGATCGATAACTTCGATGAGGATGATGATGAGCAAAATAAATTCGACAACTTTTCACTAAATTGATCAACCACTGATATTGATTAGTTTGGTGAATAAATGTTGAACAAAAATAATAGTATCGATGACAATCAATACGATAAATCACAGAAAATATGAAGAATAGATCTATAAATTGGCAAATGAAAATAAATTGAAAGCGAATATAATACAAAAAAAAAATATAAAAAATATTTATTATGTTTATCATAATCATTTGTAATCATTCATCTACATATAATTTTTCAAAATTTTGCAATTGTTAATAAATTATTACGATAATAATTATAATGATTATCTAACAATTGGGAAATTATCTTTACAATAATAATGATTATTAGTGAAATATAATTGATTATTAAACCTTGTCTAGATGATAAATGATAAAGGAATGAATGAATGAAACAAAACCAGGAAAAAAACTAAAAGAATTATATTTTTATTGTATATAGATAAGAATAAAACAAAAGATAGAGAAAGAAAGGAGAAAACAAAGCTTATGATACCAAGGTTAACAAAAATTTGTGCCATGTATCAGTTTTTTTTCAATAGATTACTATCCTGTTTGTTCAGAGTTATCATCATTTATTTTATTTTGTTTTCGATTGTCATCACAAACAAATTCATGATCTTGGAATTTTGAAACGAAAGTTTTTTTACCCCATATCCCCCATCTAAAAAAACAAAAACAAATTTTCAATCCATTTATGGCAACAAAAAAAAATGTTTGGTCACACTTGAATGAACATAAACACAAATCGATAAACAATAAAATACAATTTAATTCGTAACGTTATCAGATCAGAATGGAATCTATATAAAAAAGTAAAAGGGACGAAAAAATGTTTTTGTTTTTTTATCGGTTCATCATCGCTACAACTGAACAGAACTGAATATCTATTTGTGTCGTCAAACAAACAAACAAAAAACTTTTTCTTTTCTATCTCCCAGAATATGTACACTTATTAATGACAATATACGATACTAAATGTATAGGGAAAAAAATTACCATTAGAAAAATGTAAAATAAAAATATTGGCTTTTTTGTGATCTTCTCCATGTAAATATCGTTACGGATTCTGTAACAATTTTAAAAAATAAGAACAAAAAAATTCATATTTTATTTTTATCATCATCATCTTAAATTCAGATTAGAATAATGTTGTTATGATAAAAAACCAATTTCGAATGAAAGAAAAATAGCAATTTTATTATGACAGAATTGAAGATAAGAATAATATTCTAGGTATAGTCGATAGATTTTATTTGGATTGTTTGCTTGTTTATTTTTCAAGTCACTATCACTGATATATAAAAAAATATGATGTCAAAATTTGTAAATGTAATGATTTTTTTTCGTTAGTCTACCAAAAATGAAGAAAAATCTTACCAATTTTTGGCTGCTTTTTGATCATTGCTGTATTGGTGGTATATATTGTAAATTGTGATAAATTGTAAAGTTGGAAATATCGAAGTTTGGTTTAGTTTTCGATATCAATTTTGTACAAAATATAAAGTTTTTTGTTATTGTTATTATTATTAATATGAATTGAAAACAAGAAGAAAATTAATGAACGGCTACAGCGAAACCAATGATTTTATCTATTTTTTTGTATATATCGAAACATATACCTGAAATATTTTTTTGAAATAATGATGGTTTAAAGAAACAAATGTCCAATTCTCATATACATGACAGGTCCAAGGATATACAAGCAATACGATACTGCAGGGCTCGACGTCTATGAAAAATTTTTTTAATACACAAAATACATCATAATTAAATATTTTAAAACTTTTTGTTGTTCATATTTTTTTTCTCTCAATCAATATTATCTTATTCTTTGATTGTTTTAATATTCATTAATCGATGAATTTATTTAGCTCATTATCCTCTTTTGTATTAGTCACATATTACATACTGAATTCAGTTCATTTTATATGATTTTTTTTTTTGTTGTTTTAAAGTGTAAACAATCATTACTGTTGATTTATTTCGATTTACATTTCAAATTGAAAAATTTGAATAAAACTATTGATTCATGTATACAGTGTTTGAACTTTTAAATTGAATTCCAAAAAAAAACTTTTTCAACAAACAAAAAACTAATTGAAAGCTCTGCTATATGAAGTTTTGTTCAAGAAAGAATTGGATGAAAAATAAATAATTAGATCGAAATGGATCGCCTACATTAGAAGTTTTGGACCATTGAAAGATTTTTTTCTACACTAAAAGCTCATTCGGATGGTTGATGATCGTTTGGAAAATAAATTGAACCATCGTTTTTAAATTGAAAAAAGTTGAATTTTTTTTCACTAGTATAGGCCCATTTATATTTAAAATTTACCCAATTTTGTCAAAAATTCTTTAAACTGTGAATAACACACTATAGTCTATAAAAACTCTTGATCGTTTTTTATCATTTTCTTCGTAAATTGAATGCATTAAAAAAAATTCTCCAATTTTTTTTGAATGAAATTTTTTGGAGAAAATTCTTTTCAATTATAAGGAAAAATAAAAATAAAAATTCAACCTTTTAAAAATTTCATCTTTTTTCCATCAACAAAAGAATTAAATTTTCCATTTTTAAAATTTAAAGTCATTAAATTACGGTTTGCTGATCAATCAATTAGATGACTTGATGATGATCGATCGAGTTTTCATACCAAATAAATATCGAACCTAATTCATTTGGTTTTTTTAAACATTGTCAAATGGTTGGAATATTTTTTCAAAAAAAGGAGAAAACAATGAATAAGAATAAATGAATTCTATAAGCAACTATATTAGCATTATAATTTTCATTTATGAAAATAGATCATAACCAATTCTATCGAAATAATTATCATAAAAAAGGTGAAATATTGGAAATAAATAAATAATTTTAGTTTCCATTGTAAAGCCATAAGCGATCACAATTGTATCGAATAGATTGATTGAATGATTCATATCGTTATTTTGAAAAAAATTATTCAACCGATAAATAAACTTGTGATCAATGACGAAAAAAAATCGATCAATCAAATCATCGATATCGTTTCATTGAATAATCAATTATTTTCTTTCTCTTTTTGTGAGTTCTTATAAATATTTTTGATTGCCACAAACAACAATAATAACAAAAATCAAGCGTAAACACAAATAAACAAACAAACACACACAGACAAAATGAAGAGAGATTTGGCTATGATGGATGCTAAACAATACTTTTTATCTGTAAGACAAAATTCAAGATGTACTATTTATCATTGAGATTTATAGGAATTTCTATTTATGCAGAAAAAACATAACACAATCAATGATTTTATGAAAATAGAAAAAAGAATAAAAAATTGTAAGCAAAAAATCAAACAAATCACTCACATTTACACACAAATTGTCATTAGTATGCTAAGGATCTTCATGTTACGAATACAGAATTGATTTTCATAGAATCGATCGTTGTTTGAATACAAATTTGATTAACAAAATGAAAATATGTACCCACATTACATAAAATGTTAGCTGATCAGCCTGGTTTGAATTATAAATTTCGAATTTCAAGCATTAAAAAAAACGAACAAACTAAGAATTGAAATGCTTTGAACTGTTGTTGTTGTTGTTGTACAACAAAAACACAATTAAATTTAAATTCATATCAAAACAAATTGGTCACTTATATCTCATTTAAATTAAAAACAAAAAATAAAAAACATATTCTATGCACGAATTAAATAATTTGACTGAATAAATTAATAAAATTGTGGTAAAGAGGATTGAAAATAATTAAATCGAAAAAATGACAAAAAAATGAACTGTAATAGGATTATTATTGGATGAGAATTTCCGACATTTTTTGGGCATTTATATTTCATTAAAAACGTAAAAAAATTCTGTTACAAACAAAATCAATAGAATTAAAAAAATAGTAAATGAATTGAATTTTCGGAATGATCAAAACGTCTGTCTGTCTTTTAATGATCCTGTCGTAAGCAGGCTGCTTCCGTACATTAGATTAAGATTTGAACGTCGGGAACTAAATAAATCAAGGAAAATTGATTCTTGATCATAATAATCTTTTCTTGGTTTTCTAAATTTTAATTTTATTTTCACAATAATTTGATTAATGTTCAAAAAACGGTTAGTTTATGTTGCTAATTTAAAACATAAGATAATAAAAATTACTTTACAGATTATATAACTTACCGAGATTTGTAAAAAATGTTGACCATAATGATGATGATGATGATGAACAGATTGCTATATACAGAAACACTGGATATACATTATTAAAATGGTCGAATTTGTTGACGTGGAAAAATTTCGAAAAAATCTCAACAATAACAACAAAAACAATGATGACAAAAACATTTTGAAAATTTGTTATTTTCAACAAAAAAACTGACATAAATGGCAAGATCCATGTCCAAAATGGTGACCATAAAAAATAAGATAACAACAAACAAAACAACGACAGAAAAAACATTGAAATAGACAAGGCACATGAAAAAGAACTGTCTAAATATCTATCGCTTGAATTATCGTATATTATTTGTTTATTGTTGATGATATTGTGAAAGATTCGAATGACAATAATACAAATGATCATCGGAATGGTAGACAACAAAAAATCAATCATTTGGAAATAAATAAAAATAAAAAGTGAAAATGAAATGAAAAAAGTAAATGAAATTTGTGAGAAAAAGATAGCGAAAGAAAATGATAGGAATAATGAACAACAATCGGAACAACAGCGAAGACATGTAGAAAAAAAATTGCTGAAAAACACTAATGATAGATCGACAAACCAAACCTTTTTAGATATGATAATCGTATCATCATGGTAATGATTAATAATCTTATTATAATGAATGTGTTGATGATAATCATCATTATTATTATTATTATTGTGACAACAATTGAAATTATGTGAAAAAATTTTCTGAATAATTAAATAAATTGAAAAT